TCACAATAACACTGCTGATCATTAATTATGATCCTGAGAGTAAAGGGACTCGAAAATGATCGTCAGCGTAAGAGGCTTTGATTACTAAACAAATTCTCCTTGTTAGTAACAAAGGAAACGTATGGAAAAGAGTATGGGGAATTTTGATACTGATGTAAAGGTGAAGGGGTTAAAGGTCGCTTATCTTGTCTTCGACCGTTTGAAACGTGTCTATCCTTTCTTTTTTTAATCTTAAAATGTTTCTTCCTGTCATAAGACGTTTCGTTTGGAAATGGCTATGACTCGTTTTATTGTAGAATTCGTAACGCAATTTATACATACAGAATGAGGTTATTCATCAGCATTATGATAGTTAAGTATTTGATAAATACCAAAGTTTCTATATATATTGGCAGATTTTTGTAACTGCAACGCAAGATGTTCCAATATTGACATATCCGGGGGATTATGAACCGATAAAATGCTGTAGTATAAAAAATTTTCTAATAATCTTTACCCCAAGGGTAAAATGGGTAGTTATTTTTGTATAGTTGGAAAAACATATAAATTTCTATACTTTAAATAGATATTAGTTTAGTGTTGGTATGGCTATTTCATTTAGTCCGAGGCTTGTATGTGATTGTTATTGTAGTAAATTGAAGCAATGAATTCCTTCTTTTGTTCTTTTTTTTCTTTTATGTTTGTCTTTTACCATGGGAGGCATTTTCTCTTCCTTGGAACTTGCAAGTTGGATCAAAATTTGTTGGAAAATTCGTGAAAAAAAAATTCTTCTAAAACCTCCAAGGTTTTTATTTCCTATTCACTCTCCTTTACAATGTTGAGTATCGCTGAAGTGCAAATATATATATTTCACTTTAAACTGTCCATCCAACATCTCTGGTTTTGGCCGGAAGGAGTAGAATTCACAAGAAGAAGCAAAATTTACTAACCCCTATGATCAAAGTTGTGTCAAATTGTGTTCGGTGTAGTTGTGAAAGTTTCCCCAAAGTCAGATAAACGTTCTCCTCTTCACAACAATTCGGGATGGATTTGAACTCAAGCGAATGAAAGGGCGAAACAGATTTCAATCTGGCACAAACGTTGTTTTTGCTCCTTTATTTTTTCACAAGAATCTAGTGAAGAGGACTAATCAAGGCGGTCATTAAGAAGCGATTAACATATAACATCTTCAATTTCAACAGATCACCTAGCAAATAGCTTAACACAAAAACACAAATCTTTAAGTGTGGGGTGTTATCGTAATAAAACGTAAAACTTTCCCTTCTTATTTACGCCAGAAATGTCTAGGGGCAAGAAGGGAGAATTACAAGTCAGATCTCTGGAATTTCAGTGTTATTGTAACTGGAAACTTTTCAAATGGGCAACTGCAGGTTGTTCTATTCACGAGTGGCAGATAATTAAATACGTTTTGATATTTTTTTTCCAAATATGTAAATGAATTTTAACGAAAAAGATACGAAATAGTTTCAAAAGGTAGATATAGTCTGTTTAGGTGTTCAGTAAAACGAAAAAATAAACGGCGCGGTAGTAGGGGAGGGGTAGAAAACGAGAGATGTTTGGTTCGCGTTCATAAAGCGTTCGTAACGCAACCCGACCCAAGCCTTGCTCGTCCTTTAACTTCTCTGCCACTTAATTTGCGCCGCTTTCTAACGCGCCTCGTTCTACTAACTGAACTCCTAAAACAGGCCAGTAAAAAAAACATTTTTCTCGTGTCCCTTTTTTCAAGTAACAGAAATGATTCTCAAAACAAACTTTTGCACTGTATCCAAGAGAGATGAAATTTTAATTGGATCTACCTCCTGGCGTTAAAAATCAATTAAAAAATTTATGAGTTTCAAGGTGTTGTTTTATAAGAGGTAATAGAGCCGTGTGCTAACCAAGCAGCTTGCATTTTCAAAACATTAAAATGATCAAGAAACTGAAGGAAAAGAGGGGCGATTCTCCCTCATCTGCGGTGCTTGAAGCTATCATGATTTTAGTATTTACAACTATTGCGTTTCTTCTCATTCTGTGACGATCGAAGTTTTGGCTGATTTATTAACAACGCGGGTTCACTGGCTGGTTCCACAAGAACGTTATGAGGACAATTTTTCCGTACTGGACTACGTCACTTTTTTCTATTGCCGTATGTCAGTAACTTATTTTGGGAACGTTAGAAATGCGCTATGCCAAAGGACTCTCTTTGGCCAAAACGATGGCTTTCCTGGATCGAAACGACTCAGTTTAGTAACTTGGCAAGTGTGGATTTCGGAGAAGTGGCTTCCCTTGGCAACTGAAGGAGATACAGAATATGCTGGCTTCAATGGAAATAATTTACCCAAATAAACATTGGTGGAGCATTGTTCACACGCGGGATTGCATAACATATTCGAAATGGTTCACTTAAGGAGCAGTTTTTTTTTTTTTATTTTCTTAAGATTTAAGATCTCTTGTAAATAGGGAGAAATCTTGTGCAAGTAAACCATTAAATGTAGTATGATTTTAATACTTTAGTGGATAGACATAAACCTGGCAACCCTCCATAAGCCTGCACCCAGGCCCTCGTCAGTGCTGTGACATTAGTGAGTGAGTTTATTAGCCAGAATTTATTGAGCGTGTTACATACCTCTTACAAACCAAGTTCGAGCTCCGCACTGTAAGTTACGGAACCCTGTGTTTTCTGCGCAGATTTATGGCTAAGGCATGAAGCGTGCGAGCCATAAATCTGAGCGGAAAAAAGCAAGGTTCTGTAACTTAAATTACCGACTGAGGAAAAGAGTTTAGCAAGATTTCTTATATATATATATATGTGTGTGTGTGTGTGTGTGTGTTCAAATAGACGGGGAAGATTTCCATTCAAACAAACTTTTGAATCAAACGGGCGGTACAGTGGAATACGGCCCGCTAAATATTGACCAATCATAGCGCACGTACCAACTGAGCGACATAATAAATTGATATATTATCAAATTCTCCCCATTAACTTTAGAATAAATTAATGGAAGCTAGAGGGAGAATCGCGAGCCCGATCTTGAGAGCCAATCGGCTAAAGACGGCTTTGTTCATAAATTAATTTAGAACAAGCCAGGGAAATTCGAGCTAAATGAATTTTTTGGGTTTCCTCTCTTCCCTTCCAAATTTACGGTACGCCTATTCTTTCCCATTCCACCAGAAAAGTAAACAGCCAGTTTGCTTACAATAACCTGCTTGTTTTTAGAAACGGTGCCTTAAAAACTTTAACTTAATATCCTTGTACGTAACTCACGCTGAAAAATTCCCGCTAGACAAATTGGACGCAGCAAATCGGACACTTAAAAGATAGAGCTTTTCTTTACCTTTTGGTGATGATTTGTAACGTGAATTGATCTTCAACCATGGAGAATTTAAGATCTTCTTGAAGTTTATTAGGTGATTTAACGTAAACAAAAATGAAAACATGGATTGATAATTCATGTCACACCTGTCCAGTTCAGGATAAACATTTGCACAAGTTTTGGTAACTAAATATACCTCTTTTCTAACTTCTAGAAACTTTCGTCAGAGTTACGCGATTCAAAAATAATTCTCTTAGCCTCTCCACCAAAATAACGTTTCCGCCACGTTAATAGAAGAAGTCCGAATTACCCATTACTTTTTCAAGGTCAAAGAAACTACCATGCCCAAGAAGTTAAAGGAGAAAGACAAGTCTTCATCGACAGCTTTGCTCGAAGGAATGATGATGCTGTTTTTTTCTGTGTTGACCCTAATGTTTTTTCTCTGAGGACATCTGCATTGATGGAGCATTTATATCAGGTTTGACTTTTGCTCTAGCCGTTCTTCAATCGCTTTTCATTGTTATTTTACCTTTTCAAGAACTCTGTCCCAAATCCAACTTAAACAGTGGAAATGGACCATTTTGAACTGATCTTGATCTTATGGAGTCAAAGATTGACAGCAATTCGACCAAGACTGAGTCTACCCTACATGCGTGACTATGTATCTGCAACATCTTCTTCCTAGCTTCTCCTTTGCTTTCCTAAAGCTTTATTAGATGGAGCCAAAAATGTTTTGCTAGTCTAAAACTGAGTCGGTCCTCCGTCTCAGGCTACGCAACCCGATCAGCGCTGATGAGATGACCATCTGGTACCTTAAAAAGTTATGGAAACGTCGCCCTCATAAGAATTATAAGCAACCATGGAACTCGATTGAAGATGGATTGAAGATTTGATCTTTGAGCTTTACGATTTTTTTTCTCACCGTTCATTAATGTAGGACACTTTAAATTCTTGATTGACAGCACATAATTTCATGTGGAAAAAGAGGACGTTATGTGTGTTTTATTTATTGCTGGTACAGCCCTTGGCGTTTCTAAACATTTTTGTCATATTTGGTACACTTCAAGATTTTAAAATTAGTTTGATTTACTTTACAATGTAGTAAAGAGGGCATTTCAGTTACTCGTCAGAAATTTCAGTCGTGCACGGGAATTTTCAGTATACATAATCGCAAGAACCCGTAAAGTTTCCATTAAAGTGCAATAATAACTTTATAATAAAACTATTTTTATTCATTTCACCTATTATAATTTCTAGTTTAACAATGACTTTCTTACATATTTATTCAATCATTTATTTATCTATTTAATTGCCATATTGTCACTGACTCTTCATATTTCTTTCTTCAGCATTCTCTATCTTTGTTATTTCATTTGGTCTGTTACTTTTCTCAACAAAAAAAATGCATTACATATATATAGAAGTGTCTCTTTATCAATTAATTCTTTAACTCACAAGATCTCATCAGTAATTCTCCTTACTATCTGCCATATAATTCTTATGTTGTTAGTTTGGAGAATTTAGCATTGGATTGACTAAAAATCCCCTAATTGCTATTTTTCTTCATTCTCATCACTTGTCTGCTTAATATTGCACTGACACTGTAAAGAGAATTTCTCTCTTGGTCACCCATGGGAGTTAAGGGTTAATAAAGATAAACTCATAATTTTGCACACAATAGAAATACATAATTTTTTTTTAAGGAGAATAGGTAATTTGTTACAAAGTTAGTCCCAATCATAAAAAGAAAAATCTGAGTAGGTCAGGTCAACCTTCCCTTCAAAATAATATTTTAAAGTAATATAAATAATATAAAATTGATATAGAATTCCTCTTTTTCCACAGTGTAATAAATTTGGTTTTATTTTTTTTCCTGGTTACCCGTATAAACATAAAATAGCACCTTTTTCTCATAATTTGTAAATGGTAATGTGATACTGACATAGTAGAGTAAAATATAGTACCACATTTCATTTTGTTTTTAAGAGTAAGAAATTTGTCAAACATTTGTCCCTATCACTGAAATTTGAGTTCAGGTCCTGATCAGTTCCAAACATTCCCTTTCAAATAATATTTTAATAGACGCATATTGTAAATTATATGCAATTGATACAAAATTCCCATTTTCCCCTCACTACAATAACTTTTATTTTGCCCTGTTTCTGTATCAAATGGAATAATTTTTTTTGCAAAACATGTGTCTTTCCTATGAAAGAGAATTTAGTTTTCACCTCACATCTCACAAGACTTATATTGGAACTCATGCCATCCCATTTGACTCAAGCTGGCAAGGGCTCTTTTCTTGGCACAAATAAAAGCCACCAAACTCTAGCGCAGCATTGTTAAATGTTTTAGATTCAATGAGTTCATATCCAGACAAGGTCATCTTGTACACATGGAAAGTAGCAATTGCAGTGTAGCTCTCCACACACACTGGAGCAAAGCCATCCAAAGTGGGTCCAAGAAGACATGTTTCCAAAGTTGATGGTGCTGTCTCTATTTCAAATTCAAGTTTGTTTCCAAGGCTTGTTACAGTGGCATTCATTTTTCCACTGCATCCATCAATGTGCTTTGTTGTCACCAAAGAATTTGTTGGCTTAAAATTAAGTGTTGCTGCTGCACTACGATAGCCAATCAGATGGGCTGGTACATCAAATGTTTCTATGCTAAGGACTCCAAGTGATATTGCAAAGGAGGAACATGAAGGGTCGTCAACTCCTTCTGCCCAAATCCAAGCTGGTGGGAAGCTTTTGCCCCAGTTTTTTTCTTGATGTGCAAGGCCCTGATTTCCTCGTAACAACTCTCCAGACTTTTCATTGACCCAGTTATAGTTAATGAGCTCAGAGCCCAAACTGTAAACAAACCAATGAAGAGGAAGGAAGGGTAGGTGATCAATCCAGCCCTCTGGGCCCTCCCCGTTAGGGCCCCATGGTTTGGGGGGTCCTAAAACACCAATAAAACTTACACCATCCACGTTCGTAAAATTAATTCTCGTTTCGTTTTCATTCACTCTGAAGTAGCCATAGGGTTTTGCCTTCCATTCGAAGTTCGCAGGAGATTTGAAATCTGGATTGTTGGACACAGGCTTGCCATTAACAGTGACCTCGATGTCTTCGTTTGAAGGATAAACTGCGAAGCTTTCCATGGTTCGTCCATCCCCTTTGCTGTGTATAATCGAGACCATGTTTTGCGGATAATGACCAAACGCAGGGCCTTTCTTTTGCATGAGAACTTGACCGAACAAAACTCCGAACGAATGATTCGAGCTGAGATCCATGATTCGCGAATACCATCCTTCCATGAACGGACCTTCGGCTGGAAACAAGTGTGGGTCATATAGATTGCCATTCACCCATGCTTCATGAGAAATCAGGCTCGTAACAAAAGCACACAGAGAAAAATAATTGTAAGCTACCTTCATGTTTACGTGCAAGAATGAACTGCGTATGTGTTGGCTGGTGATTGTCATTCCTGTCACTGTCCTTGCGTTACAAAGAGCGCAAAAGGACAGGGTTCTAGCAGTAACCACCGCTGACCGAAAGCTGTAGTTTGTGGTGGAAATTGTGTTTACTGTCTAAACAAGTTTTACTTGGAGAACAGTTATTTGTTTGGCTTCTAAAAGCGAGAAAATGAACCAGATGTCTATACAAATTTTTGTATCCTAGACAGAAATGAATCTTACTCTCAGCTTGCAATGTGATGCACTAAAGCAAAATGTGTAATATTTCCCGCAGACTTAATCTACCTTGACAACTGGTTCACGATGACCGTTGTTTGCTCAGGAAGAGAGCAACCTATGGGCAAAAATCTCAAGAATGCACATCTGATTAGCGATTATTGAAATATTTCTTGCTGTTCTACCGAGGAAGATGGTTTGGGAGTGCAAGGAGTGTAATATGACATTTAAGACTGAACAGTTGTTTGATACTCACAAGAAGAAGTTTTGTTTCGGAAACAGTGTGGATCCTGCTCGTATTCATTCGAGAATTTCTGGTAAAGGTGGGAGTAACACTGAAAGAAGAGACAGACAAGAATTCCAAATTGTAAGTCAGCTGGTTTGTTGCAAGGGTATATATACCTTGCTGTCAAAAAGGCTACATATCCCCATGTTTCCATGTTCACACAGTAGACGTATCAATTATCACAAGCAAACAGCAGTAAATGTGCTGGTTGTTGACAAGTATCAATTTGAATTTGATATTCTCTGGGTGTATGCCAGCATCAAGTTTCTACTTTTACTAGTCAGATCAAAACTCCTGGAATGTTAAGGGAAGGGGAATGTGAGGGAGAGGAACCCCAGGGATAGAGAACCCCAGGGAAAAGCATATCAGTTCTTAATTTCCTGGCTGGCTAAAACTTCTGCAATGTAATGGGGAGGGGATACAATGGGAAGGACCCCTAGGGATAGAGAACCCAAGAGAAAGGGATATCAGTTCCTAATATCCTGGCTGGCCAAAACTCCCGGAAGGTTATGGGGAAGGGATACCATGAGAAGGAACCCCAGGGATAGAGAACTCAAGAGAAAGGGATATCAGTTCTCAATTTCCTGGCTGGGTAATGCCATAGCTTGTCTCTAACAGTGAAGATCAAGGGAATGGTGAAGTCCACAGACCCTCCTGGTGGGTGGAAAATTTGGAAGGTTAAGGCAAGGGGATGTTGAGCATAATCATGATTCTGTTATCCTATTGACATTCCTCAAGATGATAACCTAAGTTAGTTCTGATTTTCAATTTTGATATTCATTATTATGCATTGTTTTTAAAACTGTTTTTAAAACTTTGAAATCATAAATTTCCAGCCTTTTTTTATGTGTTATTTCTGAGAGACACTGTAATGTGAAGTTGAATATTTGTATTAAACTGCATGGTATAAATGTCTACAATTATTAATTTCTTCTTATCTGATCTCAGCCATTACCATATATCAAGCCTTCAGTTCATTCTGCTCCCAATACTCCATCAAGACATATCAGCAGTGTACATCCAGAAAATGATAGGAGTAGGGTGAGTATAGTTCAAAATGTACAATTTTTTTTAATCATTATCAGAGAGAGGATTAACAAAGATGGTACATTTTGAGTGCAGCAGTTGGATGAAGAAGGATGAAGACTTGAATCTTAGATCTTTGGATCTGGCAAAATCCATAGATCTTAGGTTTTTTTCTCTGAGTGGAACTCAGATTTTTTTCTTTTTTCCAAATGTGATAATAATAATAAATAATTTTTTTAAATATTTTTTATTTTGATTAATATGAGAGGTAAAGAAACCTAAACTAAACATTTGTTTGATTCCTTTATTCAGATGTTTCTTTCTAGCCAAAATCATTCCTCGCGTCATCAATCTGCACCAAACACACCTTCTGGAGAATATGATGGTATAACAGCTCTTGAAAAAGAAAAGGTTAGTTGAGCATGGAAATTAAAAAGGAAATTAAAATGTACTGAAGCATTGTATGAGTGGTGTAATACTTTATCCAATCAATTAACCCTTTACACCCTAACATCAGTATACATATTCTCTATACCTTCTCTATACATATCCTAAGGTGCTGACAAGGAGAATGTGTTTAACAATCAAGAGCTTTTTTGTTGGTGATCGTTCCCTGTATTCTTACGACTTTAATGTATGATTTTGGGGTGATAATTTGTCTGGGGACAATTTTAATTATGAAAGTCACTCAGGGTTCAAAGAGTTATTGCTATCAGCAATCAATTAAATAATAATGGTAAAAATCCTGGATGAATACTTTTCACTCTGTCAATCTTTTATAATCATTTTCTGTCATAATTATTTTTCTGTATTTAAGATTGACCAGTTAAAAAGGTTCAAGGCTCATCATATGCAGAGAAATTCAAGGAACTTAGAGGAAAAAGTTTCTTTGGACAGCATCAAAGATAGGCAATTTCAGGTACATTACTTGAAGACCAAGATAATTTTATATTATTGGATTTTCTTCTGTAGAATTCAGGCTACATGTATAACATGAGAAATGTGTTCTCTTTTAAGTGATTGCTGTGTATAAACTTACAGAATTCACTGCAATAAACATGACAGAACAAGCTTACTGTTCAGAGCAATGAACAATCCAGGTTTATTGTATTAACCCTTTAACTCCCAGATCAAATATGTAATTCTCCTTACTGTCAACCATACAATTCTTATTATGTTAGTTCAGAGAATTTAGTATTGGATCAACAAATTATCCCCAAATTGATATTTTTCTCTATTCTCATCACTTATCTGGTTGATATCATATTGATATTGTAAGGAGAAATTCTGTCTTGGTCACTCATGGAAGTTAAGGGTTCAAACATTTATTACAGACATCAAGAAGAGGCAATTACGATCATGATAGAGGTGATGACAGGATTGGGAAATTGACTGAAATTCATCAGCAGCAGCTTGCCGAACTTAAACTGAGGAATGAGAAACTCCAGGAAGAGAAAGCTAGTAAAGAAATTTATTTCTCTCTGAATCTCTGTTATTAATACGTAAACTTTGTTAAGCAATACATATCAATTTATCTTCATGAGCATCAGCAATCAGAGCTTACCTTTTGTCATAAATGATGAATTAACTGAATGTATAAATCCAGTTAAGAGATTTTGAGAAAGTCTATCTTACTTGGACCAATTTTAAATCAAGGATTAAGTTATTCATGTGTGTATTTACTGTCACTTACCAGGGCTTGCTGAAAGATTGAATTCTCTTGGAATAAGAAGTAGACAAAAAATTCCATCTCAGGGAAGTCTGGTATGAACTTTATTGATTGCTATTACTTTATTTTTAATTTTAGTATTAATCTATAATTTCTAAAGGTATGCTTTAAAACTGTCACATTGTACCATGAGTCTAGTCATTCACAAGGCAGATAACACTATCCAGTGGATAACTAACTATCCAGCAGATAAGTGTTAACAAAACATACCACACTATCCACCAGATGGAAATTTATCCAGTGGAAAGTGTTATCCAACCTTCAAACAAATGGAGCCAGATGCTTTGAACTCATTGTTCCTCTGTCTGTCAGGACCACAGTTTTGTGTTTATTGCTGATCTTTTGTCTTTTTTTGCCCAACAAATGTCATTTATCATACACATATATGCCAATGCAAAATACTGTAATCACTGTGGCACAGAGAAGGATGAATCTGAGCAAAACATGTGTGACTGTGATGTAACTTTGTCTTTTTCCCTTAAGTTCAATTTTTCCTGGTGTGTTTGTTGAAGTGCTTGTGTATACAAACATGTGCTGCTGCTGAGTTATTTGCCTAAAATATTGTTTCCTTTAATTTTTAAGAAACAACAAGCCACAGAACTTGATGGACTCAAGAGATATTTGGAATTCAAAGAAGAGGAAGAAAAGTTAGAAAATTCTTAAAACTCCTGTGTGACTTTATTTTTGAATATGTGTTACTTTCCCTCAGGCCTGGATGATTTTCTTAACTCCTGTTTTTCTTTTCCCAGGAGAAATTTCTATGCTCAGCAATCTAAGACCAATGTAATGAAAGTTTCACCCAGATCACCACCTCAAAGTGCTACAGCTGATTACTTAAGGGGTTCAGAATTGCAAGCAGTACATCCAAGGTACCATCTATTATTCATACATTTAACTATTTTAGCCTGGGGTTTTACTGCTTAGAGTATTTCACATACTACCAAAAATTGTCTTTATTAATTTTCAACTTACGTACGACAGTGCATTACTAACACTACTTAAAAACACTTGCAGTAATTACAATACTAACAATGCTAAAGTTACTTACAATATATACTACCCCTGTTGTTTCTAATACATATCGATACTCATGTCAAAGACTACTTACAAAAGGATTAAGTTAGCTTACATACAAATTATGTGATGCTTACACTACTTGCAATATGAATTTTAGATAAATAATTAGCGTACTCTGCATATTTAACAATACTTACACTAGGTGATTAGTAGTAGTAAAGCCTTTATACGGGCCCATGGGGCCAGTGCTTAACTCCAGTTTTGTCAGCATGAAGCAGCTAGGAGTATTGCTACTCCCCCCTGGATGGGATGCTAGTCCACCGTAGGGTTACCCCCAGCATATTTGCTGGTACCCATTTGTACACCTGGGTGAAGAGAAGCACTGTGACAGTAAAGTGTCTTGCCTAAGAACACAACACAATGACCCCAGCCAGGGTTCGAACCCAGACCACCCGATCCAGAGTCGAGCATACTAACCATGAGGCCACTGCGCCTCCCTACTTACAACAGGAGAGGCAGATACAATTTATGAGAGGTAGACTGCAGCATATCACAGACACAATGCAGATACATGTACTTCAATTACATTTCAGAGCTTAGCGCTACCTTTTCCTTGGTTTTTTTTCTTGTAGGAAATCTTTGAGGGAGCCATCCAATGGAAGAGGTACTGTATACTGCAGAGTAACCACACATGAACAAAAAAATTAACTGTTTGTTACAATTAACCAAGATCTCTATTTGTTATAATTCTACTTAAAATGATTTTGGTCTATAATGTGTACAGGTAGCTTATTTATATATTAAAATATTTTTATTTGTTGCTTTTGCAGGCCAGGTTGTGCCACCAGTACAATATTTTGAGCCTGGATCAGTACCACTTGGGCGGGGCAATATCTTGCATGAAATTAAGTGAGTCCTTTTCCAGATTTTAATCACTTAAAATATCATTTTAGAACACCTAAATTTGGCCATTTTTTGGCAAAGTATTCCCCCATCCAGATCCCATGGATAGCATCTGCTTTCATCACTTGTCCAGCACCTAAATTGAGTAGTACTGGGAGTTAGCTTTATCAACTCAGCTGACTACTTTGTAACTTTATCATAGCCCTGAGCATTCTGTGCCCAGCTTTGGAGAAGGCAGTCTCCATAAGTCATCAGAGTTATCTTACTGTATGTACATGTAGAATGGGCAAACATGGCCTAATTTTTTACACATTACACATTATTGTATTGTGAAACCAAGAGAAATCAAATACATGTCCAGAAACTACATGTACAGTACTGTAAGAGTAAACAGAGAGGTGGTTTCCCAACTTACACATATCTTCCTTATATTAGCTGATGAGAACTTCTGTGTTATTGTCCACAGTGTGCTGAAGAATGAATACTTTCAAAGGGGAGGCCATGATCCAGAAATACTTGCACAGATAAGAGATCTAGAGTATGAGGCACAGAGAATGCAAGCTACCCAGAGACCACAAGGTAAAAAAGAAAAGGATTATTTTTTACTTAATATTTGCCCATGTGATTGATATACATTTGTTATACATTTGTTAGCTCAGTCGATAGAGCACTACACCAGTATTGCAGAGGTCATGGGTTCAAATCCTGTACAGGAATGAATTTTTTCAGGCCTTATTTTCACCACTGCTTAAGTAGAGTTCATAACTGCAAAGATTACATTTATTCATACATTTTCTTGTCAGTCTCTCCATTTAATACATAAGGGACACAAACTTTGATCCCAGCTCAAAAAAATAGTTCCATTACCTTTCAGTTGAAGGGAAACCTCCATTCTGAGAACACTTTTACAAGTCCCAAAGGTGCCCCCTGATTGGAGGTTCCTTGATGTCTGTTACCTTAATTAAAGTAACCTTCAAGTAGATTATTAGCACTATATGCTTGTGTTTCTCTGGCCAAGGGAAAATTTGAGATGAAATTGAATTCCTTCACATTGCACTGCCCAAGGCATCATACTTTCCTATAAGTGCAAAAATGCTTCTGCAAAGCCCTAGTAAAGAGGACCTGCTCTCAGTCTATAATTAAGGGGCATGTCAATTCAAGAGACACATTTATCCCCTGAATTGAGAGTTCACTTTTATGTACCAGTAGTTACCACTGATTTGTACATTCTACCTATGAGCTTTCTTAAGGTGTACTTGAACAGCTTAACAGATGTGCATTTACTGTAATGCATCTTTCTGGCTAGCAAACCATTTAATCTGCAGTACCTTGTATTAAGTTCTCTTGTTTATGAATATATTCCTTTTACAAGCATACATATGTATGTTTGTAAAAGTAATATAAAAGGAAAACTTGCCACTGTTAGACTCACATTTACTGTATCTGTCTTAACATGACTGACACAACAAGCTGTAGATCCATTCCTGCAACAGCAAATTCTGAGTTTCCACTTGGCCAATCAGAGACTTGAACAGGAGCTGCAACTTCTAAGGGTAAGAAATGGTTTGATACATACTTAAACTAAAGATGCTGGCTTAATCGTAAAGTTTTGAATAATTAATCTCTTTGTGTAACTTCTACTGCATATGGAAAAAAAGAGTACTCTTCTTCTTTATCACTAAATTTGTTGTAGGATGAGAGAGGTCAGAAGGAAAGAAAGCGTTCACCAGGTACCACTCCTTTACTTTTTATTACACACAAGCTCTGTTTAGTCTGAAGTGCTTTGGACTCTGGATAGAGACATCTTTGCTGGAGATCTGGCTGGGTCATTATGCTTTTATTTCTTGAGCAAGATATTTTACTCTCATTGTGTCTCCTACTCACCTGAGAGGGAATTTTGAGGGGGGAGGGGAGGTGAGGTGAGCAGGGGAGGAGGGGAGAAGGAATTACAGTACAACCCACTCTACTTTACTTTCATTGTGTCCTTCTTCACCCACAGCTGAGTTGTTCAAAGCTGGTTTAAGATAACCCAGGGTTAGTGTGAAATTTGATTTCAGATCTGAAAGCTTGAGAGAAAATCCACATCAACTATTTTTGTCAACAAGTTGATAATTGGCTGCTCTAAAAAGAAGGAGGAAAATTGTCCTAAAAAGGCTTTTGAACAGAGAAAGAAAGAAACCTGGATTAAAGTTTAACCCTGGGTTAGCGCTAATCGGCCTTTGAACAACTGGGCCCAGGAGTATTAATGGGTGTCAGCAAATGTTGAGGAAACTCATTGTAATGCAGGGATGAGAGAGTGGGGGATAATTTGCAGTGGACTTACTTGTCGTTCGGGGGGGAGGGGGTGGTGCTAATACTCCTAAGTCACTTGAATCGTCATGTAAAGAAAGTGGAATAATCTCTGGTGGTGTGGCTTGCACAGTTAGTGTACAAAAGCGACTATTTCTTGGCTAGTCTTTCATTTTCCATAAATTGGATACAATTGAGACGCTTGCTTTTGATCTTTTTTCTTCAGAGGTGGATCCTGAATTCCAACGACTGAAAGAAGAGCACTTGGTGAAAATGGCATCACTTAGACAAGAAACAGAGCTTTTGAAGCAACAGGCAGAGGTGGAGAAAATGAGAAAACAACTGAAAGAGCTTAGAGGAGAGACCATAATACCACTGGAAGGGAATAGAAAGGTTTGTACGTGTTCCTTTCAAGTGAACTCTTTGGACTCACAGCAACTGTATTGCTTGCTATATTGCAGGACGTGAGAATCGCACGCGTGTCACTCACTAATTTCGCGCGTGTGGCTGTAAATTAGAAATTTCCTAAAATACAGTGACAATGCAAAGACGCTTTCTACAGCAGGTATTACATTAGACATTCGAATGCATATTTGATTACGCTATTAATTATCAGTTATTTTGAGAGCCGAAGCTCTTGTTTAATTGTTATTGCTCCTCCCAGAAGTGATTAGCAAGTAACTTCTCCCTGTAATATCCCTAAATTATTCAGGAAACAGGTAATGAGAATACTTAAACTCCTGTAATCTGGTAGAAGTTTTTATCCTGATCTAACACCAAATTCTTACAAGGAAATGTGTCGTAGCTAGAGGGAAATGTGTAGCAGCTAGAGGGGAGAATTAACAATCAGATCTTGGGTTAAAAGATCAACTAAGAGACATGTGTTATGATTTTACTGCGAGTGTTTGTCACACTGATCTATTGCTTTACATTCTAAACTACAGACGTTCGAGTCGCCATTTGTATTAACAAGTACAAGCACAGACAAGGAATTGCAGCCGAGTCCTTACGATCCAAAGTAGGTAGCCCAAATAATTTTAATTCAATGTCCTCCATCGTTTCATTTGGCTTCAAGTTCATTCACGAGTTCCAAAGCCCTTACTTTCAAAATGAGAAAGTTGAAATCTGTACATACAGGAAAGTAGAGAAGAGTATGGCTAATGATGTAATATTCTTCTTACAGTGCTGGGTTTGCCGTATTCTGGGATTTTGTTCTTGGCCTGAGCACGTCCTTTCCCAGATGTAGACTCGCTGCTGGGGTGTATCAAGGGGCAGAAATATCGACAGACGTCAAACTGCTACCAATTGTTAGAACAACAGTCATCACCCGACAGAGCCATCCCACAATCCCCCCTGGTGGAGCAGGAGTTATTGGTGTAAAGCATCCATTTCCAAGGTAAAATCTTCGATGCGTTTTATCGCTTGGCGCACATGACCAGAATTTGGCCTGTTGTTTACTAGCACCTGTGTTACTGTATCTTTAGATGTATGCCGGATCAGAATCTCGGCCTTGTTGTTGAGCTTCAAGCAAACAGTCCTGAGGACTCTAATGACCCAAATGAGCTGTTTTCAAAAGGGTGGACTAGAATTGACTTGTTTGACATGAGCAACCGACTGCTCAGTGGAAGGTACGAAAATTCATATATAATTCTCATAATTATTTCAGTGGGTTTTTTCTTTTATTTTATGGAATCCCAATTTATTGTTTGTGTTCCAGGTGGAAGATCCCGATCAGAATCTCTCCAATCAAAGCATTTCTTAGCACCCATGAACTTAACATGATACCCCAGGTTGGTCTGTTTTTCTCTTTTGCCCGTACGCCTCTGGACTGATTTGTTAATATCCTTTAACGGATAAGTTTTATATTTCGGTGTAATCTTCCTTTTTTGATTATTTCCTCCTTTACCAAATGAGTATTTTGTGATTTTCTGTCAAGTTGGAGATAAATTGGGCAGTTTTATTCAGCCTTTAACCCTTTAAGAGTGCCTAGCATCTAATGTCTCCTTACAATATCATCCCTAAATTACACATGAAAGTTAGGAGAACAGATCTCTTGATTGTTAAACAAACTCTCCCTGTCAGCACCTTGGGAAATGTAGGGAAAAAATTATGGAAAATATGCATTCTGTTGTTAGGGTTTAGTGGGTTAACTGTGTATAAATGGCTTTAGGTGATATTAACTAGTTCGTTAAATTTGATTTGACTTTTGTATCATTAAGGTCGGACAGGCAGAGCTTTATCTCAGGCTTGTGAACAGTCGCGACATACCCTCGCAAGACACACAGAATCCCCAGCCTGTCCAACATCATTTGTACAAATATCCATCAGTGGTAAGACACATCAGCTATAAACAGTGTATAACTGAATCCTTCTCCAAAACTGCAACTAAAAATTAAAACAACAAAATGTAAAACTGCACTGGAAATTTATGCCAACGTCAACTCGGCCCCAAGCCATCGTATAGAGCGCATTTCAAAACCAAGATCAAAGTGCTGATGATGGCCAATCAGCGGAAAGAAAAATAACACAGTGAGCCAATGAGAAATCAAGATTAAAACATGTGACCTGCGTGTAGCGCGGGAAAATAAGAGTTCCTTAGTCGTTGTCGGTTTCAGTTTTGTATTTCAGCGGTAGATGAGTTGGTGCAAGTTTTCTACACAAATCAAGTTGGTGCAAGTTTTCTACACAAATCAAAGACTGTTGTTTACTTTCAACACACATTTTAAAAACGCTGTGGCATGTAATCCTGTTGAATTCTCTCTACCCAGTTGTTACGTGTTGGTTTTACTTGTTTTTTTAGCAGGATTGTCTTTTCAAAAGTGTTTTTGATCGTTGTTTATCATTGTAATAAACAATTTTATGTATAATTTTTTTCCACCTTAGGAGAACATTCGCGTCATTCCTCAAGTTTCTACGCTGTCCGTCAACCACGGCTCGCAAAATTTTGCCCCAGCGCCACCCCCACCCCCGTCAGTTCCTCCCCCTTCCCCTCCCCCTCCCCGTTCCGACACCCCGGCAGCTGTTTCACAGAAAGCAGAAAGGTAAGAGTTTATCCAGAATGGTAAACCCCTTGAGACACCTCAAGGCGCTTTCATGTAGTCAAAGAAGAATCTGATTAAATAGACCGGACAGTCAAACCCTTTCTCCCGCAGCATTGACCAAAACGTAATTTCATCTAATTACATCATAGGCCGTCAAGCAGACCAATGTTGAGGATAAATATATATAAACCAACTAAAGAATTTGTTTTGATCTGCACCAATTTCTCTGAACTATTATTATAAACAAATGTATTAGAAAAAGTAGGGAGAATTACTTTTAAGATCTTAAGAGCGAAACGCTCTGATTTATCTGGGAGCTCTTAGGTAGTCATTGCTTTTATTTCAATTTCTTCAGTTTATTCGCTTTTCCTACTTCTTTTGTCTTACCATATATCATAGCGTCCCGAGAACCCCGCTTGATGAGTCAGTCGTTGGTTTCCAAGTAGACCAACTGATTGATGCCATTCAGGGAGAAGCTAGGATTAAAATAACAGTCTACGAGCATGGCGAGGGACAGGTAAGTTGTGGCAGAGAGGTTTACCTTTCAACTTGTCACGCCAAAGACAGCAGTCTAAAGTCATTCATTCGATCCATTTAGAAGTTAATCAGTGTAATATTTAGATAGCCAGTAAAACAATCAGGCTGATGAGTAATTGATCAGTCAGTCCGTCCGTCCGTCAGTCTAACAGTCGTCAGTCAGTCGATCAGTCAGTTAGTCAATCAGTCAGTCAGTCAGTCAGCCAGTCAGTCAGCAAGTCAGTCAGTCAGTCAGTCAGCAAGTCAGTTAGTCAGTCAGTCTGTCAGTCAAGCAGTCAGTCAGCAAGTCAGTCAGTCAGTCAGTCAGCCAGTCAGTCAGTCAGTCAGTCAGTCAGTCAGTCAGTCAGTCAGTCAGTCAGTCAGTCAGTCAGTCAGTCAGTCAGTCAGTCAGTCAGTCAGTCAGTCAGTCAGTCAGTCAGTCAGTCAGTCAGTCAGCCAGCCAGTCAGTCAGTCAGTCAGTCAGTCAGCCAGTCAGTCAGCCAGTCAGTCAGCCAGTCAGTCAACCAGTATGCTAGTCAGTCAATCATCCAGTTAATCAGTCAACCAGTTACTCAGCTAGTCATTAAATCGGTCAGTAAATCAATAGTTCGATATTAGGAAAAGAGATGCTCTACGTCAATTCGTAAAAGAATCCTTTCCTGGTCATATTTTCAGGTTCTTAAAGGAGACAATAACATCCCAATAATGTGTGTAACCAGGTCAGCAAAACAAGACTTCCTTGAGGGAATATTCTCCTTTGGATTACAGGAGGTAAGCACAATTTCATTATGTTTTCATCGCACCTTTAAACCTCTATACCCTAACATTAACTTGCAAATTCTCCACATTTCTCTTTACACGTTTCCTTTGATAGCGACAGGGAGAATATGGTTAACGATCAAGTTGTACTTAAGCAGGCGATCATTTCCTTAATGCTTTATTCAGTGGCGATGATATAAGGAGAGATTAGATGATACAGTCATGATATAGTCACTTGTAAGGTGAAAGAGTTAGGAGCGGACTTGAAATGAAAAATCCCTACAATATTTCCATCAATTACCAAAATAACGGATGCATATCCTACAAACTAGAGTAAACTTTTTAAACTACATTTCGAACCACAGACAAGGGTTATACATTCTGTATCGTTAGGGAGTATAAGACGGGACCAAGCCGGCTTGATATGATTAGTTCAATTGTTTTAACCCTGGAGAAAGTAGCATTGCCTTTTGTGTGAGATTTTTTATTACAGTAGTTCAGTCTGCTTTGAAATTAATTCGGATGAAAAAGGATAAAAAGGAGAGCTGCTTTACCTAGTTGAAAAACCTTACTACGGTCCTTTGAAAATAGAAACCTGAAGTATGGCGAAAATTAATTTTTTGTCACTCTGAATAATATGAAAATTTTCGCGAATGAAGATTTGTCAGTGATTGATAAATTGGTCATTGAACTCAGCAGCGGAATAAGATAAAGAGTTTGGAAAGGTTTTATGTCGGAGACCGGGCCGTACAAAGTTAAGATTTTTGATTGACAGATTTGTGCATGTGAACGCTTCGAAGCTACCCCTTTTCATCTTGAGTTTGAACGGAACTGTGGGCAAATATTGGTTGTACGTAAAAAAACCTTTCAAATATGACTTGTTCGACTTTATTGCTTCCTGACATTTATGGAACTTTTTCATTTATTTTGAGAAGTCTTTGTTTTATTGTGACACTAATATCTCTTCTTCTAACATCCAAAATATTATTAACGTAACTAAGATGGAAAATTAGCATTTAATTAATAGGGATTGACGTCAAGGTGTCCTTTGAAACATCCGGGCTTGATTTGCTTGAGGCTAAAAAGCGTCATTTGTTTAATTAAAAACATTTTAAGAAGTCTGATATCTTACACTATTGACTTCGATATATTTTAAGCCTTTCTGATTGATTTAACTCTAAGTTTTTCAAGATGCATAGTTCTTGGATTCGCACTCTCCATTAGGGAAAACAGTAGCTATCATCATGTTATAAATTTGATTTTTCGTAAAAAGATCCAGTTTATTAATGCAAGTGCGATTATATGCTTTTAAGAAACAAAATAATCTATTCAAAGACAATTTAAAATTTATTCTTGTAAGTTAAGTGTGTTTATATGATTTTACCAAACAAAAAAGTCTATTTGAACGAGACTTTCAATTTATTCTTTCAAGTTCAGTTCACGAAAAGACTATTCTCTTCAAAAGAGACTTTCTTTAGAGTATTCAATTACTTAAATGGAAATAATCGTTAAGCTAAAAGTGCAAAATTTTGAAGTTATTGAAATTCAATATCCCCTCCTACGTGTTTTATGTTTACAGTCGTGGGGATCAAAGACATAATACGCCAGCTTTATTCTATGGTGCAATAATTTATGTACAAATTCTTTAAAAATGCTTTTTATTTTTGCCTTTGCTAATTACATTATATGATAAGGAAAAGCAAGTAACGTTTGCTCCAATTGGCATTGATATGAATTTTTACCTGATTCGTCCCAAGACTCCATCGCTGACGCGCGACAAGGCACTGCGACCTGGGAAGCGGGGTATGATGGGAAGATGGATGTGAAGGTCTCTCATCTTCTTTCTCTCCTGACCATCATACATTGCAGTCCCTTTTCCCCCTTACGGCACGTTCTTTTAGACTCCTTGGGACGAGTTAGCAATTAAACCACGTGCATGCTTGAGGAATTTTTAAATGGTTTCCATAGAAACTTAAAAATGAAAACTGTGCAGTGGATATTTTTATTTGATGCGAATTCCGGAAGTGCTAATTGGCACGTGACTTGTGTTATTAGAATTTTTTTTTTCCGTGTGCTTTTCATCGCAACGGAGCATTTTGCTTTCTATTTTCTCATTAAACTCATAAATTCCCATTCTATGTTCACGGCTCAGTGGTCGAGCCTTTTGACTGGCATCAGAAGTAAGTGAGGCGCTAATCTCACTTCCACCCTCCCCCCCCCCCCAAAAAAAAAAACACGTTCTATCTGAAGTTGTTGGGAAAATGATCATATAAAAAACTTTTACGTCAACGAAATACTTCTCTTCGAATCAAATAATCACAGTACTGTAAAATCCACCGACAAATTCTTAATTGCGAACTTCAGTTCAATATAAATAAGCTTTTCCTCTAACAAATCCATCAATTCCAAAAAATCACTTAATGAATCAAAAAGTTACTAATTGATAAGCGTCTCTTTCTTTACAACTGTGACTGGAGGTGTATCTCCACTTTTACTGATCCACTTGATTTTCACTTGTTTCGTTCGGCTTCGGTTCTCTGTATCGTTGTCGTTTTTTCCTTTGCCTGTTTCATTAACCTCCTCAATTTCCTCCTCCACGACTATATACTCGCCATGCTGCTGAGTGCCGTTCGGGAAGATGTACGTACCAGGGCCGATCATTTTGTCGTCGTAAAAGTTGCCGATGTAGTTTTGTTTTCCGAAAGTCAATTTTCCCCTTCCTGCGAAAAAATTAATAAAGAATACGAAAGTTTTGTCTAATGGCCGTGTGCGAGGTCCGTGCGTCATCACCTTAAGCCAAAAATTTTTCCGTTCGGTCCTCCCTCTGTACATAGTATTTAGAAATAAACATCGCGATAACCAAAAGAAATTTGTTCCTCATAGCAGAAATAAGTTGGGAAGAAAGAAATCAGTTTGGGGAATTTTGTTTTTTAACTCTTTCACTCCCGAGATCTGGGTGTTAACTCTTCCCTCTAGCTGCTACACCAGAATTTGGTGTTAGATCAAGATAGCAAGCTCTACTTGATAAGTTTGAATATTCTCATTACCTGTTTACTGAACAATGTATGGATATTATAGGGAGAAGTTACATGTTAATCACTGGGAGTTAAAGGGTTAATCAGGCTAAAATTTTGAGAGTAAGATAGGGAATTGTAATGGGTTCTTCGCTGGTGAGCGGTGAGGAGAATTAATATTCGATCTTGTAAGAAGCTTTCTCATTATTTGATTTCTTCGGTGTTCGTTTACATTACCAAAGTATTTTGGTAAGGTTTTTTTTTTGGTTCAAGGTAGTTTTCTACTTAGAAAAGCAACTGAGAAATATCTTTGATATCTGTAGCTCTTCCCACGCAACTAAGTAAACGGCAAGGCGACCGACAACAGCGATAGAATTTACAAATGAAATGGAAAACGAAGCCATAAAATTTTGGATAAAACCTCTATAGCTTGCAAATTTGCCTTCCATTGCGTTACGGTGCTGATAGAAAATTTTTCCGTCCTAGGATAACGAAATTCTATAAGTATTGCAAAGGAAAGAGAGCCAAGAAAATTTGCCTTTTTTTTTCAGTAGTCTGGCTGAATTTATTCTGTCTTAAGTTTTGTGAAGTTAAAATTATGCTGTTTTTAAAGACATTTTTAATGAGATGAGAGTGGGAGTTGTAAATGGAAGTGGATATTTTACGAAATTCGCTTAAGCCACAGAGAATTGAAACGTTACAGTGACGATCGGATTAATTGTTATTGTAGTAAATCCATTTTTTTTTTCCGCTTATGAGTTTTAAAACGCAATGGTCTACTTCAGCTTATCTCAGCTTCAATGCACAAGGGTGTAATTGTTTCCATTTATTCTATATTATGACTGGGTGATAGTTTGAGTTTTAATTTAGCTCTCAGTCGTATTTTTGACATTTTGTATTGACTAAAACCTGCTCTTCGTGTATGTTAAAAAAACCTCTTTAACCTCATACTGAATAATGATCAAAACTCATTTTGGTCGTGGTGGAGCTCGTTGTGATACGCATTTGCAATTTTTAGTTTAAAAGTATATTTTGCCTTCAAAAGTTTTGCCCCTTGTTATGATAGCCATTCTTCAAATTTATTCCGTAATTTAATACATTAATTTTCGGTTCTTTGATCGCAAAGCGCTCATTTGCATTCGTCGATTTGCCATCAGACAACTTGTTTAGTTTCTAATGTAAAACTGTCTCCATTATATATGTACCAATGTTTGTTTTTACCAGTTCCAGTTTGTTTTTTAAAGTATAAAAACTCGCCAGCGACAACTTTCAGCTTTGTATCTGTTTTTTCTTTGTGTTCGTACGATTTGTCGGTTTTAATTTATTTATGTCCAGCACGTTTTCCTTTCTTAATATTTAATGGGCATGTGAAAGCTCCTAGCAACCCTTTCTTCAAAAATTTCTTTTATAAGGCGAATATCGAGAGAAATGTTACTTTTTAATCGTGTGGCAAGACGTGATTATCATCAAATTATCTCTTCAAGATCGTTCCATAAATAGAGTTTTTTTTACATAGTTTACGATCGTCAAAAATTCTGATCGTCAAACTGTTTGCCCAAACTGAGTGATCCGCCATCTTCGAGCTGAGGTGCAAATTGTGATCGAAGTGATTCAAACTGGTGATATTACGGTTAACGTATTCAAAAGCAAAGCCTTATTACAAGACCGTTTCGACTTCTTTGTTTTGTGTTCGTCTTCAATATTTTACACTAAGTACGCAATTATTATTTTTGTACCAAAAAACATCTTGAAAAAGCTAACCTGATCTTTTTCCTTCGAACCACTGTCCTTCGTATGACATTCCACTCGCCGCGTATGTATACGTCCCTTGTCCGTGTCTTCGGTCGTATTCCCATTCGCCTCGATACAAATCGCCATTGGTATAAAAATAAGACCCAAATCCATGCCTGAGATCGTCTCTCCAGCTTCCCTCATACTTCGCTCCATCAGGATACAAAAAAGTCCCTTGTCCGTTTTTCTTGTTGTTTTCGTAATGCCCCATATAACACGCGTTTCGCGACTTGCCCTTGAGCTTTCTAAAGACATATTTACCATAGCCATTTCTGTACCCGTGCTTATACTGTCCTTCGTATATATCGCCATTGGGCAGCCTTGCTTTCCCCTTTCCGTGCCGTTCGCCGTTTTCGTTCCGATCTCCTTCGTACGTATACGGTAACACCTCGTTTTCGGAGTCCATCTCCTCGTCAGATTCGCGTAACGTTTCCATGCCACCAAAATTTCAAATAAAAAAGCCAATTTGTTTTATTCAAACTCACAAGAATTATAAAATGCGTTGAGAATTTTTTAATCTTCCGTGTGGTGGAAACTACTCGCTTTTTCTCGAGAATAAATCAAATTAAGTGATATTTTGTCGCGCAGATCAAAACTTCAAATATACTGTGACACTGAAATGCTCGCCTTAAACTTCCCCCACAGATAGACCGCCAGATAATTTTAATTTTTAACCGCGTGTTTTTAGTTTGCTCTGAAAGCGTCTATTCGTGGATAAAAAAAGAAAACCTCTACACGAATCGCGTTAATATTTTAAAGATGTCTTTTGTGATTGTGTTGGGGATACTTTCGCTTTAGAACAGGGTGATGTATTTAAATCATTCCTGAATATTTCAATTGGTGCTTCACTCGCAAACATGGCCAGACACTCAGAAAACATAATCGTGCTTCTGAATTATTAATTGGCTGGGAAATTTTTTGCGGTAGTATTTCCAAATTATCTAAAATATGCAAAACAGGGGAATTGCCGGCTAACTGCTGCGAAAGATATCGCTTGGGGCAGTTGTTTTTCTTTTTCTGCGATAGCTACTATATCATTTCATCGTTTAAACCCTTTTGTTGTGAGGAAGGAAGACTATAGCGATTAAAATCCTGACGCTGATGGGAAAAAATTTAGTGCTATAGTTTTTCCAAAAATAAAGTGATAAGGAACATACACATTCAAATTGGCCGCATATTTTTTTTTATCACGCAGGTTTGCTCAATGCACCTTTTTCATTCAATGTAGTTCTCTCAATTAAACTGAAGCGAGAACACTAAACAATTTGGAAACATATTTTTTTGTTTAAGTTACAGTTCGTCCATTTCAATTTTGTTTTTCATTTTTTTTTGTTTCAGTTTGAGAATTTTCTTCCGCAAGGTTGATGTACTTAATCAAAATAATCTTTATGCCTCAAGTTCAGTGTTTTGCACCGCGTCATTAATATTACATACTTTTTAAAAGGAGATAATTTTTATTTTGATTTCCTTTGATCCCCAATAAAATTTAAAATAGAGAATGTTTCTGCTTCAAATATAGAGTCGTCACAAATTTATAGAGGTACAAAAGTACCTTCATTCAGTCCTTTTTAAACATTGAGGCTGATGCCTTCTCCAAGAAAAGAGAATCAGAAGGAAAAATTTTCTTAACTCCTTACGGAATAAGGAGTAATAAATAAAGTTTGATTTCGTTCATGATCGATGAATGATTGTAACTGAGTTCATAAATGTTCTGAATACCTCGTTAACCTCCTGAACTCTAACATCAGCATTCATATTCTCCACACTGTTCGCTTTACATTTCCTTTGGTACGAATTAGTAGAATTTGTCTCACAATCAAAGCTGCTAAGGTTTGCGATCATTTCCTTTATTCTCATGATCTTAATGAATGGTTCAGCAGTGTTACTGTAAGGAGAAATAAGATGCTGATCACTCTTACGGTTTTAAGGATGACTGTATACGCTTCTTGAACACAGGTGCTTCGGTAAACTTTACGATCAAATTTCAAGCAACTGGCCTCCTTGTTATCTCAATCGATAAATTCAATTTGTCAGTCCTAGTATAAAAGATCTGTAAATTTTCTTCGAAGGGGTACTCTGCGGTGCACCTTTAAATTTCAGGAACGTTTTATCAATACAAGTTTTCATTTGTGGTCAGTTTAAGAAGATATGGTCTTACGTTAACGAAGCTTGGAAAAGCAGCAGTTGAACATCAGCTTGGAATTTATTTACGTGAAATTAACTGTCATAGCTTGTTTGCGTGCCATCTTTTTTCAATTTTTTTCACACTGGTTACAAAACCGTAATCAACATTGAAGATGGCTCCAAATGGTTTCATTACCTTTAATCACCAGTTCTCTGTGTTCGAAGCCACCTTTTTTGTGTGTTTGTTTCCTTAAAGTTTAGGTCAAGAAAGGGTTAATTATTTCTCAGCAAGTTGTGACCATTAAACTTACAATTTAGGTTACCATAGCAACACTACAACAGACACCCCTATTTTTCTCTTTGTGTGCCTGTAAATCAATATTAAGCTCATTGATTCCCATCTTTTATCTCTGAATTGAAATCAACATATCAATATTCAATAAAGGGGGTAAGTTTCTAAAGAAACTGTGGTGCTGCGTCGGTGGGAGAGTATAACAGGGTAATTTAGTGCTATCAACTGAGTTGATAACGTAAATTGACCACCGTAAAGAGTTTAAAGGCTGACGTTTCGAGCGTTAACCCTTCGTGAGAGCGATTGACGAAGGACTAGCGCTCGAAACGTCAGCCTTTAAACTCTTTACGGTGGTCAATTTACGTTTTCAACTTAGATGATAACACCAAAATTACCCTATCAATATTCATCTTTCTGCCAAGTTTGAAAAATAATCTATACATACAATTCAGAGCTCCCTCAACCTCTAAGTTGGACCTTTTACTCTTTGGCCGGTACGAGCGGGCATCTGATTTCTCCTCACAATATCAACCCTGAATCGTATATTAAAGTCACGAGAGCAAAGCTAATGATCAACTAAAGAAGCTCTTGATTGTTAAACAAATTCTTCTTGTCAGCATCATAGGAAATGTATAGAGAATAGTTTGGAGAATATGCTTACTGATGTTAGGTTAAGAAGGATTATCTCTTACAGTTCTCCCTTCCACTCAGCACAAGCTAAATAGGTATCTCTTCTAAGTGAATCTTTTCTTAACTCTCCCCAGGCCCAATTCAGAAACGTTCCTTGGGACGCGCACTCCATCGTAGTGTTTCGGTTGTACCTGCAACCAGGGGATGCATCCACTTCTGCGTCTAATCTGCTGGACGAGAGCAAACTTGCAGCGTGGACTGCTATACCGCTGGCGTTAACTGCAGGCTCGCAAGCATCTAGACGTGGAAGACTATCGGGAGGTATTCAATATTGCGGCTAAATGACCCGGAAAATGATGAAAGTGTTCCTGCTAAGCGGGTGGTTTTCAAGCCTTTCTGAAGGAATTGCTTTGTAAAACTTTCAATGTCAATAGCAATACATTATCCAGCAAACGGTTGATGAAAACAACAAAGCTGTCGGCCTGCGGATATCATTTTGATAAAGCGGCAGCAAATGCCCCCTACTAATTAACAAGGAATCGTGTAGCAGCAAGAAGGCAGAATTGCTTATCAGATCGAGCGAGTTGAAAGGTTAATCTACAGCTAGTGTCCCTCATATGCATCACCAAAAGAGGAACGAAGAGACGAGAGCTAGCATTAACCATTAGTTTTTATAGATATTTTTCTATTGTTTATTAACATTTAGGTAATCAAGGCGGAGGACCAAGGCTAAACATTGGTACTCATTATCTTCCTCTGTTTTTCCCACCGGTTGTTCCAGTTCCTAATATTCCACTGCGGGTAAGATACTGAACTCTCACCATTATGTAACAGGGTAATTAAGTATCATCAACTGAGTTAATAATATAAATTGGCCACCGTAAAGAGTTTCAAAGCTAATGTTTCGAAACGTCAGCCATTAAACTCTTTAAGGTGGCCAATTCAAGTAATCAACTCAATTGATGATACTAAATTACCCCGTTATACTCTGACGCAGCACCACAGTTTCTATAGAACTCCCCCCCCCTTTTATCACTACTGTAGGTCCTTTCGTTGTATGATGATTTTCACTGGATTCTCTTTAAGGTGAAACCAAGGTATAAACGCAGCAATTAAATGATATGTAGAAATAAAGTGACACGGACCGAATGAGAATTTACATTGAATGCTCGTGCGATCAGAAGCGAGAAAGGGCGATTTTGTATCTGACTGGATTAGTGTCGGCCGCGAGGTTTTAAAATCAGTATAACAACGTAGGGGTTTCATTAAAAGCTGGTGTTTGGCCGTCTACCGCTTGCGAGCAGCATCTCATGTTTGGGCTTCACTTTCGATCCCTTTGCGGGGCAAAGCCCCTTTTTGCATCATCGCCTGCCTCTCATGGAGAAAGTTATTGAATTCCCTTGTAATGCACAGCAATATAAATGGATTGTTTTAACTATCAGTTGAATTTTTCTAAAGTGTTTATATATGGATGTGCTTCCAAGGTGTTTCCTAGTCCTAATGTTTATTGGTCCTTGATATCAGGGCCCTTTTCCGGAACAGTGGTCCCCCTATGGACAGGCCTCGTTGAGGGTATCTATTTTTGGTTCAGGCAATCTTCCACCTGCGACATCCAGTCCTCCTGAAGAATTTCAAGATGAAAATGACCTTCCCAAGGTAAGCAGGCACTCTTTTTACTGAAAAATACAAATTCGATTTTATGTACGGCCTTGTAGAAGTCCATTTGAATGTATGGATTCATTCATCCTAACATCAGTGTGCATATTCTCCATACTGCTCTCTATACATTTCTTATGTCACTTACAAGGAGAATTTGTCTAACAATCAAGAGCTTCATGAATTCGCAATCATTCCATAATTGTCATGACCGTAATGTTTGTTGGTCTACGTTTACAGTGAATGTGATTGATCGTCACCTGAGTCTTACCTTTTTTCGTCATTCTAGGATGTATGGATAAAGAATGGTCGCTCCTCTATACTTACTGACGAATTTGAAGAAGGGAATGGCTTTGATCTTTATATTGACGCCGCACGATTTCTTCCAGACAGTGTCAGCGTCACTAAGGTGTGTTTAAAGTACAGTAGAACCCTGCTAACTTAAACTCCTAAGGGAAACAAAACATTGTCTGAAGTAGCTGATAGTAAATGATTGAAAAAATGATCCTTACTGTCTGCTATACATCTCTTGTGACTTAAGCTCTGAGAATTGGGTGTTAAATCAAGGAATAAAACAAAGCTGATACAAATATTTCTTCTGAAAATTATGTTGGTCTTATAAGGAGAACTGGTCACCTCTAGAAGAGAGCGGAGGCAACACCTGTTAACCCTTTAACTCCCTAGATCTCATTAGTAATTCTCTTTACTGTCTGACCTACAATTCTTATTATGTCAATTTGAAGAATTTGGTATTGGATCAACTAATAATCCCCTAATTGATATTTTACTTTATTCTCGCCACATACCGTTTTGATATTGTAAGGAGAAATTCTCTCTTGGTCACTCATGGGAGGCAACACCTGTTAAACGATTGCTCTTAACTCATATCATTGCTACTGACTTCCGTTTTCAGGTGGCTGGAAGAGTATTGGACAAGAACTACACAAGGTAAAACTTGTGGTAAATGATTAATGGGATTTCAGATAGGCAATCTACTCACCTTGTGCAAGAACCCAGATCCTGCGTTCAAACCAAGGCTAGGATGTTGTGTTTTTGTATGAGACACTTGCCTCGACCGCCCCTTTGTACACAAAAAAGGAGACGAAATAGTAAGGTGAACTGAAAACAAAAGTTCTGGCGACTCTCTGTTGTGGACCAAGAGCGACAATATTCCAGGTCGGGTCAAGCCAAGGAAAGAGGAACAACCCCCCCCCCCTCCCCCGTACTTTTTTTTTACTGCAGACGTTGTTTGGCGAAGGCACATTACTCTCACAATGCTCTCTTCACCCAAGAGTATCAGTTATTGGTGTAATGTCAGGGAAGCTTGACAAATTGCTGGGCGAAGGGGGGGAGTTGACCTGTGATTGACTAGCGTCCCACTGAGAGGAGTACTCTTGAGTCCCTACATTTTATGAACAGCCCGAGCATCACGAAATATAACACAAGGGATCAAACTCAGTATTGAGCAACTGCACACCTTCCCCTCCCTTTAACCAAAATTGATCCTTACTTGTTATCAGTTGACTGTTGTAGGGTTAGGGGAGGGGTTAGTGCGCAATTGCTCAGATGCTGACATTGATCCTACACAAGTATTCTCTTTTCCTTTCTGTTGATTTTTTTAGAATTGGTGTAGACATTGACGTACAGGCTACACTGGACAGTGATATCTACAACCCAGAATACAACTGCAGGACAGAATATCGAGACCCAGTCTTCCCGCAGTCTTGCACTCTAATGTTGAAAGTGTACACAGTGGATAGGATTTCAAAGACTCTTTGCTGTGTGGGATACGGATTCCTACCGATCTTTGTTGAAGTTGGAACAACAAAACAACCGTCTGTCAGCAGCTCGAATGTTAAGGTGTGTTATATTATGTTTTGGTAACTTATTATAGGTTGGTTTGGACTCTTAGCTTACCTTTCTTTCACAATACGGTCGTTTATGAGATGAAAATAATCCGCAGCTTACACAAGACGCGAACTGAGCTGATGAAATCAGCGAGGCTTCTACAAGCTGCAAGGTGCTTGTATAAATGGTTCGCGTCTCATGACACGTTGAGTTTTGCAAGCGGTTGCGAGCGCGAGAATAAATAGCGCTCGCGTCGTACGTAAGCCGCGAACAAGCTGCGATGTCATTTATACGAGTGGTTTCGCGTGTTATTTGAGTCGCGGCTTATTTGAGACGTGCTCAAAACCCTCTTTTTGCCAAAGCCGCGTAATGTAAAAGTGGAAATGTACCGTTCATACGATGAGTTCGTGTCTTACATGTATGTGAGCCGCGGCACATATTGAAGAAAATCTTCCTGTATTTTATTTTAGGTTGCTTTTAATGAAGGTCCTCACCAAATACGTTTGTATGGTGGTTCTCCAGACCTCTCTCAACCTTTACACGAGAGCGTGACGCAGAGTCTGTCGTAAGTATCTGTGTAAACACTTAATAAAAAAAGTCAATCAACCAGCTAGTTGAGCGGTTGGTCAGTCAATCGGTCAGTCCGTCGGTCTAAGGAAACATTGTGGTGCGTCGGGTTGGGTATTACATGATAATTTGGTTAATGTGAAAATGCCACCAAAGAGAATTTTGAGTGTTTGCCCTTCTTCGTCCGAGCAAAAGGGGGAAAGGGAGTCATACAGATAGTTAGGAAGTAAGTTATTCAGCCAGTCAGGCCATCACACAGCGAGCAAGTTAGTTAGTTAATCATTTGATCAATCAAACAATCAATTACTCCCTTAACTTACATCCTGAAAACGCCTTGCCGTAATGGCTAGCTTTTGTTATGCTTAGTTTACGATCCTGACTGCAAATAATTTGACTCAACAGTCCTGTACCATGTGCTAGTTTGTTGGTAAGACTGGTTCAAGCGGCTTGCCATCCTAATGGAAGACCAAAAGAGGTAGGTAAACACTCTCAACATGATGCCAATAAATGTAATTACCATATACCGCACCGGTGAATAGTACTTTTTGGGCGCGCTGATTGGCTAGTCCGGAAGTGATGAGCAAGTGTAATTCACCTCCGAACAGCAGAATAGACCAATTGTAAGATAAGAGTTCGATTTCCGACCGTTTTTCGGTATATTGAGAGACGGAAACTAAATTTTTTCAGTTTCTGTATGGTATATGCTTAAACAACCTCCATGTCGGTCAAATGTGGTGGATATTTACCTTCACTTCTGTGAATAATTGATTAATAATTATAATTATGGTAAATACGACGACGACGATGACGATGATCCGGATGACGATGACCCGGATGACGATGATCCGGATGACGATGATCCGGATGACGATGATCCGGATGACGATGACACAAATGACGATAACAATAAGGCTTGATGGTTTGTCTTAACTTTGTATTCAGCAGTCCGTGATGTGGTGTTGTGAGATTTTTACGACATACTTTGAATTGGGAAAATGATCTTTTGCTAAAATAGAAGAACACCAGTAAGTTAAAAATAAAACCAGATAAAGAACCAGAATAACTTAGAATGAATAACTTAGAAAAACACTGATTGAAATGACAAATTTGAAATATTCAGGCTGGATATTTCAAGCTGTACTAATCATGATGCAGGTCCCTCAATCCACCGCCACCCAGAAGTGATCAACTTTATTATCTTTTTAGGCTTCAGAGTTCAAAGAGTCAGAGTGGGAGTCTGAGGGGCTGTTAGACCCCAAACCGAACTACGCAGACGGTGAGTTTCCGAGGATTTCTCATAAACCCCATTAAATCTTATATAACGTATCTTAAATATGCCAAACAGTAGTTTACGTTAGCCAAGGGTATCCCTGAGTTACGAGCCCTCGATATCAAAAGCCCCTAGTATTATAAATCTTCAATATACCAAAGCCCCTCCATTACAGTTAGCTCTCTTATATAACAATCCCCAAATAACGACCCCCCCCCACCCCATCCAACTAATCCTCGCTATATCAAACCCCCAATACGACGAATCTCTAATGTAACGAACCTCCAATGTAACGAGTCTCTGATATAACGGGGTCCTAGTATTACGAACCCCCGATATGACAAATCCCTGATAAAGCGTGCTCACGATATGATAAACCTTTGACGTAAGCCCCTATGTAACGAACCCACGCAATTTCGAACTTCCCGAACGAACGATTTAACAAAATATAACACGGTATTGTAACATTTTATTGTGAAACTGTTTTCACTGTATTAGTCTTGACGAGCTGCTTGGTTCCCTCTTGTCTGTCGTAGCAAAATCTTATCGTTATGCTAATATGCAAAGTGAAAGCAACGATGTTGGCTTGACCTCTCCTTCACCTGATGTTCAAATCGTACCTTGGTGTAGGTCTTTTTCAGTTAAGAAGAGAAATTAATAATGATATTATTCGACTAAAGATGAATATCATATTTATTTATTCCATCATAACAGAGATTAATATTTCATTCTTCCTTATTCTGTTTATAACACAATGTTTCGAGATAATCAACTTAAACTTTGCAAACGTCATACCAAACAACAGCTCCATGATCCAATGACCTTTTTACTGCTTAAGTAAATTATTGCATTGTCCGAAAACTTATGAAATGACCACTCAATTAAACCACTTCACCTCAACTTTCATAGGTTACCATTTGTTTGTCAGCGTTTTAAAACTTGAAATGCGGGCTTTTTCTTTTCTTTTTTTTTTTGCATTTTGAGCAAAACTAATTGATCATCACAAGATGAGATTGGCTTGCGAAATATTTTTAAAACAAAGCAAATTAACAGGTCCCCCTAATTTGCACTCTTTTCCTGAAGTGAAGCGAATCAGCATTAAGTGAATTGACTCAATACCATCACGTACCCTGTTCAACAAAAATTACATTTGAAAATCACGGGGAAAACTTTGCACCTTAAAAAAACTTAAAGAACTCTGACCTTACTGACCACTCAGGAATAGATAATTGCACACTTGATTTCACATCGCTCCTAGATCTTACATGACACACGCTTTGCGGTTTTGTCATTGAACATATTTCACTCCAAAAGCGTGACAATATACACGCTTGTTTTTATCGTGTTAGAATTAACTTTCCCAATGTTATTTTATACATTATTGTTTCATGAGAAGGATTTTATTATCTTATGTGTCTAATCTCTCTTTGTTTTAGATCTGTGTTTTGACCTTATGGCATTCGTCTGAAATTTTAGTAGATTCGTCTAGTGATTCTATTAACGTAAATGATAACGTGGCTTAAAATGCTTTTGAGACAAAGTAAAAGTCATGATGTTGTGCAAAAACATATCCTTAGTAAGAGATAAGTTTTTTCCTATTTACTTTCCCCTCAATTGATTAGTTAGTTATTTCGAGCATAGACTATTTTTCCTTATTACTAATGCATAGAATTTGCCACCTCAAAACAATGTTCAAAACACACGATATTTTTTTGAAAGAAATTAGGCGTTTTTGCTCTCGAACAATAAGGTCATGTCATCATTCGCTCTTTTTGCCTAAGCCCCGCTACCTAAGAGAGCAACACCATGTGTCTAAAGAAATCCATAGCTGGTAAATAACTTAGATATTCCACGGCTGCTATCAGTCAGTATTCTTTGAATAATCAATGTTATCAGATTCCAAACTCGTTAATTAGACCACAGATCATATTAAATAGGCCTAGTGGTTCAGAGTCAGTAAAGTTCATCCAGAGCAACGGTAGATTTTTGTGGACTGAATTTTATAGCTTCGTAGAAATCTGTTTAGTGTATACTTTGTTTTCTTCGCATGAAACACCACAAAACGTTAGCCATAATATACGCTTTTACCGAAGAAAAAATCATTACCTAGGTTAACTTCTAATCCTGGAATAACGTGACCTTCTTTCGAACAGTCGTAGTGAGTAGCATTTGTATTTGCATGATTAAAAGTGCCTTACTTCACAGGAGTGAAAACTCTCGTTACTCGACTGCGTATACTGATCCCTATGGTTTCGTTGTTAATTACAGCAGGCAAACAGCAATGCAACCAAGTCAGTTTCTCTCATAGGAGTATCAGCAGACGATATTTGTGATTCACAAAATATTCTTTCAACGTTCAAACCGGTTGGTCTAACCTTGCTGCAAGTTGGTTGTGTTTTCTCCTGAGGTGTTTCCACTTTGTAATCGCTCATCGATGACGCGGAAACATTGAACTTCTCTTGGCAAATTACAGATTAAAACAATGGTGGCTCCGTTGACAAAAAGTTTTCATTGCTCACATCTTCATCGTTTTTAACACACAAACACTCTTGATTTCAAACCTCAGTTTATGTTAAATTCATATGTCTTCCTTCACTTTAGAGCAACGCACCGGTTGTGGCGTTGACACCTTTCTTACAGCATCTGTCCTTGCTTTCTCAAAAGCAGCTGTTGTTTTTCTAAGCGTTGTAGGAGGAGCACTCCCTCTCCGTCGTTGAAGGTCTAATTTCTCTCTTTTCTTTTTTGTTCCCTCTTCAATCACTCTGAGATTCTGATATATTTCGTGAAACGCCTGTTTCATGGCATCTTCATACTTCATTGCCTGATTGCCTCGCACTCTCTGTCGCTCGACGTTTTTCATGGTAAATAGTGGAACCACTGAATTGAAATGACCCCAATGGTAATCTGTCCAAGACTTGTGTTAGGCTGTTTTACGTCCGCTCCTAAGGAAATTTTGCGGAAGTTGTCAAGGCGTATGGACTTGTTTTGCCAGCTCTTTGTATATTTCTGCAACTAATCGAATTTTATTTTGCGTGGGAAGAGTTTTGATTTGTGACGTATAAAAGAGAAATCACGTGTTAAAGGTTTCTTGTCTAGGAGTTTTTTTTCCTTGCGCTTCTTTTCTACTTAGTGGGCAAGCGAGGAAAGCTCAGCAATTGAAAAATTTGATACGAACCTGTGCAATTTCGTGGTTCAAGTCTTCGAACTGCGTGTTTATCAGCTTTTGTTGTCACTCAACCTTGGAGGGTAACCACAACAAATGTGTAGGCAGGATGTGTCTCTGTTATGAATCGATTGTCACCTGAGGGATGTATTTTAGGCTATAATTTTATTTTGATTAATCTCTATAATTTCTCAGCTGGATGCTCAACTTTTGTGCCACCTAATTTTCAAATTGTATCAAGAAGGGATCTTTACTTATCTTTGTTTCCTTCTGGAAGAAATTCCTTGTTCTCTTGCCAACATTATGTGCTTCATTACTGAGCTGTTTCTAAATAACATGAGGTCAAACTGTTTAATATGATTGAGGATTCAAATTTTTCCACTCTTTGCCTTCCTCGAAAGTGTTACTTCGCTTGCCTTTTGCCTGATTTGTGAGCATGCCTGATATGCGGCTGATGATAAAATTCCTTATGGCTAGGTATAATTGTAACAATGACATTCTTTCTTTTAAAGGACTCGAGTGTTTTTCTCAGGCATATTATGGAAATTTGAAGCCTTGTATTCATGTTATTTCACGTGACATTATTTATTGAACGATTATTCAGTAATTCCGTGTAAGTTGCGTAGATTTGTGATGTTAGAGCGCAATCCTTTCCGGAAATCATCATAAACTGTTTTTATGGTTTCACCTTATTAACTTTAAGTAGCTTTGCTCGGGTCACCATTGATACTTAACGTGGAAGAATGACTATTGAAAGCTTAGTAACATTTTGAATTAGTCACAATGAAGGTCATGGGCTAGGTCTTAGCGGTGGCCAATTTATGGTGGCCAATTCACGTTATCAACTCGGTTGATAATGCTAAATTACCCTGATGGCAGCATAGCACTTCGGCACGAACTTTTCTTCGCCCGCGGCAAAGTACGAAGCCTTGAGCCACGTGAACCGGCGAAAGGTCTGTAAGGGGTCTGGTACTGATAATGAGGGTCTCATTATTGGTGCCAGGCCCCTTGCAAACCTCTCAGACTCGTCTCAAACCTTTCGGCTGGTGGGGAAGCGCGTCCTGCTGCACTTATAATGAGGCTAATGACAACATCGCACAGTCTCTTGTGTTGCAATAAAACCTCCAGTAGAGGCTAGCTCTTTATGGTGGCCACCTCTCCACATTTGCTTGGCTGTTTGGTCCTAATACTGTGCCGATCCATACATTTAATTCATGAAAACCTTTGAACTCCAATATTCGACAAGTAATGTCCCTTCAAGCTCCATACATTTTCTTGTAAAAACAGTCAAGAGAAGTTGGTTTTATATCGAGATAACACCCTTTTAGCCGATGATTCGGCTTGTGACATGTTTTAAATTTTTTCTGGGTGTTATTGGTTAGAACCTCTCGATATGAACGGTCCTCACACTTCTTCTCTCTCTATATATATCTCTCTATCAACAAGACACAGTTAACTCTGCCTTAAATTATTGGTTGCACAGAAGTTCAACTGGTTTTATTTCATGGGATTGGATTCTTAACCCTTAAGCTCCCGAAGAGGATCGTTCAACATGTTACGAGTCACAATTTCACTACGTTATTCAGCACAAAGGTCATAATATCAAATCATCTTGATGTAATATTTATAATTCTCTAACCTAACTTAAAAGCAAATTTGTAGTTAACTCAGCCTTATGTTATCGGTTTCAAAGAAGTTCTTTTTTTCCTTTCGTTCTAATCATTCAAGACTTTATGTTTCTTCCCAGGAGCATATTACTCCCTCTCTTGTGAGCCCACCCTGGGAGAGTGCCAGATATATCACAGTATGGTTAAGAGACAACCAATCAAGACTCGTGAGGCAATAAAACTCATAGGAGATGGTCAGGAACATAAACTAAAGAAAGACAGAGTGATAGAAAGCTGGATCAAGGTAAGTTAATCGTCTGAGCCGATTTTATTGGAGACCACTGGGCCTTTTTCTTGAAAGTCCTGGTAACTTATCAGCACGAAGCCATATTCAAAAATTTAGATTTAAAGAATAGAGAGGTAGGTTGTGACAATCTAACCACTCCATTTTGTTTCTTGAGCTGATATTTTTATCATTTAATTTTCAAACATTTTGGGACCCCATCTTAAATGAAAGCAAAGCGACTTTACGGGCTCGTTAAGTTGACTGGACATTCGAGAAACGGTCCCCAACTGGTCATTTCTAATCCTTAAATCTTGGTTAGTTACGTTTAGTCTTCATAACTATCTTTCCACTGTTTCTGGTTGGTTAGTCTGTCAATAAGATTGCTACTGATAGACTGAGCCTATTACTATTATGATATCAAATCTATGAATTGAAACAAATAGTCGCTCAATCATGCAATGTGTCGTACTTTCAGTCAGTTAATCAGCCAGCCAGACAGTCAGTTTGTCAGTCAGTCGTTTGGTCGATCGGTCAGTCGGATAGTCGGTCAGTCTGTTATGCATTCAGCCAATCAGTCCGCCAGTGTGTCATTCAGTCTGTCAGCCAGTCAGCCAGTCAGCGAGTCAGTCGATTCAGTCAATCAGTCAATTGTTTGATTGTTCGTCCGTTGTTTCATTTCTTCATTCAGTTATTCATTGTCATTCATTCAATGACTAGTCTATAGTAATCCTGTTGTATTTTGTTTTTGTTTTTTTCATGTATAGACTCGCCTCACTCGAAATATCGATGCTTTGCCTGGTGATTTGGACCTTAGCTACGTTGCTCTATACCACGTTATGCACGGATTAAAGGTATGCATAGAGTATCAACGTACTTGGATTTATGATGGTCAGTTGTCCATCAAGGAACATCATCGAGTTTAAAATGTACAGTTTTATGCTCGCGCAATAAGGATTGGGATAAATTCGAATTTTTCACCTCCTGTTTGATTGCTGTAATCACTTTTACAATTATTGATATGTGCTGACGCTTGGAAATTTTTCTATTTTGCAACGAATACCAGATCTCCGTGGATGCTGCGCAGAATTTACCATGGTCCAATTTTACATTGGTCAGCTACTGTCTGTCGCCTCCAGGGTCATTTTATCGGGTGAGTGAAAGAAAACTTTGGTAAACTCTTTTTTTTTTTTTCTGGTGGGTTTTTAAGCCAGATCTGTGTTGAATTCTCAAGACATGGTAAAGTGTAGGATCACACGTCGTATTGTTTTCTTCTTTCCTCACTTATTCCTTTGTTCGTAATTGCTTTTTTAAGGGTGCCAGAGAAGACTCGCTGAACCACGTAACAAAACCAGTGTACTCCAGTAGTGTTGCCTCTCCTGTGTGGAAAGATGGATTGAAGGTTAGGGAAGCATTTGGCTTATTTCTGTGCGAATTGAGGAATATCACTTTTTGTTTTACTGCCGCATGCGTTACCATGATAAAGATATGAAGATCGCATTTGTTAGGGCGAAGTTATGTTACTTGCTATGACAAAAACTTTGGTTTTAGCTTTGTTGCTGGCCTGCAGAACAAGCAGTCTTTTTTCTCGCATATCCCCTCGCGCGTAACTCGCTCCTCGCGCTGTCCTCGTTCTCGCCTTGCGCGTGTTTCTGCCAGCTTGAAAAACGCAAGAAAAAGGAAAATTTTCTGCAGGTTATTTTGCCCTCAAGTGAACTTTCTCCATACTTCGACACCACTCGGCACCTAACTGTTTCATATTGTTGGCTTGTTTGGCAGGTTTTTCCCCGCCGTATTTATCACAGGTGCATGGTTGTTATCGTCCACCTTCATGAGTTAGTATTGGACACTACTCAGACCAAAACATCTTACAGTTTACAAGGACAGGTTCGTAGTATCAGACTCCTTCAGATTCTCTATTAATTTAACCCTTTAACTCCCATGAGTGACCAAAACAGAATTTCTCCTTACAATATCAATACAATATCAAGCAGGCAGGTGATGAGAATAAAGAAAAATATCAATTAGGGAATTATTAGTTGATCCAATCCCAAATTCTCTAAACTGACATCACAAGAATTGAATGGCAAACAGTAAGAAGAATTACTAATAAGATCTTGGGAGTTAAAGGGTTAATCATTTAAGGCATCTACGTAACTGCATTTTTGAAAACCTGTAGTTTTAAATAATTAAACTTTTGAAAGGTTACTTTATTTACACATATATCTTATCCTCTCCTTTGATCTAAAAATCAATTCTCCATACAGTCTGCCTTACATTTCTTTTATTTTTAGTTTCGAGAATTTGGTATTAAGTGGTACCCTGAAGTTGACATCTTTCTTTCTCCTCGTGGCCTTCTTATTGAAATAAGTTCTCTTTTGCTTACTCTTGGGAGTGAAAGGGTTCAATGCTGGATTACGGATCTTATCTTGTTGTGTTACTAGTTAGAAGAGTTTTGTCTGTGAAAGAAGCACAAAGTTTTAATACCGACAGAAGTAATGAAATATGAGGAATTCTAGAATCGTCAACTCGATATATATTTTAGAGGTAAATTTTCATGTTGTTGTTTTGTGTTTGTTTAACATTTTGTTTCCTTTAGGCGTGGACCGCTGTTCAAGTGTTTGATGAAGGTTATGTTATGAACGGTTGTTATCAGCTTCCTCTGTACACTGGGGACCTCCCTGAGGTACTCTTAGAAAATTTAATTAGAACAGCGTGTTTGTGTCTGGCTTATTAAAGGTGCAAAGTATGTTGCATGATAGCCAATGGTAGGCTGTTTATGACAAACTAAAGTCGAATCTTCATTGTCCGGATTTTTTCCAGCCTCGCTGGGTCCATCTGTGCACCGCTATTTAAGCAAACATGGATGCTTCTAACGAAATAACAAGATTGTTTCGATGGAAACCAACAATCTTTGGCAAAAATATTTAGAGAACTGTAGGAACTTTGAAAATCGGTTCCATTGTGATAGGAAGGGGAAGGGGATTACGTGAAATTGCTGTTTTTCATGGAAACAAATAAGATTGTCTCGAACATTTAGTCGAAGGCTGTCATCGCCGTTGTCAAACATTTAGTTTAAAAATCCTCTCCTCTCCCGCAATTTGTAATAAACTCATGAAATTTTTATTTTCCAAGTTATTAACTTTTTTATATTTCTTTTCGACTTATTTATTTTTATTCTCTTGCAGGCTGTGCTTAATTCTCTTGAAAGCGATAACTGTCACAATGTGCTTGCCAACTTTCGGAGAAGAAAAGCGGTAAGATTGGCAATTTTCCCTTCTGGCTGCTGTACATTTTCTTGTTAATTAGTGGAGAGAATTTGGTGTTGCATCAAGATAACACCCTGCAGCTGATAAGTTTTCCCATTCCCATAATTTGTCTTACGGAAATTCTTTTATAATTGTCATGAGGAGTTTCATGTCGATCACAACAGAGATCTTTAAAAAGCATGGGCGAACGCTCTTCTGTAACGCTCTCTTTTATTTATTTTCTCATGCGATGAAAATGTGACATACTATTGCTTAACATTTCTTGTTTTTGTTCTCCAAGATTAAGCTTTTGGAAGGTAGTTCAGTTTATGTTCGATTATCAGACGCCAGAAGAGCAGAAGAACTTCCTGCGCCGAAGGTATAAATAATTCTACTTACACCGTCAGTTTGTGACTGTTTCCGGTTTGAAAGTTAACGAATTATAAAGGTATCATGGCCACAATTTTTTAGAAGTAGGAACTTTGAAACCTTCTTTCCCCTCCACCCTACCCGTACCTATTCCCTTGGTGAGATCTTCCATACTAACTCTGAGAGGGGAACTTAAAACGCAGAAATATTAGCTTTTCCATCCACTTCCATTTTCTTGCAGGCTGAGGCGTCAAAATAGCTGTAGCTTTGTTAAGAAAATTTAGATTTAATACAAAGCAACCTGGCCTACTCCTACTAAGACGTTACAGTAGGAAACCCCCTCCCTATTGGGAAATACTTTCCTATACCAATGAATCTCTAACCCTTTTTTCGTTTTCTACAAAATCGTTTCAGATGAGAGCCAGACAGGACTACTTGCCCAAAGAAAGGATTGAGAACTACCTCAATGTAAACCCATCTTCGTCTCTGAGTTCACTTGTACCTCGCGGTATGACCGAAGATGAATTAACGATGGAACTTACAGACAAGTTCGCCAATGTAAGTGGTGGTTCAAATAAGTTGTAGAGATGGGCAAAACTGAATGACATCACAGCTAAGAATTCCAAAATCTTGTTCAATATTAAATCTTTTTCTGTTTTTTTTTTTTCGCAGCTTACAAATCAACTGTTAGAAACATACCTGAAGGACACATCATAGCATTCACACGGATATGAAGAGAGATTGTACACAAGGAATAGCCTCATAGCACTTCTGAACATGCTAATTTCTTATTTATTACTTGAACAAAATGAGACCAGAAAAATATGCTTATAGATTTGTGTATCGTCCAACTACAATGTTTATAGAACTGAGCTGTGATGTAAAATATTTTTCTCTGACTCAAGACGTTGTTTATAAATTATTAGTTTTCTGAAGGAGGTCTTGGTTTACTTTGTTGACAGTGTTATAAGCTCAGCATTCTCTTTCATGTGAAAATTTCTGAAATTGTAGAGGCCTGTAGCTTGATATGCATGTACACTTTAGCACACTACTTTACAATAATTTATAAGTCTTTCTTATTTGTGGACAAATTGAGAAGATTTGCTGCAGAAGTAGATTTAGTATGCAACCTTATCACCCACACGTGGAAATAGAGATGAATGGAATTAAACAATTTACTTCAAAATTTTCAGTTGACATCTTAATTTATCACCAGAGCTGAATAGACTGAATGGAGTTTGCCAAAGTCCAGCTCCCTGCCATAAAGGGTAACCCAAAAGTTCCATATGCGCAATTCTACTTCGTAGTCGAAATGTCACGATGTCACGCAACGCTCCCTCAAGAGGCGCGCGTGACATCCCAAAGAACTGCTGTGAACGAGACTCCATATGCACTGGAACAGCGGTAGCTTCATTACTCCGCACGTGTTCCTTTTGCATTTCCAACTGATGCATTTAAGTTACATCTCAAGCCTTCCACATTTCGATCGAGATGCATTTTACTAAATATTATCCGATCCGTTTTCCTTTGGATGTTTTGCTCTTGATGAATTGACTTAGCAATAAGTCAAATTTTTCCAAGTGTTTTTTCAGTTCATTTTCATATTAATCACCACGTTCCCCAATCGACTTATTTCCGACGCGTTCCCTGCTGTAATTTTGATGCACTTTGATTAACTCCCCTCAGATGTTCCAAATGAATCCACTTTTCCTGACACCTTAGCTAATGAATTTTCGGCCCATTTCCTTATATAATTAGAATACGCTCCTTCATGAACACTTAATTCTTGGTGTCATTTAGTTTGTTGTTACCTGATGCGTTCGTTACGCGTTTCTTTAAATAATTTCTTACGCACTTCTTGTGAATTTGTCCCAATTATAACTATTTTGCGTAGCTTATTTAAGCGCCTTCGCAGCACGGTTTATGTTGGCTCCAAGATATGACCATTAATTCTCCCTTATGGTTACTTTAAATTTCTTTGAAAACTCGATAAGAGAATTTGGCATTACATCAAGATTAACATCACCTCGGAGATAAGTTCGGCTATTTTCGTCATTTTTTGCCGAATATTTAATCGAAATTGTTGGAAGTTAGATGTTTATAATTTCTTGAGGTTAAAAGCCTTAAGTGATATCGGCGATGGTAGTTTCTATTTGTTTTTCTAATTTATGTATTTAAGTTATTTCCCAAGTGTCTTCTCGCTATCTTCCCCCTTCCGTTTCTTTTACTACGTTCTAATACCTTTCTAAGGATTATTTTTTATGAAATATCTTCACTGCATACCTTATTCAACCTCAAACGTAGCCCTTTACACCCCAACATCGGCATGCAAGTTCTCCCTACTGTTCTCTCATACCCAGTACTTACATGGAGAATTTGTCGAACAATTAAGATCTTCTTGAGCTGGCCATAATTTCTTCTATTCTCATGATCCTCATGAAAGTTTCAGCAGTGTTACTGTAAGGAGAAAGCAGATTCTGGTCATACTTAGCATTTAAGCATTAATTTCTTTACAAAAGCATTCTTCAGCATTAATCACTTTTGGGCTATCTCCAGACCTCCTAGCGTTCACGCTCCCCGCGCGTCTTGTGACTGAAGGCGTCTCCTCCCTCCCTAAGTAATTCTCTTGTGCCTAGTTGAGTTTCTCAGATGTTCCTCCGTCCCTATTTGCCTTTTTCCCTATTGTAAAGGATTCCTTTTCTCATCTTTGGGGAATTCGACGCGATATGAGATGGGTTAACATCCACAGTTTAATTGTCCTCAGACTTTGATTACTTTCCTTATAATCCCCGGATAGACTATAGAGGAAAAAACTGTTATCTTTTATCAAGAACCCGCACTGAAATTCTTTGAATCTTATCGTAATACAAGATGGTTATCTTTGCTTGAAATCAGAGCGCAGCGTCATCATTTATATTGTCATCATTGAATCAAAATATAGGCTTTACTCAGTCTAATATCTTATCTTTCATTACAACAGGCGCAGATGTGTTCACATATTATTAGATAGACGGCTGAAAGGCAAACAGATAAACTACCTTCTACCCTCATCGCCGTTAACGCTAAAGGCACCGACTCCCAACTGCTGCGCGCCATCTGCTACCGTTTTTCATGCCAAAACAACCGCCCGACTTCTTGATATATTTTCCGTATTAATGTACCAGCATATAATGCGGGTGAATCATAAAAAAGAAACGGCTTTCCAGTGTTATACTTTAATTTGATTTTATTCAAACTTCCAATTTTTCTAATTTTGTTAGCAGGGCGGGTTCTAGGAAAGACAATTATTTGCATATTTCACATGTTGGCTTCTGACGTATTGTCTTGTTATTGGTCACTTTGCTTAGAATCAATATTCATGAATTTGGTGGAATGGCATCATTTTGAGTAAAAACGCCAAAGTATGAGGATGTCTATTTGGTTTTTCTATCTCAAGATAAATTCGGGGCTCTGGAAGGAGACGAAATGTGCATGCCTTCAAACTTTACCTTCACGTCAACGCAAAGGTGAGCACCTTTAAATCTTTATTAGCTTCTAGCAAATTCTAAAATTTCTATCATGAAGTTGAGAACCGTTCGTTGTCGAAGCAATGGTCAATTGCAGCGAGTAAGATATAGTTTCCTCTAAACATTTCTTCGAAACCTTAAAATTTAAGAAGGACTTAAAGAACGCAAACATAGAGTACCAAACTTTGTCATTGAACAATTCTATTTTGCACACAAGCTTTTCAGTCGGCCAAAACAGTTCACATAAATCTTTACGCGACCACATGCACGCGTTGAACGAGCTTTTGCATTCTCTTACTTTAACGATTCAATTCAGAATTCTTTCCAATACAACTGTTAAAAATGCAAGAGCGTAGCAACTCTACAAATTTCCTAAAGCTGTAAGAGCTGTTTCGTAAACAAAATTATCGAAGTATCAAATTTTCGGCCAAACACGCCTCATTCAAACGAATTAAGTTTATCGCTCTTTGTGACATTAAAACTTTAAATTGGTGAAGTTTAACCTATTCTTCGTTTGTTACAAAAATCCTGTCTTCAGGTTTAATCTTTAAGTTTAATCTTCTTTAAATTATGAGACTTTTCTTATTTATTGGCTAAATTTGTCATTTTTTCGTCTTATTTTTAGAAGAAGAGCTGAAGGAATGAGATGACTTGGATTTAAAGACAAAGACATTGATGGGGAATCTATCAGACTGAAATATAAATTGCAAGACAAGACAGAGATAAGACTTATTCATTAAACACACTCCCTTGAAAAATTGTGGCTTAATCAATTCTGCTATCGCTGTATTTTTGTAAGAAGGGCATTTGGGAATAATTTAAAATTTGTCACCTATTGACAACTGGTATTTTAATCAAAAATCAAAGAAAGCGGAACGGTGGAATTCACAACGGGATTTTGAAATTCACCATGGTGACTCAAAACTGCAAATACATTCAAATAAAATTCCTAAATTGCGCCACCTATTTAAGCCACTATTTTTTCAAGGTGAGTGGTAGATGTATTGAAAAGTGAGTGATAGGATTATGTCCCAACTGAATATTTTAAGGTGGCACTGTAGCAACAACACCCTACAATAAGTTTCTTTTAAGAACTCTGTGCTGCTTATGCAGACTTCATAGAAAAGACATTCACGTTTTCCCCAACAATGAGGATCTTTTTTTTACGGAAATTATATTAGTTACAAAGAAAAAAAAAGACCGACCCGTGACTTACATACTGAAACGTCTACCACTGTTCATCAGAACTGTCATTCTCATGCTGAACTACTATCACCCAAACGACCATATTTTACGACCGAACGATAAGGGGGAGGGACTAAAAACCGAGAACAGGGGTCGACACTTTGCTAAGGTCTCAGACTGACTAACCACGCTGATGAAATGATTTTCGACGACTAACTCTTCGGAATCAAACGAAATTCTGACACAGCTGATTCATCACAAACGGTCACGACGAAAACTGTCAACTGACAAGTTTTGCTACGATTGATTAGTTGCCACAATAACGGTAATCACCGACAACATGTTGATTCGAAACAGTTTTAAAGTTAAATAGTTGAGAACTGACACGATACGTGAATAGCGATTTCGTTTTCATTTAACTCTGAAGAGAATCTACACTTGCACTTTCTAAACATCATTTACCAACAAGACTAGACGTTCATCTTGATTCAAAAATACCCTGACACAGGAACAACTTGACAACAGAAAACTACGATGTTCACCAAATATGCAAATGAAAATATTTGAATGTGCATGTAAAGGGTTGTGTCTAACAGTGCCACTTTAAAACTTTCATTTCTGTTCATTTTTTTTACATCCAATCGTTTTAGAAGTTAAAAGTACTCTGAGAATGCTTACACAGCGGATGAAAAATGCTCCAAATATCTGCTGATTGGCTTTCCGGTAGTGTTGACCACAGAGGCAAATAAACGCTCATGAAAACCGTCCGGAATATTGAGATCCTTATATTATCTCATATTCATCTCACGAAATAATTGTACCTGTGGTGGTTGATGTTTTGTTGACTACACTGAGCTACATCACATACAGTACTTTCAACAAACTACATCGTGTTATTCCACTTCAATTATAACCCACCAAAATACAGCGACGAAGAAGTACTTCATCAAAATGAACTACAATGCATCAAACAAAACCAATTTTTACAATGATAAATCACAGTATACTAACAAATTAAAAACTATGGTTTACATCACACTCGACCAGATCACCCCAAATGCATTGGCTGGAACACAACTACACATTTGAGACACCTATAGAATGAAAATATTCCTTTACAGCAGAATAATAGAAATAAAACAATAGGTACGGGTACGATTGTTTTTGCATCACCAAAAAGCCAGCTTAATTGCCACTTGCATTGTTTAAAATGGACGTCAAGGAAAACAATTTTTCCCACCGTAATTCTCCTATGCAATCCAATTAACTTGTTGTAAATGCACCAGATTACACAAAGCTGCATAATCTGCATCAAACAACATCAACCACATGAGTACAATTATTTCGTACGATATATCGTCATCAACACATGTTCAAAAGTGATTCACTGTGACAAACTTGTATTGTGCGATCAGAGCTTCAAGAAAAACAATTTTTCTTCGCAAAGTCAAAAATGAATTCGAATATTTTCCATTTCAAACACTGTCGATCGAAGAAAACTACTCAAGGGGATTACCTTAGTTTCATAAGTGTAATCAAACCAAAAGAAGAGAATAGTTATTCCAAGTTCGATGGGCTGTTTCCCATTAGGAAATAACAAATAAGTTGTTAGGTTTTTAGAATTTCAATTGAGATATTTTAATCCAGATTTTATGTCAAATGAGTTCGGAAGGTGAGAATTTTTTTTATTCACTGAAAAGCCACGTTTCTCTTCCATTTTCTAAACAAATTTGTTTTGTTCAGTCGTTGAATTCAAGTCGGTGATTTTTTGAAAAGCGTTTCACAGCTTTGTGAGACAGTAGTCAAGATTTCGGATACTTTCAGAACGAAAGGTTTAGGTTAAGAGATTACAAAGCAACCTTCACGCAAGCAATTCTGGGTCTTTTATATGCTCTCTGTGGTCCATATTATTTTCATTCGATGTTCACCCTTGATAACGCTGTGTAACATATTCTGAATACTGAGTACTAAGCTTAACTCTCAGATTTCAAAGTTGAGAGTACAAGTTCTCCCTACCGCTCGCACAGATTATTTTCGAAGTTAAGAATTTGGTCATCAAATCTCTAAATCAATTTACGGTATGATAAACATGAACAGTTTTGGAGGGAGAATTTTTATTGCGAGTTGAAGAGTTAAGCTTTGCTGTTTCACAAACAAATTAAAAGGGCAAAAGTTATCGAAAACCATCAGAAAGCGAAGGAAAAAAAACAATGAAACGCTCTGAAAATTTGAAAGAAGAAAGCTAAACTCAAACCGAGTTGTCTTGAACATTTGTAAACGAGCAGATCGAGGTAGAAGCCAAATCAGGGGGAACGAATTCTCTGGAACAAGAAACTAATTTGGAGAAAGTTTTTGCCCTTAATAATTTTCCTGTGAAACAGCAACAAATCTTAGAAAGTTAATAGTAAGCGTGTTTTGAAAGGCAGCATGGAAAACTATTCACATTTTTCCATTAAAATTCATGAAAATCAAGGACAGTTTACCTTCACAAAATTGGGCAATAAGAAAAATAAAAATTAAAAACGGTTTGCCCTCGAGAAAATAGACAAAAAAATTTGAAATCAAACGTTTGGCCAAATTCAAGGGAAAGTTTTTCATGTTGCCTTTTACAACTACACGCCATGTACAACATCTCAAGCAAAATCTCAATGGTAGTTACTTTTGGTCAGGAGGCAATGTTAGGTAAATTTGAAAATTTTTGCTTGATGTGGTAGTGGATATTTTGGCGGGAAAAAAGTTTTAAAATGAAGTCTTGTAAATTTTTTTGCCAAAAATAGTGTAAGGGGAAACTCTGTGCAAATTTTTCCAAATTTTCCCGCCAAAAGACTTAGTATATTTTTGAACAAATATTTGTTTACACATTGTAATTAATGATAGACTTGCAAGCAATAAAGGATTTGACACCAATAGCAAGTGTTTGAACTATACTTTATTGAACTGAGAGATAAATAAATAGCCATTGAAAACTGACTACATTTAAACACCGGAGCAAAAAAAAAAAAAAGATGGCGCATACGTATTTTGGGGCGCCATGAAAATAACCTCTTCATTAAAAAAAAAAAAATCCGGCGCATGCGTATTTTGAGGCACCGTATTTTTTCTAAGTTTTTTGGCGGGAAAATTGAAGACGTTTGAACAGGGGTTACTTAGGAAAACCGACTTTGAGCAAAAATTTAACTTGCAGAGTCAATAAAGAAACTTAGCTGTGCAGAACGTTTCTTGTTGCACCCTTCAAAATGAATTGGCATCAATAATTGCTACAGGCTTGTGAACTGGTTTCTTCGACAACTTCTGCTGGAATATTTTATGAATCTCCGAAAAAATGTTTTCAAGATCTGCTGTACACTAATTCTACCTTTTCCAAGGATCAAATTGTTCCCCATCGCATACTTCGTCTTCCAGTGGCTTGTGATCCAACACTTGAGTAAGCAGCAGTCTTGTCCACAGTTGCTTTGGGAAAGAAAAAAAATAATTGATAAGTAACCAAATTACAGCAAGAATTGATCTTTTTTTTTTCGTAGTTTGTATTTGCAATCGACTAAAATGTTTCCACTCAAAGATTAACCTACCTTTGCTTAAGAGTCGAAATGTTCCCTTCAGATTTTTTTTGTCCTCCAATTGCTTTGTATCCCTCCATTTTCTTGTGATCTTTCCCTTGAATGAACCTTGTCTAAAAATGAAGCAACAGGAAAATAAAAATTTTAATTACATTTTATAACAACAATAGATTTTTTAAAATTCGTTTTTACAATAAATGAAACAAGACCCTGTCACTCATGAGTGAATCTGTTCAATAAAACTTCGATGCTGGCCCCTTGTTGACTGCTATCCCGTAATTTTTCTAAAAATTACTGACTTTTTGAGTGAATGAAGTTTCTGTTAAAATTACTGATCGCGGAGCACTCTGATATCAAGCAAGGTTCACCACCTTGATCATTATTCATTCTTGGTGTAACAAGCATGAACTATCACGAGTAATTGTGAACAAAGAGATCAAAAGGCTAGAGCCTAAGAAATAAAAAGCGATAACTCAAAGGGACACTTCACAAGTTCTTACACTAAGGTGAACTCTAAATATGACAAGAATTTAAGAATTTCAATATGTGCTCTAATATTCCGTGGAAATTATTGGTTCTGAAACAACGCTGACCTTCGCAAAAACTTGTTTAAAATATTGTCAAAACAAAATCTGGATATTCTCTGCAGTTTACATTCGTGTGGTTGAATTGATGTAGTAATGGCAATATTGCGGAGGTAAAATTTATGGAATTCACACACCTCAAAGCTACTTAGAATTTAAAAAATGTTTTTGCAGATTCTCGTGATGTACATTTGAATATGAAATGTTTCCTCACGTTATAATTTACCGTTTTGTTGATCTCTCTGTAAAGACAAACAATAGCCCCCGCTTGGCGCGAAATACGCTCGGATATTTCATCGCGGACATTATTTGTTCCAAGGTGCGGACAGTTTTCTGAGAGCGCAGTGTTTATTAACCTTCAAATGTTTTTTCAACGCGCGGGAAAAAATGCTTATAAACAGCTAACCTTTACTGGGTGAGATGAGCACTTTTCATTGTTCTCATGTAAGACTTAATGAGCAAACAAACATGTCTCTTCTCCTGTAACAGCGAAATGTTGTCTTATCTTGAATTAAATTTTAAAGGATACTTAGCGTACTGGACGGTAACGTGATGTGTTTAGACCAATTGAGAGCGAACACAAATATTTGATCGATTATAAATCCTGTTATTTCTCATCAATAGCTTATTCAATTTCGAAAAACAAACAGCCTCCTTAAGATTACATATCTTAAGTACCAGATTTCAATCAATCTTCAATCTTATATATTTAAACACGTGACACCTAAACGTGTACGTGTATCCACCCAACCCAACCCAGGGGAGGACATCCATCACACAGTAATCTCGTGCGTGGGAAATTAACGTCTCCTACCCCAAACCCTGCAGGAGACGGGACCTCCGGCTTCACGTCTTATCCGAGAAGACGAAGCAAGGTGAGTGAAGCGACTTGCTTAAGGCCACAACGTAGTGCCCCATCCAGGACTTGAACCCGGGCCGTCCAACCCAGAGTCCAGCGCTCTGACCACTGGGCCACTCACGCCTCACCTTGACGAACACTGTGTAGGAAATAACGGCAGAACGCGACGCAATCAGCTCTTGTCGACCCGAAAAGTTAACCCTTTAATTCCCAAGATCTGATTGTTAATTCTCCCCTCTAGCTGCTAGAAATTTCCTTGTAAATCAGTTATGAGAATTTGGTGTTAGATCGAGATAAAAACTTCTGCCTGATAAGTTTGAATATTCTCATATTCTCATGACCTATTTGCTGGATAATGTTTAGATATTATAGGGAGAAGTTACATATTAATCATTTCTGGGGGTTAAAAGGTTGATAGGTGTGCGTCTGAGCCTGTTGGCGATTTCAAAATATTTGCCTGATACTCGAGTCTTTCTTAACTCGGCATAAAATTTGTTTACGACATCATCTAATGCAATGCCTGTCGCATGTCACGTTTAAAAATATGTTTGTTTATCAAGAACTGGATTAAAAATATTCTTTATGACATGAAAACGATATTGCTGATTGATGTAAAAATGTATTTTTAAGAATGTCACTGTACTTTGGAAGGAATGTCATCGAAGTAACCGTGACCATAACACTGTAATTGATGTAAACAACCATTAATAAGTTTCATAGCCTCTAACACCGTTCAACGGAAACGAAGTCAGACATTCGTGGCATTATTTGAGCGAAATTAGCTCCGAGTGTTGCCAAAGTCTTCAGTGCTGATAACCGATTACATATGAGTTACTGACCTAGCGTGCAGTCAAGATGGCTAGATATTGGTCGAGTTCTTTTTTTTTTTTTTTGCGTTTTCATGGACCGAGACGAAGTTGAGGGCCATAAAAACCCAAAAAGGGAACGAGGCTAACATCCACTGAGGCTAACATCCACTGAGCCATCTTGACTGAACAAGCCTGGTCAATAAAATATTTATTGTTCAGCAAAATATTACGCTTTAATAAGAATCAAGAATGAAATGTTTATTTCGAGAGCCAGGAAGAAAACAAACTCTCTTTTTAGCACAATAAAACCAGGAAAGTGAGGTCATAGTTATTAAGTCCGCTCCACGTATTTTCTTTTGCGCTCCACCGATCTCATCGTGGCCGCTCGGGTAGCCAATCAGTAGCCCATTAATTATTGGTGATGTAATAAAGGCCTTAATTCTGCCTATGTTATGAAGTATGCAGGAAAACCGCTTTGCAACTTAATTGTGGTGGATACACTTGCAACCTCGTTGATTGTCTATGCTCGACCCTGTAAGGGTTTTTTTTATTCTTTTCTCTGCTTTATGTGTCAGAAAACGATGGTTTTATGAAAGCCTAGATCAACCACATTCAGAACTCTTTTTCTAGCCTCGCAAGATAATGAAAAAAAACTACTTTAGTTTAAATCTTGAACGGTAGCCTGTCCTTTGCAAGTTCTCCGTTTTAAAAGTGCATTGATATTCCTTAACGTTAACTTATGATTTGCTATCCACGATTCTTAACAATCTCTTCGAACATCTTGTCTATTTTCTTTTTTTCCTATGTTAAAGAACAATCATTGAGGATCTACTTCAGCTAATGAAAAATATCAGTTTGTACGTTTTCGCTGAAAACTCAAAATTTCGCTCCATAGTTTCTCACTTTGATTATGTTTGTTGACGTTTGAACTCCACAAAATGTTTAAATGTCTGATGATATTTTACACATGCCTCTACTGAACAAGTCGAGTGCTTTGCTCTTGCCAAAAATATTGTCAGAAGAGAAAGGATAAAGAAGGTCAAAGAAGTTATACATAGATTTATTCTAAAGACAAAGAGTAGGAAAATTATTCCCCTAAACTAAAACATTGTTGATAAAAAAGTGCCCATGAAAGCTCGGAAAAGTAGTTAAGATGCACCTCTTTAACCAGAGTGAAAAAGACTCGGAAATGCTCGATGTTATTTTAAAGCAAATAAAATAAATAAACTCTCACCTGTAATGTATTGAAGAAATGAGTGTACAATCCACAGATCCATGACTGCCACTTAGCATCCCATGAAAATGATGTCACATGAGATTCTTGTGTAGATGGATGGCAAAATAGGTCCCTATGTCAAAATAAAGTCGCTGCTGTAAGCGTGAGTCTGCTTTGATGATCACCCTCTAACTAATTTTCAATGTCAAGTAATATTGTAGGAGTTAACAAAAAGGCAAAGTCTGTGCTTGTGCTTATCGACCAAGATCACTGCTAGTTCAATAAGATGAGATGCTATTCCATTGCAGGTTACACCCCCCCCCCCCCCTGCATTTCCGATCATATTTTCCTGAAAGTTTGCTGGTACCCATTTACACTCCCAGGTAGAGAGAGGCATTGTGCAAGTAAAGTGTTTAGCCCAAGAACACAACACGATAGCAAGACCAGGTCTTGATCCCAGACCTCTCGACCCAGACCCCGGCGAGCCAAACTTTGCGCGACTGTTTCTCCCATTGTAAGATTTTAGCGAGATTGAAAAGGCGAATTCCGCCAATTGTACAAAACTGACTCGTATTACAGCCTGACCTTGTCCTGATATCTGTAAAATGCACTCGTCCCTGACAGAATGTTAGTCGATCTTAGGTTACCCCTCCAAATTTTCGTTATGCTTTTCCCAAAGGTCGTAGGTGCCTATTAATACAGGGGCGGATCCAAGATTTCTTGAGAGGGGCTGGTCAAAACGTTGATTTGGAAAATTAAGAAACTTTTCTTACACAAAAGCCTGTGCTTTCTTCACTGCACTGCGTTTGAACGTCCTTATGAGGATTCTTATGGATGGTTGCACACTTATTATAAAACATGTGAAGATGTGAAGGCTCACCTTAAATATCCTGGAATTAAAAGTAGTCTGTCCAAGTTTGTTATAAGACTGGTACACACCATGATGTCATCATCATGACTATAGCTTCATCATCATCATCATCATCATCATTCGTGATCATCACTTGTGTCAGCTCAGTTTGGCCGTATTTTTCACCGTTGAAAAATTAAAGAAAGGTGTTTTGAGACAATGATAGATACTTTTCTGCGCTACAGGGCTTAACTTATCACGAAAAACTTCAAATATGTGACTAACTATCAGAGTTAGTATGAAGTTACGAGAGGATGAATTTTCAGCTGGGCTTTAGGGTCACAGTAAGCTTCACGTATAGTAGTGTAAGTTAAGTCAGAGGCAGTTAGGTTTATCAGATGGCAGTTTGTTCCAGTTCAGCTATAAACTGTAACTTAATGATTTTAAGCCACTAAACAGCGATCAGCTTGCCAAATAAAGCCGCCTTTAAAGAAGAAAGTTCTTTTTGGCAAGGTGATTTGATAGGACGTTCGAACAGGTGAAAAACAAGGACCCTTGTCTTGCAATCATTGTCACAGCAAAGAATCGTTGTTGCTGACGGATTGTGTACTTTTTCATTTATGATAGAGAACATTTTAATCTGGACATGTGCACTTGCCTAAGAAAATCATCTGTTGTAAGAGTGCCTAGAATCTAATGAAACTAATAATTTTACATTTAATCATTTTGTCAAACTGTAACCGTCTCTATACAGTTAATAATATTATCACAACCGACTAGGCTTTGGGTTGCTTGATCTCCCGTCATGTTCTGCAACGCTACAACTCAAAAGATCTGAATATATTTTCTCTCTTTTGGAGGCAATGTATTTACTTCTGAATAAATCAAGAGAACTACACTGGTTTGCAGATTTAATGAATGTAAACGAAGAAGTTACAATTCATAGACCCAACGTTTCGACACTCCTGTCTAGTGCCTTCATCAGGGGTGATCATGGATGGACCAACGGTGATGGACCATGGATCATGGGTCAAATGATCACCCCTGATGAAGGCACTAGACAGGAGTGTCGAAACGTTGGGTCTATGAATTGTAACTTCTTCGTTTACATTCATTAAATCTGCAAACCAGTGTAGCTTCAAACTATGTCTGATTGTCCACCTGGTTGCCGTGTGAACTTTAATATATTAAATCAAGAGAAGTTAGTGTCATATCAAGATAACAACTTTTAGCTGATAGGTTTTCTATTCTCCACACCTGTTTACTGAATAATGTATGGAGATTTTAAGAAGAAGTTGTATTTTAATCGCGTATGGGAATTAATGGTTAACTTAGACATATACTTGGATAGGGGTTGACTATGAAGTAGAAATGGCAGAACATTCGACAAAAATTGTGTCCAAGATAACAAAAAGAAAAGAATGTTACCTGAGAAAGCCTAATTCGGCGGGTAAATTATCCATGAGCTTCACAATAAGAACGGAGCCATGATGTCTTAAGCAGGGAGTTCTGAAGAATGCCAAGACGAAACAGTCGACCAGAGTAAGGGTCCACATATCCCGTAACTAAGGAAGGTTGTAAAATTTGGATAAATGTGAGTAAAGCTGGAAAACGAAGCATCGAAGTAGCTTATGACCTTCGCTTCACTCTTCATTTCACTCGCAAACCTCGTGCAAAAGTTACACGGAAAACTGAATAATTAAAAAAATCTGAAATTCAAATAAGTGATAATGACTCAGGTAAATTTGCATTTTCTTGCACTTTTTTTGAACTTTGAATTTCTGTAGTTTCCGGCCATTGTTGGCTGCTTTTCTTGGCTGTAAAATTTCCGTTAGAGATATGACAGGTCTCCGAGATGTTTGTGATCGGGATGTTAATTACAACTGATCTACCTTTTCGGATAATTCTATTAAGGTAAATAAAAAGTAAGTTTGGCTGTTAGCTTTTTTCGAAACGTTTTCTTTAGAACGCATAAAAGCCCCTCCTGAGATACAAAAGCTTCTCTCCAGATAAAAATGTATTTAAAAGTTGTTCGCAATTTGTTTAAACCGTGGGCTTAATAATGTGGTTTTACTGAACTAAGGTGTATTACCTTAGCAAAGTGAATGAAAATTTATTCTGTAATTTATCAAAATCAATGACAACCAGGAAATATCCAGAGGATCTAAATGAAGTTAAACATTAGTCGTAAAACGGCCAAAGAATTTATTATCCTCAGTTTTGAAACATTCTAACCATTAGTCGCAGACAAAAGGTTAGCTGTAAAAATTTTTCCTGTCTTCACTGTGTCATTTTGGGTTTACAGCAGCCGTAAAATGGCCAAAATTTTATTCGTTAGCCGTAAAGGTCATCACCCCATTGAAACCCTCCATCAATAGCTCACCGCTGATCGTTAGAGCTACTCAATTGACGTAAGAAAATGATGCAAAATTAATCTGACACGAACTGATGAATGACCAATCTAATGAGTGACAACCTAGATTTATAAGGCCGCATCACAAAGACCTCACAAGCAGTTTTCGTGGAATCTTTCCTATATGGGTTCTTTTCTCGAACAGCAGATGAGCCTCTCTCAGTTGGCCCGCGTCAAACTAACCGATGCAGAGAAGCTCATGGCCAACGCACGTGAAAATGCAATCGGAAAAACAGCAGACGCGCAGCAGCTCATGGTTGAAGCAAGTATCCTACTTAAGCAAGATCTTGAAAATGCAGCAAAAGAAAACGCTGTTATCAATGAGATCACTAAAACATTGAGTCAAGTCCACTTCGCCAACAAGATCAAGTTGAATGTTGGCGGTAAGTTCTATACAACAACACTGGATACTCTACGAAGGGATCCAGATTCTTTGCTGTGTGCGATGTTCTCGGGAAAGTTCCGATTAAAAATGGATGAGGAAGATGGAGCATATTTTATTGACCGTGATGCAGAACTTTTCAGGTATGAAAAAAGTATTTGTGGTAAAGAGTACTCTTAATCACTGAAAAATTCTCCCCATCACTCTTTGTCTCACCATTTACGGTATTGGAAAAACCAATTCTGACATCTTGTGAGCTACTGAGCGTGAAGTCGAGCATGGCCTCAAAGGAAGAAGTAGGCTCGGACTTTCCCTTATATTGAGCTAACTTGTAATTTTATTTTTATTAACTAGACAATGAATATTCATTGTAGAGATTGAAAAGCTGGCTTAAATACAAATACTGGCTATCAATAGAAACAAAATACCCGGTGCCCAAATTGTAAAACCCGGCCCAGATTATATACACTGTTTTCTATTTGGTGTTCTCGTTCTCTTGTTTGTTCGAAAAATGCATTTTCATCTTCGGCACTCACCACAACAAATCTTGATATATTCCAAACAACAAACAAACAAAGTTCAATCAGCAAAGTTTGAAAAAGCTGGAATTGTGACGTCGTTGCTCGACCTCGTCACTCGTGTTACATACTATGCAAAATTTTCCGTGTCTCAGTTCAAAACTTAGAGAGGCGAAAGGCAACGTCATTACTTGATCAGTATACTGTGAAATTACAATTATCATAAAGAGTACACAGGAGCCTTAATTTAGATCGGATGACGGGGCAAAAAGTGATGAAAAGGAAAACAATCATCTCGAACACTTACATTCATAATTGTTTAGTCGCCAAACGGATTTTCACTTCCTAATTACTTAAACGCAGACCACACATCGAAATGGATGAGCAGAGGCTTCGGTTATTCGAAGGGTAGATAACGTTATCCACTGGATAAATCTCTATATATCTGGTGGATAGCACTGTACGTTTTGGTAACATGTATCCGCTGGAGAGCAATTTATCCACTGGATGGCATTATCAGCTTCTTGAACAACTGGGATCAGGAAATTAAGTTAATTTATCTTAATGAAGCAAACTGAAACTCAACTGAAACCGCATTTCAATAACGTAAAATATAAGAGGGAAAGTAGATCATTATATTGGTGTTTCACGCCTTGCAATTTCTTAGCTCTGACTCATCATATTATTAACAATGATTGCATTTTACCCAAACACTTCCGCCATACTCTCAGCAACAGCGAACCTGTTTGTACATGGAGGGCACAAACATATCTTTGACAAGGATAAATCTGTAAGGTTGATAATCGACATGGATGAAAGGAATGTTGATCAAGTATCATAGCAACTTTACAAAGCTAATGTTTCAAGTGTTAACTCGAAGCGGAAGATAAAAAAATTAGACAAAAATCTCAATACAAAAGAAAACACAAATATTTTTTAAGAGAACAAATAAAGAAATGTTTGAGCCTCAGTGTAACCAGCGCGCTTTCTGCTATTAAAATTACAATCCAAATGAAGACTTAAGAGTTTTTAAAGAAATTAACTATTCATCAAAGTATTTTAGCGTATACCTGCCACTCGACCTCAAATTTACCACAAAAATGCCTAAAAGATCACGTATACGTAATCAATATATCCCATAAAGTTGGCTGGTTATGGTTTGACATTTCATCTTCATCGTCATTCAAGGTACGTCTTGAACTACCTTCGAGATGGAAACCTGTTCTGCCCAAATGACAACATAGTCCAAAAGGAGCTGCTCGCAGAAGCCAGGTTTTATCAAATTCAGGGGATAATCACCGATCTGGAAGAAAAAATTCCCTTTGAATCCACGTTGATTTTAAAGAATGAGGCCCATCATTCCATTCTCCTATCGTGGTTGCCGCCAGGAGCTACTTGTTCATTGCTGTACCAAGCCTCCTTTGATGGACAAACTCCAGCTGACTTCCATCGTTGCTGCGATGACAGAGGTCCTACTCTTGTGGTGATTAGAGTCGGGTCGTACATCTTTGGAGGCTTCACGTCAAAGTCGTGGGAATCGGGTAAGACTAAAAATTAATACAGTGCATTTACTTGGACGGTAACAAGTATCTATGTAAACTTTGACATGGGAAAGCTGTAATTAATACGTTTTTTACGAAACTTCGACTTAGCATGTACGCTTGCCGTTTATGTTCGTATGGTTGAATGATTCAGTAACACTGAGCTAAAAGATGAGTCATTAGTGAACTGAACCATGTCTTTGGTTCAAATGAAACAATTTTATAATTCTGTATTTATTAAAGAGAAAACGTTTTCGAATCTAGACAAAGTCGAAAGATCAATTCACACTGGGAAAACATGTCTAGTTAAAACAGAAACAGAGAACTGAAAAACTGAATTTTCCGTAGGATTCAAGTTATCGCAACTTGTAATTTCATTGTGCTACATCGACAAACATAGGTAGCTGTGTTTAACAAAACACGGCTGAATATAAGTTTTGGTGTGAATGGTGTATAAATTGGCACCTTCCATTCCATGCGACATTTTTTTTAATGCTTTACTCGGTTACTCACTCAGCTTGTGAACTGAAAGCCAAGCAAGACAGCCATTCCTTCTTGTTTACGCTGATAAATCCATTTGGAACAAAGCCAATGAAGATAGCTACGAAGACAGATGCAAGTACACATTGCCAAACTGATTTGGGACCCACATTTGGTACCGCTTCCACACAGTGTTATGATCTACAAGTCTGGTCAACAATCGGTAACAATCTTGACCTCGGTTTTGGCTTCAAGTGTCCGGACAATGTTAATAAAAAGACATTTTTCTGTGGCACGAGTCCATTTCAAATTGATGACCTGGAAGTTTTTAAAGTTATCTTTTAGAAACGGAATTTGTTCTTTGAAATAAGAGAGAAGTAATTCAGGATGCAGTTGACTTTTAAGTACTAAATATAATTGTACCTGAAACGGTAAGGCAACTCTGTAATGCACATTTTACAACGTAGTTTGTAAATTATAGTAAGGTAACACAGAACAGACACAACATACTCAATAAAGCAAAACACATTCATATGCACTGCGTGATGAATGAGTCAGCGTTCAAAGGGCCGGACCATGCAATAAAAAATTCGTCATAAGTTCGTGTTTTCGCCTCGGCTGTGTAAAGAAAGCTGAACTTATTTTACAATTTTGAGTTAAATTCTTTGAACGTTAAGGTTGGTTTTCAAATATATTGAACTTTCGTTGGAATACACAAGAAGTAGCTTTCTTGGCAACTAAGCCCTCTTTTCCACGATAAAGCCTTAAAGTTGAACTTATACTTCCCTTCCAAAAGTTACAAACCTGATGATTCTCGTATACCCGCCGGAAAGCGAATTGAAAACAATTTACGGACGGTTTTCGTGAACAAGGCAGATTTGAAAATTATAAATTGATTGGGAGAAGCTCATACTACGCAGATTTATCGCATTGTCGGTCAAAGAAGTTCGTAAAACATTTATTTCACTCATTTTCGTATGCATTTAACGTGTGACAGACACGGTTCTTTGCGAGGAAATACCCTGAGCACGAAACTTTCTTCTGAAAACCGCTGGTGACAAGAAACTCGATGAGGCTCACTGAAGCTATTGCTTCCGGTTAGGTGCAGGAAGGAAATGCCAACGTACCATATGGCGGCTGAAGAAGATAACGAGCTGAGCCTATTCAAATTGACAAATGTCAAATTAACAGATGCCCAGAATGCAATGACTCGAACCATTTTGCGGTCCGTGGTCAGGGTTCAATCCTTAGCGCGGGGAAACTTGTCATTTTTTTATTTTTATTATTATTTTCTTGTCATATCTTTTTCCTTACTGATAACAAGTCTTTGATGTCTTTTTATGTCGACACACATATGATTTTCTATAAAATTTATTTCGTGCTTTTGCTCAAGATGTCAAATTGAGGTAATGCAGTAGTGCACAATTTCTTATAAAATAAAAGTAGACACGTACTTCTAAATAGAAACAGCAAGTCTAAGTGGACCGAGTTTCTTCAAAGGGGATTCTTTTCGTCCTATGAAATATCGCATATGTTTCTAGGCTTGATCTTTGCAGTGCGTAGGACACCTAAAATATGACCTTAATATTAGTGGGTAGAGCATTTGACCGCATCATGTTGCGGTCCGTGGGTAGGGTGCAATACCTGGCGTGGGGAAACTTGTCATTTTTTTTTTTCTCATCATATCTTTCTTCTCATTGATAACAAGTCTTTGATGTCTTTATATGTTGAAATACATATCAAATATTATCGAATTTGTATTTTGCTTTTGCTCCAGAGGTCTAATTGAGGTAATGCATTGCGGCGTACTAAAAATCCTGACCAGAAGTCTTTAAACAGTTAAGAAAAACACACGAAAATACGCGTCCCTGTCTACCCTAAGCAGCTCCTTTCTCTAATCTTTTCAATGTTTATTTAGAATTTTTCAGCGTTAGTTTCAATTTTGGAAAGATAAGTGAGTTATTTTCAACAATTACATCGAGGTTATCATGCGTCGGAAGACTTATGAAACATATTTGTAGTGACCGTGTCTTTCCGAGGCGTCTAAAAGTCTGTCTCTGTAAATATTTTCGCCATCGTTATTGTAAAATCTATTGTTTTACGTCAATGTAACACACTGAGGTAAATATCACAAATGATTACTGAGTTTTTGTACAAGATAAAAGCGTTCAAAAGGCTTGTACCAATGTTATTCGACCAGAAGTTTTAGTAAATGAATTTTTGACCGTGAAGTTATTAGTTAAACGGGAGATATTATCATTCTACGTTGACTTTCTAACCAATAAGAAACCCAACAGTTGAAAACACGCAGGGCAAATCTGCATATACAATAGCAGTTCATGATTTAATTTCATAAACATTCATAGAGCTTTTTTCGTTAAATCCCTGCAGAGCCTAAGTGATTAATATTTCATAGTCTTTGTTGAAAGAACGTTAATTGATATTTAATTGAGAAATTTCCATACGATTTATGTTAATCTGGGAAATAAAAAATGAGCAATTAAGTTAGCTTTTCATAGTATCTGTTGGAAAGATGCATGGCTGTTTTAAAAACAAACAGTATTAGCAAACCGTAACAGTTGCAATAAATTGAAAAAGCAGTGAGTTTCCATTGTCGAAATTCTTGTAATTCATCACTTTACGTGAATGAGAACGTCTGAAAACCTTTTCCAAGGTTTTTGAAACAGTAGTGCGTGTCTTCAATAGTCTCCGCGACGCAGCCGTTTTTGAATCTTGTTGCGTGACTTCTGATGGACCGGCTTCGAAGGAGACTAGGATATGCAAAACATGTTTTGTTAAACTGGTTTTCATTGAATGAAAATTATACAACAGTGCAGTTTAAAACAATTTTCCAGTCATCAATTTCTTGCTAACTTGAAGGCCATTTCCAATGTGCTGACATTCAAGTCAAAAATATTCGGTTAAATAGTTTCAGAAGAAAAAAAAATTCAACAAAACAACTTTTAAACATGTTTAAGCTTTGGTGTGAATGGGGCATTAAACATTCTCAAGTACACCGTATTACTGAATATCAGAGTCTACAGACGCATGAATGCCATAAATACACCTCGAAGAGGATTTCCCCATCAATGCTTTTGCATAATGTTAAAGAAAGAAAAAGGACAAGATTCGTGGCTTCGTACCTGACTTCAAATCTTAAAAAAACCTTACGTATTATGCTGTACGCTCACTGTCGAGCGGAAATAGATTGGGTACGAGGACAAAAAGGAAAAATTTAACCGCTGCTCTGAAAGATTGAGGCTCATCAACTTTCACTTACGTGGTGGAAGTAAAGTAAATATCACATATATCATGGCTACTGGACAGGGAAAAGTGTTAAGTCTCTTCGAGGTGGCAAGTGAAAAAATAGCTAATGCACAGAAGCTTATGGACGAAGCTAAGGACTTACTGAAGCAAGACCTCGACAATGCAAGACAAGAGAAAGCGGCCATCGAGGAGATCACAAAAACATTGAACCAAATTCACTTTGCCAGCAAGATCAAGTTAAATGTTGGTGGTAAAATTTATAAAACAACACTAGATACTCTGAGAAAGGATCCAGATTCTATGCTTTGTGCGATGTTCTCTGGAAAGTTCGATTTAAAAGCGGACGAGGAAGATGGAGCATATTTCATCGATCGTGATGGGAAACTGTTTCGGTAGGTTTCTAAATTATAACCAAACGACTGTGAGAATCTTTGAAACTATGCAATATCCTTATTTTCTCCTGAAACTTAATTTTCCACCAAATTTTATCGAAAATCACCTACGTTGTAGAGGTCGTGAGACAGGAATTGTGCTGTTGTTGGTTTATAACCGGTAATTGGATAGCGGCGTAATGTATGACTAACACAGTCTATAGACTGTTCGATTTTACGCCACTATCTGCGTCGGTGTACATACTGTAAGATTTTAAGCCGTTAAAATTTAACCGTTAAATTTTAACGGCTTAAAAATATAAAATGGCTGGATTTTACGCCGTTAAACGGCGTAAAATCTCTCAGTATGTCTGTAGAGCGATTGGAAGAAATTACGCAGTTAGTTACTAACGTAAAATCTTACAATATATTTATTACTGCAATGTATTAGGACAGCGGTAGTTTACAGACATATCCAGGAGAGGGGGAAGGGTGAGGAGTGATGTTCTTCGTGTGCTCGGAATACAGCATATGTTTTTAAGCCTTTGTGGCTTCACTACACTACAATAACCGACTGGAATAAATTACGCCGTTAGTTACTGGCGTAAAATCTTACAGTATATATATATACACTACCGACTGGAAGAAATTGCACTGTTAGCTACTGGCGTAAAATTTAAATTTTTATAATTACCGTATTTCCTCGAATAAGCGCCCACGCTCGAATTAGGATGAGGGCAATGTGAGGGCGGTGAGTTAAAGTTAATGTCTACTTTCTCCATCTTAATAATCGGTAGAGGATCTAGCTGAAAACCTCGAAATATCTTAGTGATTTCAACAATGTACATGTTCATTTTCCAAATTTTGTGTTTGTCATCATCAAGGTACATTTTAAACTTTCTCCGCAACGGTGAGCTCCTTCTCCCTAATGACCGAATCTTTAAAGAACAGTTGCTGAAAGAAGCCGAGTTCTACCAAGTTCAAGGAGTAATTTCTCAGCTTAAACAGTTTTCATCATTATTCTCCTCAATAATAAAGGATGAAGTTTACATATCCTCGCTTACTTCGTGGCTGCCGTCTGGGGTTTCTTTTTCTCTGTTGTATCGAGCTTCTGTCGATGGAGCAACCCCCACTGATTTTCACCGCTGCTGTGATAACAAAGGTCCTACTCTCGTGGTGATCAAAAGTGGTGAAAACGTCTGCGGTGGCTACACTTCAAAGTCGTGGGAACCAGGTATGACCTAGAGTTGCCACAATAAAAAAATAATATAATCTCTACTTAAGGAGGTAATTTTCTAAAGAAACTTTGATGCCGCGTCAATGGGAGAGTATAACGGGGTAATTTAGTGTTATCAACTGAAATGATAACGTAAATTGGCCACCGTAAAGAGTTTTAAAGCTGACGTTTCGAGTGTTAGCCTTTTGTCAGAGCGAATGGAGGAATTGTGGGTTGTGTGTGTGTGTTTATATGCAGAAAATGGTATTGATGTAAATAAATATGATGATGGTTAAACAAGAATAAATCAGTTGAATGAAAAGCGCTCGTTGATTCCGTGGGGATTAAGAGCGCCGATTTGAAAGATAAATTTTTGTTCAAGAGTTTTGAGGCTTCCAGAACCAGTGCTTAGATGTAGGGAAAGGCCGCAAGCTGCCATATGCTGCGTAGAATGATTAGGGATATTAAAGTGTTTAGCGACTGGTTTGGATGCGTCCTTGTCATTTCTCTCTACGTCGCGAAGGAGTTCTCGGAATCGGTCACCTAGACGTCTTCCTGTTTCATCCATCTATAACTTTTTGCAATAAGTGCAAGTTATGTAATAGATGACATTAGCAGAGGTGCACGTGAAGTGATCAGTGATCTAGGTGGATCTCTTTTATTTTCCGCTCTACGTTATGAATGAAAGGACAAGTTTTGCATCGTGAGCAAGCGCATTTGAAAGTTCCAGGTTGGTGATTGGTTTGAAATGAACTTCTGACCAAAAAGTTGCCCGTGTTTCTGTCGCGTTTGAATGAAATAAGTGGAGGTTGCGAAGAGATAGTACTAGTCTCAGAATCGTTTGGAAGTGATTTAAAGTTTTTAAGAATGATAGATTTAATTGAGAATTCCAGAAGAATTCCATACCTTTTCCACAGTTTCTCAGACTTCATCGTGTAGGTTGTGACGACTCTGGTTTTTCCGAAATCAGTGGCCATGTGCCAGCTTTTCGATAAACTTGGCTATCCCGTTTCTGTCGATCAAGCGGGCCACCACCGTGCCCAATCGCTCGATCGACAGTCAGCACTACAAACGGCTCAAAAGGAAAATACCGATCGCATTCCACTCACTCTCGCATTTCACCCTCACAATCACGCAGTTAAAACTATCATTCTTAAAAAGTCTTTTTCCATTCTATGATTTATGACACATTATTTTTCTTTATTCAGCCTCCAGTTTGAAAGCCATCGAAGACAGCGACTCTTTCCTGTTTACGCTGGTAAATCCTTCTGGAAGTAAACCGATGATGATAAAGCCAAAACAAGGTGCTAAGGGTGGTATACGGTGTGACATTAAGAAAGGTCCTTGTTTTGGAATCCCAAAGTACTATGACCTCGAAGTGTGGAATGCATTTAATGCTACTAACCCACGAAACGCTTCGAGCCACCTCGATCTAGGTTATGGCTTTATCCATCCTGAAGGTGTTGATAAGAGAGAGTATTTCACTGGTAATTCCCCATTTGAAGTCTACGAACTCGAAGTATTCATGGTGAATTTTAGTCTTATTCAGAATCCTTAAGCGTTGGAGCGTATTCGTTACCTTTTTGCCGTCAAATTAGCCTGTCCCAGGCAATCAGTTTGTGAGAACGAGCGAAAGAGCTGAGTGCACGTACATACCAATGTAAAAACCATTTTTTTAATCGAGTATTATTTAGTAAACAAAACACAGAGAGCATTCGAGGAATAATCCGTGGTGTGAAGGATCATAAAGTCAATAGTAAGAGTACATTTAAGTTACAATAACATAATCTTTGATAGGTTGTACTTTGAGAAGATAAGAACTAAACTTTTTTAGTCCCAAAGGGAAATATGGGGAGAGCAGTTCTGGAGTACAATTATTTGAGAGAATTGTGGCTCTCTTCTTCAACCCTGGCATACTTTCTATGAGCAGAAGTCCCAAGCTAGTTCACCTAGGTCGTTTCCATTAGACTCTCAGGTGCCATCCATGTGGTTTACGGGCACAAATTTTCGATTACGAATCGCTGGTCAGAAGGAATTAGATGAATACGTTTTAAATTTCCCTTTCGATCAGCGTGGCAGAAGTGGTGAGGCACGGTCATTAACCAAGAACTGGAACTGAACTTTTTCAAAGAAGAGTGCCAAATAAACCGAAGCACAAAAATGTACAGCCATAGCTCGCGACTTAGCCAATGCAAAAATCTTTGATGCACAATAGTTTATAGTCGAAGCAGGCGCTTAGAGTTCAGGCTCTTAGTAAAAAGGGACGGGTGAGAAAGCTGGGTCAGGGTGCGCAATCAAAGTAATGTAAGCACCATCTTTTAATTGAGTATTGTTCAAATAATAAAATTTTCAACGCTCTTGGAATAATCCATAGTCTAACGAACCATGAATTTCATGTTTAGTTTACGGTTTACATATCATACCATAATCTTCGATAGGTTTAACATACAATCTGTCACTCAGAGACGTTGATAGAGTGCAACGCTATTTAAAAAATTTAGGTATTCTTAACCCGGCAGACTTCCGGCAGAGTACCAATGATATGAAAAATTCACTTTGCTAGTTCCCTCAAGTCGTTTCCTTTAGACTCTCGGTTACTTATTGTCGTGAATGAGAAATTAAGGGCCAGTTTTCCGTCATTCTGGAGACCTATCAAAGTAAATTAATTATTAAGTATTAATTATATTGTGTGCTATTAATAACGAAAATATTGCCATACTTATGAGGCAAAAGAAAGGCTTGGGTAATGACAGTTATGGAAATACTGCATATCCGTTTGTACATTGAATATCTTGTACTTCCCAAGATCTGAATTTTAATTCCTCCCTCTGCCTGCTATACATCTCCTTAAAAGTTGGTAAAGAGAATTAAGAATGTTATCAATCCTGGGTAATATTTTTATCTATTCTCCTCACTTGTTTGCCGCTACTATATTATCATCACAACTGGAAGTTCAAGTTTCAAGCCAGGGCATCTGATTCACAGCTCTACTGACTTTCAAGATGCTGAATATTTCATTGATAATCTACTGAAAGAGTTTGATCTTATATCCAGATAACGCCCACAGGCTTTTATTTTGTTTAATCGCAAGGAATTTCTAATCAAAGTTTGCTTGAAAATAATGGGCTTAACGAGGCAGAGAGTTGCGTTCGTAAATATTCAAAAAGGAACAAGGAAAAGGATTTAAATTGAATTAAAATTCATTTTTCTTCGTAGTCGCCAACAATATCTGACCAATTTCTCGTACGTAGCTAAGGAACTTGTAATACTATTATAAGTATCCAAAGCAAAGCCCACGAAAAAGTGACCTTAAAATTGAAAATGGTTCTACTTGTATGGCTCAGTCCCATATTTCTTTCTAAAAATAGTTTCTCTGCGTCGTTTAGAACATTCCAAAGAACTAACTTCGCAGACTATAAAGAAAGCGAATTGGGCACAGTTCCTAAAACGGAAGAGGACAAAAAACACTCGGCGTTATTTTGTACGTGATCACTTAAGAACGGTCTTACACAATAGCGACTGCTATTTTGAACTTACCACCTGCTTTCCCGATGAGTTTAAACCATTGATTAGCCCAAAAATGGTCTTGAAAGATGACATTTTAACACTCTTCCTTAAAACATTTCAGATGCTTACACTTCCAAACACCACATTTTGGATGGCTGAATTTCAATTTCCCATGCAAAAAAAAATACCTCACAATTTTTTAAATTTTGTCTCGGGAAAAAAAAGTTAAATCTAACCGTTAACTTCGGTTTTTCTTGACCAATATTTCCGGATTCCCGTACATACAAACACCCTTATACTTTTGGACCACTAATCTCCTTCCATGCACGGAGATGAAAATGCCAGGGAAACCGCAAACTCAATGAATGCTTTTTACTCTCAGTGGTTGGAAAAGAAAATTGTGGAAAATTCTGGGTTGTGACTACGGAAGGAAAACTCTTTGCGAAACTTGTCTGTGGATACCGTCGCGTTTTCTCATGAATTAATAATTAGCTAAGCATTAGCGATTTCGTCAAATTTTGTTTGAAAGCCAATACAGCTCCTCCATAAACCTAATTTTCAAAGAGGTCTTTGCGTTTTAACCTTTGATCGTTATTTTCTTAGTTGTTTAATTATGAAGTAAATTGATATCTCTCAATTACCGTAGCAGTCAATAAAGTAAGGGCTGTTTTGGATAAAGTGTAACACTGAGTTTCCTCCAACTGAGAAGTATAGGTTTTAGTTTACTTATCTCAACGCGAAAGCAATATTCAAAATGCTCCATGGCTTCTTGACTGCTTAAAGGTTAAACCTGATCACTTTTAACTAACCTCGTATCTCAAACTGGTCATCTTTTAAACATCCATCTTTAAATAACTTGGGTTTTTGCTTGACTTTAGCAATTGCATGATTTTCCTGGTTGATCAAAGTTACCCAAGACTACGTAATACTGTTCTTTGTTTTGATGAAGGATTAACCCTCCTGTAACATACTATAGAGAGCCAATGATGTGGAAAGACAGCTTTCTCACACGGATATTATTATATTGCATACTCATTAATTCTTACAGCATGCAAGGTTTCATGACAACAACACTCAGTTCATCAATCGTAGGCGTCGTGTCTTATGGAGAACATTGCACCTTTTGCCTGCTCTTGATTTCGTTGATCTCCTGGCGGCTTCAAACATAAGGTAGGTGTCCTGTGCTGCTTTGTATTTTGACCAAACTCCACAAAGCCTCGGACTAGAGGACGCTTCTAAATTGCTTTTACCGCGATGCAGACTTACATCTCAGATATCCCACATCCGAGGGAAGTTGATGAGCTCATTCGAATCTTTACAAATCAGCAGATGAAGGAGATTAAGCTTGTGTATTTTGTTTTTCCTTACCAAAAGTTTGCTAATTCAATCTATGCACCATTTCGCTTTCTAGTAACGGAAAGTAAGAAAATTGAGAATTTGTAGTTCTTATTAGTTCAAGCATCACTTTATTTGGTAAAAAAAAATTAACAAAAGAAATCTTTATTCTATTAGTCTTTCGCTTTAAATGGGGACGATAAATCAATTAAAAACATTTGTTACTTAATCAAATAGCTGTAGTTATACTGCAAGATTGCGAAGTTAATTGTTCAGAAAATTGAATTTAAAAAATTGATACGTGGAAATCCGTCACGTTTATATAATTTCATCATCACCAATTAGCATCATTAATATCATAGAAACCAACTGAACGGATTTTTTACAAAGCAATTAGTTTTTTCAATTAACTTTGAATTGTTCGCAAGGTATTTAATGCTTAGTTATTGTTAGAAGACTGCTTTCTTATTCCAATTAAGAGATTTGCTATTTAAGTCAATATCTTTCTTCAACTGAGTCAATACCGCGCAGGAATTGTTTACGAGACATCCGTAAACAATGATTGAACATTAAGGGATATGGGAAAAGGTAAAGCGAAATCTTTGAATATTGCAAAAGAGAAGATTGGACATACCCAACACGACTCGTAAATCTACCCCTTACAAAAAACTTCAGTAAAGACAACACTGACTAACCTATATCGTTTTCTAAATCAGTCATCTTTTACTGAAATATCGAGAGGAACGCAGTGGTACTTTAAAAAATAACACTTGCTATTACCCTTTCAATCAAATTAAGTACTAACATTTTCATTAATAATATGTCCGCTATAAAGAGATCTAATTTTGGAAAACCCGTATATTGGGAGTGCTCGGAAAGTTAGAGACTCGCCCACATGTGTTCGAAGATGCCGTAAAGAACAAATAGATGGTTAACCAGTTGTGACTTAAATAGCAAACTTGTAGAAGCCATATGGTTTCCAGACCATGTCATTGTAGATCGAAGCCGTTAGGCAAAAAAGATATCTGACAAATAGAAAAGTCATTTGATACAAAATCGTTTGCTAGAGCAGAACGCACAAAGCAGAACAACCATAATCTCCACGCTTTCATGTAAAATTTATTATTTTTTTAATTGCCTGCTGCCTGCTGCCTTTGATTGGCCTTTTAGATTCTTGGGCTATTATATATACAACAGCATTCCAGAATATTTAATGCACTCAGCTGAAAAAGCTTTCATTAATTTATATTGGCCAAAAAGAAAATGTTCACTCTAGATTTCTTTCCTGATTGTCCTTTGAGCTATGGTCCAATTCATTAAGCCGTTGGTTTAAGATCTCGTAAATGCAACAGAGACTTATTTATGTGATATCCTTAAATTGCTGACGGGAAAAAAAATATTCATGGCCTTAACTGACATTTCGTGGAAGATGTTGCCTTGTATTGTTTTACTACTTATATGTTAATTACTCACAAAACCCCAAGGTGGGAACTTTTGACTGATCAAAGGCTAAAATGCCGCAAAACCTGTCAACAGATGCCTATTGGATACTTAAAGACCAAAGTACTTTCTCCTTCGTCCTGCAATCATTGTCCAATTAACTCCTTGACACTATGGGATACGAAATTTTTTTAATTCATTAATTAAACAATACCCCAGTTCGTTATTTTAGGACTAAAAATTGTTGAAATATGTCTTGTTCTTTGAAACCTGATTTTAATGAACCAGGAATATTTAAATTATTAAGTTCATGCTCGAAACTGTTGCCTTTCCTGTTTCATTTTCTCTCAGCACAAAGTACATTAAGTCCGATTCAGTTTGTCATGTATTTCTCATAACTTCCCATCGATTTCATAGAAAGGTGCTGGAGTGCTATTGACGGAAATGCGTCAAGCTCACGAACGCGATATTGGGGGATGTTTTTGCGCGAATCAAGACACCTTTTAATGAACGCCTCTAATTCCACTTTAGCACGAAACCACGATAAAGCGTTTTCTCATGGTTAATAAGGAGTTTGAAGAGTGCAAAACAAACTTGGGAAATTGAAGGGAAAAGTGACATAGGTAGATGTTAGACAGCTTTAACGACGAATTATTAGTTGTAACTAATAGTCCATTTCTTTTTTCTCAGGACAATCCAGGGTGCCTTATTTCAGGATATCATTAGGCGTTCGAATGTCTTAAGCACTAAAAACATCACCAAGCAATGTACTCAAAGAAGAGCTATTCATCTGGGACAGAAGATGTCCGGGAATATAACGATGCCAAAACAGGTCGCGAGGCCGGAAGACCCTCGTTCATATCAAGCCTATGCATAGGGCCCAAAGAAGATAAGATTGAGAGGGAAATCTATCCCACCAAGGAAGCTTCTGAACGGGTCTCTGAAAACACAACAAAGTCTTTTGTGACAAGAAGTGTCATCGATAAAAGGTCAACCTCTTCTTACAGAACGAGCGAAAAAATTCAATCCGTTAAATCGAGAGATTTACCTGGATATTCAGGCAGAGAAGCAACAACGGATCCGATCTCTTCATTTTACTCTTCATACTCCAAAGACGAAGACCTCAGAGATGCCGCAAAAGTGAATCAACTGGCTGATAAAAGCGAAGATGTTATTTCTTCCTTTTATCGATCGAGTGTCGGTTTTAGAAAAGACAGAAGTGTTGACCAGAAAACCAATATCGCCGGAGAAAATGGAGAATCCATCCGAGCGACAAGTTATAAGGCTGCTGCTGCTGAATTGCGCGCTGCCAAAGGAGTAAGCTGGAGGAATGACAGATCAACAGACTCTTCTAGTAGCCTCAAGGGTAGAAGTTCTTTACAGAGCATTAAAGAAGCAGACAAGGAAAATGGTGGTCCTACGACCATCAATTCGGAAAATATAAACATTCTGAGAAGAGCTTTGGAAAGAAAGGACGCATCTAATTCTCTAGATAGAGAAAGACTTTCCAAAAAGTTTTCTGAAGACGACAGCATTGATCTATCGAAACACACCTCGAAGGCGCATGTAAATTTGTCTGGTAAACACGGAGACAGCGATTCGCACAGAAAGACGACCTTAACAAATACTTCCAAATCAGAGAAAGACGACGTCGTTGGCAGGCGAGAGACGTTTGATGTTCATACAGTTATGCAGAATGGTAAAGCAAGTGATTGGGGAATTTTCCCAAGAGAAATCAAGGCACGCTCCCGTTCTACTGAAAGCCTAAATGAAAAGAAAAGAGATAGATCAGGAATCTTTAGAGAGGTTCCTGGGAGAAGTGAGTTTTTGTCTCATTCCAGGTCTTTATCAGATTTTGGAACCACAGGTTCTGACGATGACAAGCGTTTTTCGAGGGAAAGCAGGCGCACAGGATCACTTGATCGAAATGCAGGTTTTGTTGATCGTTGGAACCGCGCTGATCGCAATGGACGCTCCTCATCTCTTTCAAGGCTGCGAAGCCGGTCTTCAGAAGAGTTAAGGCCTTCCTATGAGGATAAACAGGTGTATCCAAGCTATCGATCTAGAGCTCTGCACCGTCAAGGAAACTTCGACCGTGAAGGTTCTTTTCGCCGTGATGAGACAAACAGGAGAGATTCAAGAATGGGAGAAATGAGATCGTCAACCCGTGACAAGCTAAGAGAAGATATAGCTCGACTCAAGGCCGAAGCCGAAAATCGGACAACGAAGAAAGATGTGAAGCTGTATTCGTTTAGCCAAGAACCCACCATTCATGACAAGCTCAAGGAAGACATTGCAAAGCTCAAAGCTGAAACGTTGACACGAGACCACGTAAAACCTTATGTTCCACCAGCTTCGTTAAGACCAGCGTCTGCGAACATTTCTTCGAGATGGAGAAGTCGAGAACCCTCTATACAAGACAGGCTCAAAGAAGACATTGCAAGATTGAAAGCTGAAGCGGAGAAAATGCCTTCTTTCCCCAAACGGACCTCGGATGTTACTACTGAAATAATCATTCCAGACAGAAGAATGGAGGATATGGCAGATGTTCGTCATGGTGGAATTAGCAGAACTTTGGTCGAGAGATATAACGTGTCCAATAACGATGGAGTTGTGTTTAAGGATGTGTCGAGGAATGAAGAAACAAAGAGGTTTGGTGATGCTAAAAATCCTAAAGAAGACGAAATAACTCGACGACGAGGCAGCTTAAGAAATGACCAGCCAAAGTTACGAAATGAATTCCGAAATGTTGAAAAGTCTATTGGAGATGAAGTGCCTCTAAGGCCTCCAGCAGACTACTTCCATCCATTCTCGGATCGCACTGTTCCATCCTCCACAAGGACCACCGAGGGAGCTGTGTCTGTGCTTTCTACGAGGCCACCCCTATGGCCCAAAGAAAACGAAAATGGGTCAACAGAACGAGAAAATCTCTTGACCACACCACGAGATATTTCGACCGATCCAAGCAACTCTTCTAAATTTCAATCCGCTGAAGCATATGCAAGTAAGCGAGTGTTTAAGGCAGACTCTATCGTCTCCATATCATCAAGTAAAGAAGCCAGGGGTGGCCCAAGTTCTGTACAGGGACATTCCCGCGGAAGCATTTCCACAGAGGGTCGTTCAGCCTATTATTACAGAGAAATGGGTGATAAAGAAAACGGCATACCAGACTCCATACTGAGACGGTCATATGAGGAAATACCAAAGCCAGCTGCTCTACCTCGACCACGGGATGATACCGTACGGCTGCCTTATTCAAGATACGAAAGTGTCACTCACGGACGTAAATATCCCGCTTCATCTCCAGAGGGATTGCAGGGCGAACCTGGTTATGAAGACTGGCGGAAGAGAGATGAAAGGAGGTCGGTCAGGGTTCACTCAAATGATGAATTTGTCACTAGAAAAACAATCAGAGATGATTCCGTTATTTCTCGGAAGAGGTGGGAAGACGATACCCCTAGATCATTATCTTCAAAAGTTGAGTCTCCGAGACACATTCCTGAGAGGTCGAAACCTTCACCAAGAAGGACAAGCACCCGCGAAGACAAGCATATATCAGAGGAAAACAAGACTCGTTTCTGCGAGGAAATCGATGCTCCATTACCAGAGTATAAGGAGATCAAGACATCACCTGTTATTAGTGAGCTCCGGAAGAAAATTGAGCAGCTAAAAGACAAGGTTGATACACTGGATGATAGAAGAGCTCGAATGAAACTTGAAAGATATGTGGATGACCACTCAGAGAGGAAACCAGATGTTGATATCAAACCTCCAGTTCATATTAAGAGGTACCAACCAACCGAATTCAAACCAGGTTCAGGATCAGAGGTTGATGGTCCAGACTCACTTGGGAAAAGAGAGGTATGTCGCTATTCTCAGTGCACATTGAATGAAAGCATTTCATGGGTCATGAAAGGAAAAGAGGAAGAGCAATATTGTAAATATTACCACTCGAATCTATCTTAGTTGCAACTCATTCGTCCAGAGTCTTGTCCCCACTCTGCCTCGGTCTACGTCTTTTCCGCCTACACCATGGTCTGTCACTCATACATGTAGAGTTTTTTATTTACACCTTCACCATCAATCAAACTCTCAAGGTATCATTTTTTTATTCAATCAATTTTCTGTACTGGTAACCCTATGAGAATATTAACCTTCATTGGGAAGACGTGCTGTTATTATGTGTCGAGTTCCCTGAAAACAACTTTTAGTAGCAAAAAAGTACGTTCCCTATCAGCGACGTGAAACAAAACTTGGGTTAGTCACCGGATAGAAAAATTTAATGGAACTTTGGAATTGATATACTTTTTACTTATTACAGAGTATCACATCCGAGACAATAAGTCGCCAAATCAGTAGACAGACCAGCACAGCCAGTACTCTCAGACAGATCAGCAGTATTCAAGATGATGTAAGAACAACACCGCAGTCCCATGCAGAAGAGGTCATATCTCCGACGAGTAAACCAGATCAAAAGCCTGCTGTTATGAAACAAATGTGTGACGCACAGACGATGACCCCTCCTGATGTTCAACAAAATGTTGTAACTACTGTGGTTCAACGGCAAGACTCGATTGTAGACGAGCGAGACAGGCTAAAGGAATTAAGAGGCGTTCCTATAGACTACAGAAGAACTACTCAAATTGAGGAGGTAAAAAGGGCCCATTTTATGATCACAGAAGAAAACTTTATCTGCTGCTTAACAGTTTGAAACTTTTTACGGATGATCAGGTTATTTGAAGACATTAAGATTTATGTAAAAGTAGACAACCTCTACATATTACGATACAGAAATTATAATCTGAAATACTTCTTGTTATAGATCTTACTACAAGGCCTCTCATCTATATATATATAAATACATATATTTTTTTTTTTTTTTTTTTTAAACAATTTGCGTTTTCGTCACTTGGGACGTTACCTAAAAAACAAAACCTTTAGCCAGCTTCTGCTCAAGCGGATTAGCCATGTTGTCAATTGTTTTAAAATCATTTCTGATTGAATAGGTGGACAGAGAACAAGTGAGAGACAATGGTGTCACCATGATCCAAGTAGACAGTCACCAACAAACCATATCACCGAAAAAGGACGTGCAAGAGTGGTGGAACGCTTTCACAGCTGAAGACGTAGATCGTTTACTAAAAATTGGAAATTGGAGTCCGTGGAACGCATACACTGCCGAGGACGTTGACAGAATGTTCCACGTGGGGCCGGTGAGAAGACGAAGCTTCCATCGGAGGTAAAGTCGAAAGAAATTATTCATGCATATGAATAATGTATTCAATTCCTTACAGCAAGCATGATCTTGCTCTTGTTAGAAATATTTTTCGAGGATTCATAGTCAAAACTTTGGTTTACACGGTAAAGGTCTTGTCCAGATTAGAATTTTCAGATAACCCTCAATCCAAGGCTTAATTGTTTGTCATCCCCTATGTATGCTACACGTTTCATCGTAATATGATTAATTTAACAAATTTGGTGTTATATAAAGACGTCATATGTTCCTCATTTCTGGGAATGTAAGGGCTAATTCCTAAGAATCTTTTCTGTTATATTAAAAGAAAAACAACAGAATTAAGGGTATAACTTGAAGAACCAATCAATGAAGCTTTAGTACTTTAAAAGAGCATCGAAAAAAAACATATTCTGATGATACTGTGTCAACTCTCAGATCCCTCCGAAGATATCCGAAAATACGACAGTACAAAGACGATCCCGTTGACGTTCTCGTGAGAGTGCGAGGAAGACGCGAAAAACATCGTCGCCCTCAATGCATTATTGCTCAAGCTGCGCCGGAAGAGAAAGCAATAGTACTGAGAGAGACAAAGGAGACTACAGAGCCCTATATCAGAACAATTAAAGTTGATGATGTTTATGGAGCGGATGCTGTTAGAGTAGAGAATGGAGTTGTGAAAATTAAAGTTGGTGATAAAGGAAGGTATGTTTTGAGGATTATTCTCGTGAAAAGTAGATGGAAAGTAGTTTTCGGCACCCCAAGCAATTGTGGAAGAGCATAGAACTGATCTTCCTCTTCTAGTTATCTTGTACGAGCCTCTCAAGTCAAGTTAGAAACAACTGGTCAGAGGGACTTGGTTTATTTTGGATTTATTTTCGTTTCAGTTTGCTCTCTTCTTCATTCAAATTGGAAAGAGAACAAACTGAAGCGAAAGGTTCCTTCGCTTTTGCCCCCTTCCAAGCCGCAGTATGAAAATCTAGTCAGTACTGCTGATAGCTTATCTTAGTGATAGCGCATTCAATACTCCACCACTTTTATGATTGCGATTATATCGTTATTTTTCGATTAGGAAAACATGGGGGAGGATCCTACAGCAGAAAAATGACACCTTTGAGGTAACTTTATCTTATTTAAGTGGATACTTGAAAAGCATCTATACTCATACCTCCGAAATGTTCCACGAAAAACTGAGGAGTTTTGGCTGATTTTCATTCATGTTACAATAACTTAATTCTCCAAGTTTACAAAGGTCACTACATTAACTGAAACAGTTAAATTATAGGAAACATATCAAACTCTTTCCCCAGTGCGACGAACATTTGTTTTTCTCGGTTCCAGGTGTACGCAACCACTAACCCCACGTAATGCGCATGCTCTCCGTTGCGAAATTTTCAAAATGGCGGACAAGCCAAAGAGGGAAATAAAAAAAACAAAGCGATTTTGCAATGAATACTCAACATACACCCTCGTTAGAAAGGCGAATCCACGGACAAAAGATACAAAACTGTATGGTATTGAGATCGATATGATATTAAATCGATACCAAGGGCCCGTTTCCAACTTGCTAAGAAGTGTATTTAATTGCCTTCCACCACACTAGCTTTCTTGACAGCTTTCTGAAGACAGAATACTTTCTTTCTGAAGACTTCTGATATGCGGCTATTGATTATTACACCTCGTATACCTGACTGTTCAAACACTTTGTTTACGATTGTTGAAAGGACCGACTTTTGGTTCTCCGTCTTCGTCTTTAAATTGCTTTGAAATAGTATAGATTAGTAAGCTGAAACGAAAAATTAATCAAGGAAGTTTACGAAAAATCCAGCAAACAAGCCTAAAAAAAGGCATTTATTTAGACTTCATACTTCAACGAACTTCAAAAATCTTACTTGTTTATCTTGTAAACAAACGATGGCAGATTAATTCCCGAAGCGCTTTCTGAGTTTCCCGATCCCTCTCCTACTGCTTTCACGCTTACAAAACAGGAAAAGATCAAAAGGAGGAAGATACAGCTGTTTTGAAACGCCATTTGACGAGGGTAAATCTGCTTTTTGTTCGACACTTTACATATCAAAACAAAGGAAATTTGTTCCTCTTTTTGATTCTGGCGGTACATTTTTAATTTGCGCCTGCGTAAAAGAGATATCGCCCGAGACCCTTCGCTCGGTCGTGTTTTGATCAAAAACGCCTTGTTAATTTCACGCAACCGCTCGGAGAAAAGGTAAAAATGACGAGGGAAAAACTTTACCTTCAAGTTAGAAAATTAGCGAAATAGAAAGCCACAATATTATAGTTTAATATTTCAGAGGTACATTGAGTGCTTTTTCCGTAGAGAATCCGCACGATGGTAAAACATTCGAAAATTACACTCGATTTGAGTGGGGTGTTGAAGTGGGCGTGGTCACTACATTCATGTTAAGACTATTTGTACCCCATGAGTTTGATATGGAGAAGCAAGAATTTCCAGCTAAATTCGGTCATACTCGTCAGTGCTTAGGACCAAGACAAGCAAAATTGGCAAAAAATAAGTGTAATTTATCGCTCGTTTCATGCAGTCGAATCGTCAGTTTTGTCGATGAGTTTTTATTCATCTGTTTTATTGTTCTTAGTCGGATGGTATCGTTACAGTCCCAGTTAGCGGAGACCAGTGCGAAGACGGCATGTACTATACCAGTCACTACAAAGGACAACAGCAAGATGGAAAAGTGCGCACACCAATCAAATTCAAGATACAAGAGCAAAACGCTGCTAAATCTAACAAGATACGCGTCGCTAGGGAGATGAGAAGAACCGGGAGCATGAGACGAAGACGAAAAGCCGCTGCCAGTAGTCTATGTCCTTACATCGTGGGCGCACGATATTACAGAGGGAAGATATTGTTGACATGTGCTGACGCTCATCGATCCCAGAACCGTGCTCAAAGTGGTCACCAGGAGATTGTGGTAAGGCAGCCACAAAGCAGCTCAAAGGTATGTTGGTTAATAAAACAAAACGTTCAAAGACACCCTATGATATTTTGGAACTAACCGTGTTCATTTTGATGAAGAATAACGAATACTTAGGGTGTTAACAGACCCAATATAACTTTGAACTCAACTTTAAAAACTATTAATCAAAACCACGTCATGATTTCTTCATAACTGTTCCGTTACTATTTTTGTTACTTAAAGGTTACAGGCAACGAAATAGTTCTGCGTCGCAACTCCCAACCACCAGCGTTTCCAGTGAAGACCATTCAGAGAATCCACGAAGGCCACAAAACCACAAGTCACGCGGCTACAACCCGAGCAGAAGATGGAAAGATGATCATTACTGTACACGCTGTCCCGCCTCGACCACCACGTTTTAGTCTGAAACAAGCTGGACAAAACATGACGAGTAGCTCCTACCATGGCAAGACTTCCGAGCAACGAGGTGTATCGAGTACTTCCGGAAATTACCTCGTATCTTCGACCTCTGGGCCTCAAGGGTACGTGACATCATCCAGGCCTAGCAGACAGGGGAATGCAGGTACTTCGTATTACGTCACTGATCCGTCCGACTCGTTCGGTCGCAGATCTGGCTACCACAGTGCATCTCGTTACCACTCTTCCAACGAACTGTCCAGCACCCCAACTATTATCCCGTATGAAGATGGCCCCACAAGTCGAAGAGGGACACAGAGTGGTTCGTTTATTACCGACCCGTCGAGTTATTATGGGTTTTATGATGCACCAGGGTCAAGGATAGTCTCATCGGACCCGCGTCTGAATGCACGCACGGGATACGGAGAGAAATTCAACCTTCGAGATCACGGTGGCCTCTCCTCGGTGCGTTACGTGAACGGAGCGCGTCAAGGAAGTAGGATAATCAATGAAAGGTACATATTTCATCCATCATTCAGATAAAACTCAGATATACAAACCAGAATGCAGTGGCAGGTGGCATGTCGCAAATAAACGTGGCCGCAGTATGGCTTCAGTATTTGTCTACCAAACTACCCTTAATTCATATCGGCTTCTTTTTCCTAAGCTCAATCGTCAAAATGGCCGGTCTGTCAAGTGCTGAGGGGTTATTTGGCAAGCTTAACAAAAAACAGCTTCCGCGTGGGATAGTAATGCTCCAAAAGCTCAGGATCCACGCATCACCAAAATTTAGTCAACCACAAGGCTTTTAACTTTATAAAACATTTATTCAAAAGGCAAAAAAATAAGCCCGATATTCGTTTAAAACTTATAGGAATAAACAAATAAGTTGATTGTGAAATTAACTCGTCTTTTTCATCAGAATGAAGTCAAATGGACACTATAGGTATGGTTCATCTTGGAATTCCACGCAACAGGTAAACAGTTTTCTTCTTAAACAAAATTGCTAACCTGGCATTATGTATAATAAGGGTCCATGAACTCCTTGAGTAGAGGGACTTGTAGAAAACTTATCGATTCACTTACTTGAAACGCAGTTTTTCTCTGAAACCCTCTGCTACATATTTCTATTTTGGTAAGTTTCCCCGCCCCTTCCAACAGAAAAAAAGTAATTAAAATTACCTTGATACATGACGATTATTCCCTAACAGCTACGAAAAGGTGAACATTTTTTTTTCTTTCGTTTGCCTTTTAACCTTAGCTCATCGTTTTCGACATAAAGGGAGATTTTTGGCTTAGTCGTCGTGTTGTGCATGCAAAAGATATTAACATCGAAGACCAAACCAAAACATATAATTGCAATAATTTTTAACTCTAACAAAGATACTTGACGGACATTCCCTACTCTAATATACTCTGTGTGTACATTGTGATTGATGAGAAGTTATTTTAGAGGTAAATTATTTATTTCCTCCAGGACACATTAAATGGCCGTTCGATGTCTTGGGCAGTAGAAGTTGTTCCTGATTTCTGATTTTTTTCAATCGACATTACCAGGTAAACATATACATTAGAGCGAAGTTGCTCAAAATTTCTCAAGATCTATTACAATTTACCTTTTCCACTTTTTTTTCTTATTTGAAAATTAAAAGAGTAACACTTGGTTTTTTGCCACCTGTTCGAAAAACTGTAAAAGCTCTTCATATCTATAACTGTAATTTACCGCCAGCGAAAAAAGCAACAACTATTTAATAGCAAATTTTTTTACATGCTTCTGTATCAGTTCTTTTCCTATCTTCTTGACAAGGCGCATAAATTCTCCTTTCAGGAAATAACCCAGACCCATCAACGAAGAATTCGAAGTGATCTTTGGGTTTCGGGTGATGTGAATCATGGAGTTGTGCAGTTCGAGTAAAGTTATAATAAGATAAAGAGACATGCAGAGAAAAAGGCACAGAAGTAAAATTACTTCGCCGACCGAATTAGAGGAAAGTAAACTATGTGTTATAAAGAAATGTATTCATTACATCTCTCAGTTGGTAGGGGCGCTATGATTGGCCAATATCATGGCCTGTATTTCACTGCACTTCCACTGAATTCATTATTTTGTTTCACTTGGAATCTTCCTTCTCTATTTAAACCCAGAGATGAAACACATTTTTTACTAACCTCGTTTACGGACCTCGCAAACTCAGTTAGTAAGATATCTGTATTGATTAAACTTGAATTTGTTTGATTTATGTCAATTTAAAAAGTATGAGTTATTTCAAGAATAGTTTTATCAACATTCTATAAGTCAGGCACATAGTAACGTAACGTTTCGTTTCAATAATACCAGGGAGGGAAGGGGAGGACGTTTGTTTGTGACTTATAAGATTTTTCCGAGGCAAGGAAAAAGCAAGTGGCAAAGGTGAACTATAGATTTAAGTTTTAAAAATGCATCTGCAGAAAAGAGTTAATCCTCAACCTACAGAGTACTTGAATGGAGCCAGCCTGGATTTTTCCATAACAGTAAAAGTTATTTTACATATTATTTTATAGACTTCAAAACATACTATGATAATTACGCAAAATGTTAGAGGTTTAGAGTTTTACTGTCAGGCGCCGTTACGCGTCAAATCTGACTCTGGTGCGAAGATGGCCATGTTGCTGAATGCCATGAATATGCTATGTAAGTTTGAAATGTTGCGTTCAGTGATTCTGGATGATAGGCCTAGGTTCAACATTTTGCGTGCAGCGGGAACACCAGTCATTAGAATTAAGTCCAATGTTGCAGCGATTGAGCTCAGAGAGTTATAATGACTGCTATTACATATAACTGAAGATATAATATGATTCTCAAATTGCACAGATGCCGATACGCACAATTTACTAGATAAAGAATTCAAGTGACAGCTGTTATTTCCAATGTTTTATGAGATGGAACTGTCTCAATTTGCGCACGATTGATTACTGAGAAGTTTTCGATTTTGCTTTTTTGGTGATATAATTGTAGTTAGACAAGAGTTGGTGTTACTCATCTATGGCGGTTACATTTTGAACAATGTTGCTCTCCATATTAGTTTCCTTCGCAGTTGCTTTGAGGAAACTCGTTGCTCTACTCTGCACAGACGCCTGCTTTCCAATCTTAATTCAAGTTGGTAACCGCGAAGGCATTCTAAAGAAATACCAAATCAAATGGACTGCAATGAAAGAAGGCATCACATATCGTTCTTGTCTTTTTCAGAATCTATTTTTGTATATTTGAGGTTGTGAAATTTAAGAGGCTTAATGACCGAAACGTATTTTGCGCTAGTGCAAGCAGATGTTTGTGCGGGGAGGAAAAGCGTCGTGCAAACTGCCTCGGAAGCTGACGTTATGTTTTCCCTACGAGGGATGGGGAGGTGCCCTAACCGTGGCTTGGGGGAGGAGGAGAGTGGGAAGTGGTTGTACTGCACAGATCTTCAAACACTGCACCTGTTTAAGAATAAATCCATTTAATTTGCACCTAGTGCAAGAGGATAAGTTGTTATATTGGGCGGCATAAACCCGTAAAGGCCAAATAAGAGTATGCATTACCCCTGAGGATGAATTTTGTATATATATTTCAAGTAATTTGCGTAAATTTTCTAAAAAAGATGTGTTTTGAATAAACAAGCAGCTCGTGTCGAAATGTTAAAGCTATCAGCTTGGCGCTGCTGTCAGCTTCAATTCAATTTTAAAAAATGAGCATATTAATTTAAAAGCACGTTTCATAAGGTAGTAATAGATAAATTGGCCCTAACTACCGTCATTAAAGGGATGGGAGGGAAAAAAAAGTGTTGGTGTTGAAATCTATCGTTGATTTCATTACATTATATGCAGGACAGAAGAAAGAAGGGATAAAAGAATGTTGTTATGAGAGTCTTTTTAAGAAACAATAGTTCGACTTTCTGGTTGATAAATGCACTCTTTGACGCGGAAACAATTTTATCTTGTGCAAAAGCCCGACTACAAGCGCTATTTAAATGAAAGTGTCTATACATGTGGTAGAGTATAAAAAAAATAGTATCAATTACTTTTTTTATCGTTTGAAAGTAGTGGTGGATGTGTAAAAACGGAGTGAGGAATTGTGAAATAAAATTCTTAGTATTGTGCTCAACTCATGTTTTGATTGATCCGTTACATTAGCGCTTTTCGACCGACTCATCAACAACATGATTCATTGTTGACTGATCGATCGATTGGTCGATTGAATAATTGATTGGTTGATGGATCGATCGATTGATTGATTGATGGACTGATTAATTGATTGATAAATTGAACGATTGGTGGATCAGTTTGTGGGGTAGTTAATTGACTAATTGATTGTTGATGGGTTGTGTGTATCAAAGGTATTTAAAATACATACAGGAAGGAAAAAGTTTCATTATACCTTCGCCTCTTCTCTTCTGTCTTTTCTTCTGCAGACCCTCAAGCTGGTTGTTCCCGAGTAATCATCCTTTGCTTTCAAAAGTTTTCCTTAACTTTGACACAAGGCGAAGCTCGTCGATTCCTTATGAATCTCCAGAGCCAGAGTCACACCAACTTGCTTCTTATTTTCCACACGACATCAAATGGACCGCTAATTTGCTACCTACCAGTACACTCTCGACACTCGTGTATATTAAAGACATTTTCCCAATCCTCTCAACGCAGTTTCTCTCCAAGATACCATCACACGAAGAGAAAACTTCTCAACGTCTATACACAGGCTTAGAAGTCTATGATTGTCTGATGATTAATCCATTGACAAAACTTTGCACTCTCTTCTGTCTCTTCAACTACGCGAGTTTATTTGCACAGTTTTCTGCTCATTATTTCAACTTATTGTACAGTTGTACCTTGAAAATAAAGGCAATGTTTTGGAAACCATAACGGATTTTTAACTATTCGTCTGAGAGAAAGATTTCTCATTCCGATTATCATGCACGCCAAATTGCACGGATCGATTGCGAAGTTCCACGAACGTGTTTGCATCCCATCCAGCAAATTTCACATTCATAGTTCTTTCGGTGAGCAAACAACTTTTCTACATTGTGAATGTGGTTTGTGGCCAGGCAACTCCACCTCACTTCGCAAGTCTTTCAACTTCTACTGGTTAGTTGTCTTCAATTAGTTCACTACACAGGGCGTCGCATCTTCCGTCGCGCTTTGGTCTGTCTGATCCAATTTGTGATTGTCAACAGTCTGCGCACAAAAATAACACTTTTCGGCTGTTAAACTTTCGTTCACTATGATCTTCAGTGTTTCCTCGACATGCTTTCAAACAATGGTAGAATTCCAATCTTTCTTAGGTCAAAAAATTCCGTGTTTTGCAAATTGTCAAGCGTGAGTGAATGATTCTTGTTCAGAAAAACACACGTTTTGTGACAAAACAATCAACGAAAAGCGCGCGGGCAAAAAAACGGCCAATGAGATTTAAGCAGGAACCATTGCGTCACTTGCGCCCGCAGTTTGCCTCATAGCAAACACTTTGCAACTTTTTGCAAACGATGTTTGCAAACTTGTCAGATAGAAAACTAATGCAGTACCACATTGCAGTTGATTTCGTTTTAAAAGAAGTAAGCTAACTTTGACACGGAGGTAACTGTTAAAAGGAAATTTTTCACTGCATTGTAAACTTAACCTGGACTAAAACTCTGACCTATTGATTAGCAAATCTTTGATAGTAGGATGCATTTTTATTTCAATATTGAGATGCTATCGAAAAAGTTACAACTTACAACTTTATGTGCAAACCCTAAAAATATCAAAACATTGTTTAGTATCCAAAAAGGGACCACCAATCATCAATAGTAGATAATACAATATTTAACATAAATGTTTCTACCTAACATACCTAATAAAGCCCAGAAATATCATATAAATAGACATGTGTAGGTCTTGCACGCAAATGTTTGTCTCTGGCATTGGTGCAAAATACAAGAACTGCAACTACACTAACTTTTCATTGTTTACAAACTTACAATTTTTTTTTGACAAGCTCTTTTTTTCTGTTTTTTCTCTTTCAAAATGTTGCCTCTAAATTACAGAGAGTACAGGTACTTTATTCTAAAAACAACCTCAGTGGTCCATAACATATGCAATATGGAGGTATTGTCAAATAAATAATATACTTTAGCAACCATCTAAAAATTGTGGATTATCTCAAAATCCTTCTTACAATGATTCTAAGGTGACTCAGAGATTTCTTTTAAATCACAGCCTAAATGGAACTCTTCTCTCAGCTTTAAGATACTTTGCAATATTAGGTCTGCCAGCAAAATACTCATAAAATGCCTTAAGCTTTGGAAAATTTTCCAAAACATCTATTGTAGGTGCTTCATCATCTCCAAAGTTAAGTCTTCCAAACTCAACATAAGTATCTAGGAGATCAAACATGACATAGTCCACCCACGTCATTCGATTGCTCGCAAAGAACAATCCATCAGCATCAGTGCTGTTGTCTTCAACAGGGGCAAGCTTTTCAAAATATGACAACCAAGTGTACACAACTGATTGGATGTGATCATCCCGTAACTTGGCAGAGAATTCTGGATTATAGAGGACTGGGCCAAGCTTTGCTCTCAAATCCTCTGAAACACAAGAAATCAAATTAGTAATGTAATATATTCTGATAATGGAGTCAATGGTGATGATAATAATAATTTACATTACAGTAGAGATTGGTATTAACCTTTTAACCCCTAAGAGTCACCAGTACCTAATTTCTCCCTATAATATCATCCCTGAATCACACATTAAGGAAATGAGAATAAAGGAAATGATCACCAATGAAAGCTTTTGATCAGTAAAGAAATTCTCCTTGTAAGCACCTTAAGAAATGTATAAAGAACAGTATGGAGAATGTGCATACTGATTTGGGTGTAAAGGGTGAAAGCAAATAAAGTAATGAGAGTAAACACTAAAAAAATACAACCCTGAGAAATAACGTTAACCCTTTAACTCCCATGAGTGACCAAGACAGAAATTCTCCTTACAATATCAATACAATGTCAGGCAGAAAATTGATCAGAATAAAGAAAATGTCAGTTAAGGGATCATAACTTGATCCAACACCAAATTCTCCAAACTAACATTACAAGAACTGTATGACAGACAGTTAGGAGAATTACCAATGAGATCTTGGGAGTTAAAGGGTTAATTAAGAAAGTGCAAACTTTCTCTAGCATCTCTCTACTGTCTAGCAAAGAGAGTTCAAAACATTAAAGTTATCATCTTAAAGATTAATACTATCTTCACCCTTTTAAACTTTCAAATGATAATTTGAAAATGATAATAATAGCAATATTTTTAAATCTCTCTGCAGTTTAAGGTATCTTGGCCCATGCTTCATTAATTGTTTGGCTTTTACTTGGGGCAGAAGAGCTCAGATTACATCATCACAATGAAATGTGCTGCACATAACATGAATCACCTTAGAGTAACCTTGAAACATGAGAATGTGTGAAGTATGATCAGCTAAATACTCAAATGTATCTTAACTTAATACTCTGGAAATTTGGAAATATACAGATGAATCTTTACCTAACTCACATTTATCTTAACTTGTTAGTCTGGAAATGTGGAAATGTGAAAATCTGGAAACATGCCTTCCTCAGTTCACAAATGCTTCCATAAGTTCATCAGTATATAACTGAGAAGGTGGCACAAAGTTTTTTTTTCTTGATTTCCTCTCATTCTTTAGATTTCCTAATTCCAAATCAATACTTTTCTACATAAAAAATCCCAGAGTTTATCACCTCAAGGGAATTAGGACATTATATGCAAATTACCTGCACCAAACACCAGGGTTTCACAAATATGAATGTCTGAACAGTCACAATCAAGACCCACTGACCGGCCAATATGATGCATAATTACTGAAATATATGAAACAAATACAAACAACATTACTAGCAATTTACTAAGCTTTCCATTATAGTTGGTCTTATTTAACCCTTATTTCCCAATAGTGATTAACAAGAAACTTATTTTACCAGGAAATAAATGGCAGCTAGAGGGGAGAATTAACAATCAGATCTTGGGATTGTTTAACTGACTCACTATCAACTCAACCTTAATGTATATCAATTAACTAACTCTTCCTTTGAGAGTAGTGTACAGTTTAGTTGTCAAATATGAGAAAGTTGTCATGAGAATAAAAGAAATGATTGATGACTCAAGAATCTCTTGATTGTTGAACAAATTCTCCTTGTCAGCACCTTAGGAAATGTATAGAGAACAGTGTAGAGAATATGCATATATAATGATGTTAGGGTGTAAAGGGTTAAACTATTACAGGAAACTAAATGGACTAAAATTTCCCACCATAAAGAAACAACAGGTTGCAAACACACACCTTTACTCTGAACAAGTTGTAATCCTGTAGTAGTAGTAATAGCTGGAACTAGAGAAAAATAAACTGTTAATATTTCACTTTACTTCTGACATATTTGCATATTTTGCATATAGTCATCTCATGAAAATCTAGTAGGATAATATTCATTTTCAATGATGTAAATTGGGTATCTGAAAATACAAAAATGGAATTAATGAAATAGGTAACCATTTCATGAAAGTCTCAACTTCTTTTACAACTTTGACAAAAGTGTTATTTCCAAGATCTCTGTATTTTTGCATTAAGAGAAAAAAAGGAAAGATTTCCAAAGAAACTACCAGCAAGTTTCAAACAAGCAACTTCTAATATTTCAACTTTGAGTCATGAATATTTCATGGTGAGTAAACACCTGTTTGACGCCTCGGCGAAATTTGATTGGCTAAAATCCTGCACAAAAAATCCTGCACAAAAAATCTACTGAGTAAATGAGGGAAAAAGTAGATGAAAAAATGAATCTAGAAAAGTTATTCTGAAAAATGTTGTAATATTTCCAGATTAAGCACTACGTTTTGTTTTATTATAATTGATTATTTCGGCTTTCAAACCTTTACAACTTGCGTGATTAAAAGTCTCAAAACATTATGTAAATGAAAGGTGTTTATAACATTTGAAGAAGGTCACCAAATAGAGATATTGCGCTAATATTTCAAGCATCTCTTCTCTCTTACCTTGACCAAAAGTAAACAGGCCTGTTTCTATTCCTTTTGCTTTAATTACCGGCCAATCCGCCTTAGAAAAATTAGTCTCTGAGTATTGTATTTCAGAACCTTCCATTATCAGTCGTATACCCTCGGCGCGTCCTCTGGTTCCAAAATAATGCAGCGTCACCTGGCCTATACTTGCAATTGGAGAGCAGCCTCTCTTTCCATGAATAATCTGATTTATCTTGTTAAAAACGAACTGTGCTTTACCACTGTAGAAGATAGCAGCTATTAAAGCAATTAAGGCGAAAGTGAGTTGCAGGCTCCATCTTTCCGCCATTTTGGAATAAATTAAAAAGAGCTTCCTCGCGGAGTTTCGAAGGCTTGGTTACCGATTACCCACTTGCACAGTCACATGCGCGGCTGCATAGTTAAATAATGACAACATCTATTTGCGACTTCAGAAAATTTTCGTTCTCAGTGTAAACTGCTTATATTTTTAAAATCCCTTTTACGATGTTTTCTTTTGATGGACAGTACAAAAGTAGGAGGGCTGTTTCACTCGGAGGTGCAAGTAAAAAGGTAACGTTCCCGTTGGTTTTATAGTTACAAGTAGTATATCATGCAGAAATGTCATTTGTTAGTAGACTTTTGTCTATTACCACAAAATTGTAAAAGTGAATTGTGATGGAATCATTCTGCTCTGTTACCTAACTTTCCTACAGTCTTTATCGCTGAAAGAGCTCTAATAATTGTTAGCACGTTTTGACAGATCGAGCGGTATTGTATGGTGTAACATGTTGAAACACGTACAAAGACATTCTGTGATTCACTTTCATAGTCAGCGTTAGTTGGCAGCTTAACTAGTGTCTGTGTTGCATTACATTATATACGCATTTTGGTTGGTTATTACTTATGATCTATTGGAGGACAGACACATAGATGACCTCACCATTAACAAAATTTTTCTTTTTAATCATATAAAACAAATGCATGCTATGTCTTTGTGGGTCTGTTCAGTAATGAATCACAGAAGACCTCACTGTGTGGGAAGAACATCTGTGACACACTCGGCTGTACCTCATGTGCCACTTTTTGTTCTTACCATATTTTGACATCATTTTAATTTATTACCGAACAGACACAACAACTCAGAATTTGTTTGTTAATTTGGGAAATCAATTATGATAGATCTAACAACCAGTCAACAATATGATCATCAGTGAGAAAACATTTTGAAACTTTGGGGCTAAATTCTTAAAAGCTTTACCATTACTTTTAATACTTGTAGGAACAAAGGTCCTCCTTAATTCAAAGAACTCAAGCAGAAAGACAGAAAAGAGAGGTAAAGTATAAGGATATTTGGTGATTTTTTTTCCAGGATTATTAATGTGCAGTACCTGAGACAAGAGATTTAGATAATAACTGTATTTCTGTTTATTGGATCCCAGGATCTGCGTCGCAAAACTGCAAGTGTTATCATAATTCAGTCTTTTCTCCGTGGAGAGAGGGTGAGACATCAACAGGTATGGCTTCTAATCAGTTCTAATTTTATTTAACCCTTTACACCCTAACATCAGTGTGTATATTCTCCATACTGTTCTCTATACATTTCCTATGGTATTGACAAAGAGAATTTGTTTAGCAATCAAGAACTTCTTTAGTTGGTGATCATTCCCTTTTTTCTCATGACCTCAGTGTTTGTTTTAGGGGTGATCCTGATAGGAGAAATTAGTTGCTAATCACTCTTAGGGGTTAAAGGGTTAACTAATATAATTTGATATGTGAGATTTAGTTAAAGCAGGACAACAAGGGTCTTGAAAGAATGTAATCTTCTGTGCACATGTAGAAGTATGATTGAATGTGATATCAGTTTTTTATCCCTTTTTTTTTCTTTCAGTATGAGCTTCAGAGAATTTCATTTGATAAGGCAGTCAGCTCAATACCAGGGTCCAAAGATACTCCAACAGCAGATGTCATTAGAAATATACTAAGAAAGCTTCTTTTCTTTCATTCTGACTCCAAGGACACAGAGAGACTGGTAAAAAAAAATGATAAGCCTAACCATGTAACTCAATTTGTTACAATTAATGTTATGAATTGTAGTAAATCTAGACATATTTAAAGGGGTAAGTTTCTAAAGAAACTGTGGTGCTGTGTCGGTGGGAGAGTATAGCAGGTAATTTAGTGTTAACAACAGAGTTGAAAACGTTAATTAGCCACCGTAAAGGGTAAAAAAGCTGATGTTTTGAGCGTTAGCCCTTCATCAGAGCTCTGATGAGAATGATGATGAATAATCAATTAGGAGATTATTAGTTTATTCAATACAAAATTCTTAAAAATAACGTCATAAGAATTGTATGGCAGACAGTAAAGAGAATTACTATTGACATCTTGCAATGGATAGTTAAACAACATTAGCTATAAACAGTGTAATTATTTTCTTTCTTTTCTTTCAGATTTGGATGTGCAAGTTTCTGTTAAAGAATGGAAATACTGTGCAAAAGTTACAAACAAGTGATCATCAAATTTGGCTTCATAACATCAAATGCCTTCTCTTGATCTGTAGCAGGTAAATTAGAATGTCCATATCTTTTCCTTTAATTCCCTTTCTTAACCTCTTCTTCAGAATGCTTCAAAAGCACCAACCTACTGTTATTTAATATCCAATCCCATGAAACATAAAAGTAAGTAAAAATAAGCAATGAATGCTGTTTGTTTTTGAGCCATAAGAGAGGGTCATGATAATTGAGATTTTACAATAAAGAAATGACTGGGCTTGCTTAGTATCAGACTAACTTTGGTCCTTCTATAAACCTAAGTACTACCTTGGATATATGATTTTTTGCCTGGTTTAGTCATCATGGGCTTCTGTAGGGGTTTCATTAAAAAACCACATAACAGGGGTCTACCACTGCCTATAAAACCTCATACCAAGGTCTGTTTAGCCTGATACCAGACTCTGGTATTTGGGTTTGGCCTTACATTCCTTTTCTAGGCACAGGTGCCTTTTACATCATTGCCAGCTGCTTATGGAAAAAGTTATTGGAACCCCTGGCTTCCCCTGAAAATCAAGAACAATTTTAATGTACCTTTATTTGAATATTCTAACAGCAGTGAGTAATGTTCAGACTGTTATCACTTATTTGTAGAGACCCATTTATTGATAAGATTTGAATACAAATGTCCTTTTCATAGACATTTTCTCAGTATCTTTTCATGGAATTTGTACCTTTCCCTCTCTCCATCTTCTGCTTTTAAACAATATTTTGATTGTACACATGGCAGACTGCACATGAGACTTGATTTAAATGATGAAAGTTATCTCCACAGATCACTAGAGACATCAATCAGAGATTCTAAAGCTTTTGCTATTCAGCTGCGTATGCTGGAAGTTTTCACCTCCCATAATTCATACTATAATCCTAATGATCCTGCCAGAAGTAGAAAGGATGCTGCAATGGTGACAGTTTACCTTGTCAGAAATGGTAACTACAGATGTATAACCCTAGGCAAGAAGATTATGTTACACAGCAGTTTCTCACAGACTGTGTACTGTACTTCTTTTGCTTAATGTCAATTTTATAATTATGAACTTAAAAAGTATTATTCAGTGACCCCTGTTAGATGTGGTCTTTTATTTCCAGGACTCTTTTTCATACAGTTCTTTACTATTATTGGGCTGAAGTGTATCATTTATTTGTCATGTGAGGGATTAATATTATTATTATTATGTCTAAAAATCACTTCTATGTTGACTTTCTCAAATTCACCTTTTTTGCACATACATGTTTAATTTCATTTTTCATGTGTGTGTCAGTTTGTATTTATGTACATGAATGTATGCATAACTACATTAATTTGTGTAGTCTGCTGAAGATCCCTTCTAAATATTATTACATTTTATGTATCCCATTACCAGGATATTTTAGATATTTGCGTGTTCTGCTGAATGCCAAAGTTCCATCCAGCTTAGAGCCATCTACTGTCCCCCCTACTCCAATGGCTGCTGCTATCAGAGACCTGGTGATGAACCCACTTTACTTCAGCAGCCAGTCCAGTAGTGGAGAAGAATCTGCATTTACTGCAAATGATAGGTAAATTTCTCTCTCCTTCATGACACCAACTGAGAGCTACCCAGCTTCTTCAAATTTAAGTTAATCTTGCTACTGGTTCCCAGCATTTATTTGGGAAAATTATAAAAGTTAGAGAGTTTGCAAAAAATAATGTTATGCAAAAGTTAACATAGATTATTGTATTGATCACATAATTATGACTTAATCTGCTGTGGTTCAATTTGTTCTTATCTTAAAACTTTTAAAAGATTTTTATTGTCATTTGTTTTACTGAATTATAGAGAAAAGAAAAAGAAAAGTGTAACTGGTTAGGAAACATTTTAGCTCTGAATAAAAATTGAACTGTGACACATAAAAAGAAATTCAATCAAGAAATGTTTTTATCTGAAAGAAATTTTAAGAGATGAAAATAAGCCAGACAAAAATTAATTAATTTCTATTTTTGGTTTTTTCAGGCATGCAGTATTTTCAGCACTCATTTCTGACATTCTTTGTCCAGAAATGACAGAGCAAATCATCTGTTTTTTGCTACCATCAATAGCAGACCAATCTGCAAGATTCCCTTTTAGTCACTTGTTAGAGACCCTCCTGACAGTATTAACAAAGGCTGATGAATCAGGGGGGACCAACAGTAAGATCACCCCTACACCCTGGCTACTGTATGGAGTATTAGCATTTGTTAATACACATCTAGGTTTGTTCACCTGACTGTTTACTGTGTTCAGTAGTAAAATCTTCATTATCGATTTTGTAATTTCTACCTTCTATAACAACTGTATACTGTGATTGATAATTTCTTGGTGAGCTGCAGATCTAATGAATTCCTTTTACTAACCAAGGTCAAAGTCCAAGTAAGTGATGGACCAATTTTTTTGCTGGGATTTATGGCCCAAGCATGAAATGCACAAGTCAAAAATCTGATTGAAAAAATGAGGTTTCAGTATAAAACAAAAAAGCAAGGTTTGTAAGATTTTATTTCCTCTCTGAGTTTAAATAGAGGGGAAAGATTTCAATTCAAAATAAAAACCTTCCATCTACAATGAAATATAGCTTGTTAAAGTGACCAGTAATAGCACATGTACTAACTGAAAGATGCAATAAACCAGCATACACTGGAATTGATTGATGATTTAAAAGTTTAAGTCTCATGTGCAGTCTGCTATGTGTACAAGCATTCCCAGAAATACTGTCTGTAAAAAGAAAGAGACTCAGGTTTAAAAAAGAATTGAGCCTAATATCCAACCATGTTCTATCTCCAGGATCAACTTCAGATTTGCCTGTAGTTAAATGCTATATTCAAGTTCTACAAATGTTGTTGGTACAGCTCCCTCATCCAGGTAAACAACTTTCACTACAAATTTTTCATCCAAATAACTCCGATTGACTTAAACTACAAGAATTCACCAAATATTTCCCTTTAATTGTAATTTGATAATCTCAGTGGGGTTTGGAAAAACAATATAAGTTGCTAATTTGCTCAAATGAGAAATTCTTTTTGTTCTTGATAAAACAGATCATCTTTGTAAAGCTATGTGCTGAATTAAAGTAATATGGTATGCATACATTTACATGTCTCCTCTTTGAATGTTCCAGTTTCTAGAATGTCAGATGATGAAGATGACAGTGATCCTGAAATGGAGATAGATTCTTCACAGGCAAGTAAAAATTCTTAATTGCATTTGTATGCAATGTAAATGGATGTACATTGTAGTATTGTTAGAAATTCAATAAGTAGGGAATTTTTTCACCCCAGTCTTACCTTTATTTTGTACTACATAGTATTCCTAAAAAATTCAATTTCTTTCTGACAAGGAACATGCATACTTGTAATGTCATTTTTCTAAAGGAAGTTGTTGAGTGATACTCCTCCAACTGTTATGTAGTTGTAAGTTTTATTTTGGTCTGGATTTGACTTGTTTTTACTAACTGCATTGTACTTTACATTTACTCACTGTTAACTTAAAATAAAATGAAAATTGTTGTTTTTCACAGTCATCTTTAGAAGACCTGAAAGAAAAATGCTTGGATATCCTTGATTCTAAGGATCATGTAAAGACTTTGGAATCACTTTTAACAAGGTATGCCAATGTAATGAGGTCATTTTAACCTGTTTTTCCCTAGATAATTTTAACAGTTTCAAAAATTTGAATTTAGAGTGATGTTGAAAGCTTCAACAAATAACTGAATAATGATTTCATATTTTCATTTGTTTCTAGACACAAAGAACTAGCTTATGAGGAAGAAGTTATCAGAGCACTTTGCAACATTTGTCATTTCTTGATGTCTGAGAGCAGACTGCCAATACACAAGACTAGGTCTGTAGTTTGAGATAGGAGTAAAAAACTTTAGCTTCTAATGAGTATTGCTGGGGATGCTGTGGCATCAAGGCTCAATATTCAAGCCAAAGGTGTATCATTATGTTGTGTTATTGGGTACAATACAAATTTTGATAGTGGCAATCTCCATCAGGGGGTAGGAATGTGAGCTAGTGAACAGTAAGAAAGATTTTAGAGAATAGGAGGGTAAGTTACTGTGAGCATCCTGTCAGGGTCATTGAGGAATATCAGTATTCATACTCACACATGCTCTAAAACCCGAGACAACCACTGGCATTGTAGGCTCCCTGAACTATGTGAAGAACTACACACTGTAGCTTACTAATGAAGAATGGGCAGTGTGGTTTATCTTTACATATTATACACTTATTGATTATTCAATGCATTTTTCAGCATGCAACTAGTTTATTTTTCCATTGTTTTCTTCGTATACTAGGCTTTTATACACTCTGGCACTGAGTCCGGCATTTGTAAGAGAACTCTGGACCAATGTACAGTCAGTCACAGTTTTTACCAATACAGGGTAAGTTGAAATGTCAAGGCAATGCAACGATCAGTTTGAATGGTGAGCTGAATTCTTTTTCTTAGAATATTTTTCTGCTTAAGCCTTAGCCTAATAGGATGTATTTGTGCTCTTCAGCTGTGTACTTGTGATAGGACCAAAATTTTTCACTTAAAAGCAAAAGACAACCAGAGTGGTAGTTTGTTTGTGGAAAATTCTATTTTGACTTACATTCTAGAAGAAGTATTTCTACTTGCCTACATATATGTTTCAAATTTTAATCTAAATCTGACATTTCTTCTTTCTCTCTGCTAATTTTTTCATTTTCTGTTTTTTTGTTTTCAAACAGGAAAGAAATCCCCTTGTTAGATCTAATATGTCGTGGGACAGATCTTTCAACACAAGAAGCCAGTGCTGTTACTCCACTGTTATCTTTGTTGTCATCACTACTAAGCAGTACTTTGTTTTCTGTTCATGACAATGAATTTTATGGAGTAGAAGGTTAGCTGTAAAGCATTAGCCAAACGTTTTTGAGAATGTAAAATTGAAATAAATTAAAGTGGATACATGTGCATGGTGTAGAGTCTAACAATCAGTTAGTCATTGAATGGATCAGTGAGTTAGTGAGTCAGTCAGTCAGGTAGTCAATGCCTTACTATGTGTCAGAAAATTATTTTTTGGTGAGTCAGCTAGCAATAAATTGAACAGTTTCACATGGCATTGAAAGTAAACTGTACATTATGTATAATCAGTCAATCAAATAGTGAGCCAATGTTAACATTGATAAATAGAAATAATAGACAAGCAAGCAGCCAGATAGGCAGACAGACAGATAGACAGACAAACACACAGCCAAACAGACACACACAGCCAGACAGATAGAAAGACAGACAGAAGGACAATCAGAAAGAGGGATAGGCAGACAGGTAAAGTCTGTAAGTTATCCTACCTCCATGCAATATCCGGAAATATTTCCATTTTAATTATAACCTTCATTCGAGTAATGTTTGGATAGTGGTAACATTATCAATTTTTCAAGCTCTGCTCACATAAGTTTGTCATATTTTTCAGGTCAAAGAAGTTCATTCATGCCATTTTCTCTCAAAGAAATCGAGCACATGTCTTCAGTCTTGTGTACTGTTGTGATAGGAATAATCGAGATTATCTACCCAGACGCAAGCCCAGCTTTTACAGGGCAGTACCTTGCTGCTATGAAGAGTGTTGGAGCTAAGTCAGCCCTGATGAAAAAAGATGAGTTTTATCCCAAAGAAAAGTGGATCAAGCTTCTAAAGGTTGGTACATTATGATAGTGTAGAGTCATCCCCTTCTGACGAGCATTGCAGCGTTTCTCCAGCACTCTGCTCAGTTTTCTTATGGATGTTTCGCATGATTATGCATTGCTGGTAAAATTAGACTAAGTGAGGGGAGTATTGGGATTTTCGGGTTTGCGGTTTTGGTTTTTTTCTAAATCGGTTTTTCATTTTTTGTGTCAGAAAACTTTGCGGTTTTGGTATTCATTGCGGTTTGCGGATTGTCTGTTTTTTAGCATTTGGTTATCGGTTTTCGTCAAAACTACTAATAGGTTTTCGGATTTGGTATTCGAAGTGGTTTTCCGGTTTTTCCTATTTGGGTTCTGGTTCCTCTTCAATCTGAGCGGCACTTTTCTCCCCCACCGATCTCTCATAGCCGCAAATCCCCGTTTTGCTCCATTCGTCAACTCTGTATCGGATCGATTATGGTTTTGATAACTGGGATGTGAAAATTTTTCGGTTTCAACGGTTTTGCATGCGGTTTTCGGTTTTTTATCATTTTTTTGCGGTTTTGTGGTTTTGGATGATTTTTTCCAACGGTTTTGTGGTTTTTAATAGACCCCAATGACCCCTCCTAAGTGTAATGTTAATTTGCCGGTAAACCAGTATTTGTGAAGGTAAATTTTCATGCATTGGTATAGTGATTGTGATCTTGGACTTGTAGTCTGTGTTGAGCTCAGACGAGGGTAACGATCTCTGTATTCCAAGACAAGACAAAACAGCTCAAACATAGTGCCTGTTACCAACCACTATAATAGTATGTTCACTACAGGTGTACGCCGTGTATCCGGCTAAGCTATAATGCACATTTATGATAAATTCCTTAATTTTCTGCCCATGATTATACTGTTCTTTGACATAAAAGTTGTTTTCCTCCTCAATAGGACGTGACCTGCCTTGTTCGGCAGCTCCATTCAAGAGACTCCAGGAGACAGTTCTGTCCTGAAGGCCACTGGCTGTCACACAGAGTTAACATAGACCCAGCACAGGTAGACAGGATTCTTATTTTTTCGGATGCTCGATTGTTTAAAAAAATTTGAGCATTCAAATTTAATTTCAGGCCCCTATTTTTTATGTTTCAGTCTGTCGTCTCGTAGTAATGTTGTAATTGTAGTTTCACAACCTTGAGAAAGCTTCACTTTCCGATTCTTTGTACTTGTTTTTGACCAATTATGAGGAAATTGTTCAGTAGTTGGAAAATCTTGAAAAAATGTTTTTTCTAACCAATTTGGAGGTAGGAGTAAAGCCCTTCTTGACTCAAAATCGTTTTCTTCTGCCGGCTTCTTGTTCTGTGATTGTCTCATTTGGTAATTTGCTTGTGTTCTTAAAGATTTCCTCATTTAAAGGTTGAGATTCTTGAACGTTTTAGAATTTTAAACCGTTTAACTTGATATTATTCGTTTGTATCCTCTGAACAGATGAAAATTGACGGTTTTCTCAATGAAGAAGGTAACTTGCGATTCTTTGTTCACGTTTAACGGTGGCAAACGTCTGATTATCTATATGAGCTAAGGGGATACATATTCAGATGCTTTGTAGAGGGCACAAATCCCATTTTTAAGTGCGGTTGCGGTTGAAATGGGCTTAAGATATGGTTTTTTGGCAGACCTAGCGAACAAGCAGGAAAATATCCAGAAAAATTCTGCGTACTCAGATAGCCTTCTAGTTCAGGTGTTCTGGCCTCCTTCGCAGCCATTCTATGAAATTTCAGACAACGCTCCCGTCGTAAAGAACAACTGCGAGGAAATTAATGGCCCTCCTGTTCTTGTGTATTATCGTTTTAAGGGATAGATGTTATCCGTGTCAGTTCGTCTGTCTCTTTTGGATGTAAGGATTCACCTTTCATCCATTGTTTGCTTTAAGGTACCGTAGAAGGAGTTCTATCTTCCAGCACAGCTAGGAACATGGCCATTCTTCAGTACATTCCGTTTGTTGTTCCTTTTAAAGACCGAGTTAAGGTGAGGTTGCTTTTGTAAACGATTTAAGAGCAATTTTCATACAGCCTTAAAAATAATCTGAGATTGCACTTGTTAGTAAACTTGCACAACCAATCAGATACAAAACCAAATCAATGGCGACTTGCTTTTTCCCGCCATTTACTTTGACAGATACCTTTGATCTGATTGGCTAATAATTTTGATCAGTATTATTTTAGATTTACGATACTTCATGGAGAAGGGTGCTAAAATACGTCGAAGGGAGATATGTTAAGGTTCGCTCACAATTGGTGTGTTTTGTTTCCTAGTTGCTCCAGAGAATCGTCGCAAAAAATCGTTTGGATTCCCAGGGAGAGCTGCATAACTTTATGATGGGACCAGCCATAGATGTGACAGTGAACAGAAACTACATCTATCAAGATGCTTTTGATCAGCTGACCGAAGACAAAGGTCGGTAGAGATAATTAGCCAAACGTTTGAACTTAGAGAAATATGTAAGCTTTAGTCACGAACGTGAGACATTTAAAAAAGTGTAAGTTCCCAAAATTAAACGAACATCAGATCTAAAGATTTCGCGGATGCTCTACAACTAAGCTTCAGGGAACTCGTTAGTGAGCCAGGTTATCTTCCAGTTTCATACGTGACAAGTGTCCTGTCTAATGATAGTCAATGTTCAGTGTACACACAGGGTGAGGGAGATGGTAAATTTTGCGGTTCGTCGTCGAATAACGGCTATATTTAACCCTTTAACTCCCAGATCAAATTTGTAACTCTCCTTACTGTCAACCATACAATTCTTATAATGTTAGTTCACAGAATTTAGTGTTCAATCAACTTATTATTCCCAAATTGATATTTTTCTTTATTCTCACCACTTATCTGGTTGATATTCTATTGATATTGTAAGGAGAAATTCTGCCTTGGTCACTCATTTAACCCTTTTGTCTTCTGTGTAGGATAGTATCTATTTTACTGAAACACCTCATTATAGTTTGTGGCTACTTTTCCTCTAACAGCACCAAATTTAAGACAAAAGCTTCGCGTTCGGATGATAAATGCTCAAGGACTGGAGGAAGCAGGAGTGGACGGAGGCGGAATTTTCAGGTGAGAGATTAACTTTAAGTAATGAAAAACTTTCTATTCTCTCGATCTGTACTTGGAAGACTCGATATTCTGTGGAAAGAGGTTTTGATGCCTCTGTCAAACGTTGAGAATTTATGAAGTGTGTTCGTAATGAAAATGGAATGTTGGAGACGTAGCACGACATACATACTGAGACACATGCACGTACCACTTTGCTGTTGATACTCTCTCTCCCAAAAGCTATTGCTACATCACCTAAAAGAACTAAGTCATGATTTATTGACTTATTTTAGTTTCGTACGAAAAGCCTTAATGTAGAAAAACGTCTTGAAATAATTGTCTGCTGGGATTAAAAAACAAAAAGAGACAACAAAAAGGAACGAGAACGGTTAAGGATTGAGAAGATTGAAACGGATTTTAAATGACGGCCACGAAAACTTTAGATCGCCGGACATATTTTTGATAAGCCCCTCTAACTACTCTTGCTTAACGATTTAATCTGATTTAATCATACGCACTTTTTTTCATTTCCTGTACTCCTTTCATACAGGGAATTTTTAAATCAGTTGCTCAAAGCTGGATTTGATCCTAACATCGGTTTCTTCAAGGCAACACATGAGCGACTCCTTTATCCCAAACCAGAGGTATGTTTGTGCTCTGACTGGTAATTCTCTCATTTATGCCCTACACATTTACTTGTAATTTAGTTCAGAGAATTTGGTGTTACATCAAGATAACCGCTTCTTGCAGATAAATTTGTCTACTCTCATTACCTAAAGAAATAAGGGGGGGGTTAGTTTCTAAAGAAACTGTGGTGCTGCGTCGGTGGGAGAGTATAGCAGGGTAATTTAGTATTAACAACTGAGTTGATAATGTAAATTGGCCACCGTAAAGAGTTTAAAAGCTGACGTTGCGAGCAATCGCTCTCACGAAGGGCTAATGATCGAAACGTCAGCTTTTAAACTCTTTACAGTAGCAAATTTACGGTATCAACTCAGTTGATAATACTAAAATACCCTGTTATACTCTCATTACCTGTTTACCAGAGGCTGTGTCGATATTTTTAGGAGCTTCAGCACTAAATTATGCAGGTCTTTTAGTATTTTTGTATGTTTTGTTTTACCCAGGCTGCTATTTTAGAGAGGAATTATCTGAAACACTATCATTTTCTGGGACGAATGTTAGGAAAGGTTAGTCCTACTTTTTTTTTAAATCACCCTTTGTGGTTTTCATAAGTTTAACTTGATTATTTGTTTGTTTGATTTAAATTTTGTTCATTTGGTTGTTTTTGTTATTACTTTTTTTCCTTTTTCCTTCTCTCTCTTCGGTTTCGGAACATTTTTTGTGTTGTCTTCGCTAATCTGTTTATTTGATTTAACCCGGCTCAAAAGACTTATTCTTACGCTGCAGCTTATTTTACAAAGGTTACACAAAATTGACCAAGTATGGGAAACGAGCAAAGAATTCCATCTAAGTTCTTTGTCATCGCTTCCTTTGATGTTAAGTAATGATTAGCACAATGGAATGATTTAGTCGGAATCACCGTAATCTGATTGGTTGATTTTGTGTGAGTGATGCTGATAGTAAAAGTGGCACAGGAAACCCAGCTAATCAATGAGAACAAACCTCATTCTTTTCACTTCTTTCCAACGAGTCTCAAAGTCCGATCGATTAACGCGATTTGTTGAGAATCACAAGAGTGCTTGCTAAGAATTATTCTATGACTTATCGCACTGCGAGATATCAATATTTTGCGATTGGTTTATTTGTTTTTTTGTTTATTTAGGCGTTGTATGAGAACATGTTGGTAGAGCTACCATTCGCGAGCTTCTTTCTGTGTAAACTTCTCAGTAAGCACGGTACCGATGTAGATATACATCACTTGGAGTCCCTTGATCCAGAAATGTACAGGTGAGGTTTATGTTGAACGGACAATTGGCACAGAGAGCCTTAGTTAGTTTGTGTAGCAAGGAAAAGGCGAGGATGATAGTCGAAATTATCGTGAAAACTGAGATTTAGTTCATGCACGATTTCTTGGAAGAATTCAAGATCTTAGTCACAATCATGAAATGTCTCTAGAAAGGTAAACTAGAAATATTTTAAGGTGGGATAACTTGATGTGTAACGTAAAATAAATAGAGCTGTTACAGAAAGTCTACCTCTGTATTGACTTAACTATTTCACTCCCAGATCTCTATAATAATTCATATAACTGTCTGCCATACAATTCTTATTTATTGTTATTATTCAAATTTATCTTTGGATCAATTTATAGTCCCCTAATTGACAATTTTCCTTATTCTCATCACTTGTCTGCTTGGTGGTGTATTGATATTGTGATAAGAAATTCTGTCTTGATCATTCACGGGAGTTAAAGGGTTAAGAGCCGAAATTTATCGTAGGCTTCAAGTCATTCTTGTGGAAAGCTTCTTAAAAATCTGTGACAATTGATTCAAAACATGTATCCTACAGGTATCCCCCACAGGTATCCTAGCCTTGCTAGATAAGTGCCTTGGAAGTTAGAGACTTACCTCTAATATTTCTACTCTTTGTTGTGGTGTAAAGAAAGGGAAATATTTATGTATTCTTTAATTTTTTTTCTTTTAGAAACTTGCTGTTTCTTAAAAATTACAGTGGAAATGTCGAAGAACTGTCACTAAATTTCACAGTGGTAAATAATGACCTTGGAGAAAGCCAGGTAATTCGAGCTGCTAGCTTTCATATAATTTTTTTACTCTCCTGAAACACCCTTCCCTCCCCACCTTCCAAACTTAAATGCGACGCTGGTTTACCTCACACCTCCCCCCCCCTGCTCCCTTCTGCTCATGCCTCTGAGGCCATTCTCTATCGTTGCTTTACAGGTTGTGGAGTTAAAACCAGGTGGTCGAGATATTCCTGTCACCACCAGCAACAGAATCAGTTATATTCATCTTGTGGCCGACTACAGGCTGAACAAACAGGTCAGTCCGAAAAGTCTCTTTTTACCACATATTTATTTTGTCTTGTTATCAAAAGCGGTGGCTTTGTTTACACCCATATTTTGTTATGTTGTTATTTTACACTTGGCTTGATTGTGGCAAACTTGAGAAGTTAATATAATCTCTCTGTTGCCATTTGTTTTAGATTCATCGTCACTGTGTAGCATTCAGGGCAGGCCTATCAGATGTCATCAACCTAGACTGGCTAAGGATGTTTGATCACAACGAACTACAGGTGATTTTGTCTCTTAACCCTTTACCTCCTAACTTCAGTATACATTTTCTCCAGACTGTTCCTTATACATTTTCTATGGTACTAACAGAGAGAATTTGTTTAACAATCAAGAGCTTCTTTAGTTGGTGATCATTTCCTTTATTCTCATGACCTCAATGTTTGCTTTTGGGGGTGATGCTGATTGGAGAGAATAGTTACTAATCACTGTTAGGGGTTAAAGAGTTAATATGCAGATATATTTTTTAAAAAGAATGGTGCGAGTCTCTTTGTCAGTGAATTCTGTGAAACCATGTTTTATATTTAAGAATTTTGTTTTCTCCTTGGCATCAAGCTACCTACCTATTTTTTTCTTATTATTCATTTTTTTGTGTAGGTTCTTATATCAGGTGCCTTAGTTCCAGTAGACCTGGAGGACCTTAAAAGAAACACAAACTATTCAGGTACAAGACTGTTGGTAGGATGGTCATGTTAAATGGTGATGGTTACGTGAAATTACTCTGAGATCTCATCGGTTCGTTTTGTTGTTTCGTTATGTTGTTTCTCAGATCGGCTGTCACAACATGAAGGGTTATTAACAGAAGGGCACGTGGGAGTCATTGTTTGCGATTCGCAAATTTTCCTAAAATATCAGGAAAACAAAAAATATTTGTCTGATAAGTTAGACTAACAACAATCTGAAAAGACTAAATGAAAACGGAAGGAGGATAGTTTAGGGTGAAGAAGATTTACACGAATTTTGATGATCGCCCTGAGAAAGATTGCAGTTATTAACAACTCTTAAACATTTCAGGTGGCTTTACGGAAGACCATCCTTGTATGCTTTCATTTTGGCGAGTTGTCGGTCAGTTCACGGATACACAGAAGCGTCAGCTGTTAAAATTCGTAACGAGCTGCTCGCGTCCTCCACTCCTCGGTTTTAAGGTCAGCTAAGTCTCTTGATCCCTACACTTACTTAAGTGGCACGGGCGGGGTATATCCTCCATCAAGTTGTGAAGTAGGTAAAGAGTACCTTGATTCCATCCTTGTCTTTCCTTTACATTACTTATCGAGGGGAGCAGGGATGACGCAGTGTTAGAGCGCTTGCCTTTCACTGCTGAAGCCTGGGTTCGATTCATTGTTGTTAGTTCTCTTTCATGTTGCAAGGGTTTGTCTCCAGTTTTTCGTTCCAGAAAAAGAGAGCAACGTTCTACGTTGCACTTCGAAGTGGAAACAGTGGACGAGAAGAACCATTTCGTGAATCTGTCACTGCTAAAATGTAACGTCTATTTAATTTTTAAAAATTTTTTTATTTATTATTTTCTCTTTTTCCTTCAGGAACTCCACCCTCCCTTCTGTGTGCACAGCGCGGGGCCTGAGGATAGACTCCCGTCAGCCAGTACATGTATGAACTTACTTAAGTTACCAGAGTATTTGGACGACGAAACCATGAAAGAGAAACTGTTATATGCTGTAGAATCAGGCGCAGGATTTGAGCTGAGCTAAAAACTGTCAAAAGTGTCGTCACTCGGCTGTACGCGAGAAACATCACAACTTGGCCATGAAGTAAGCTTGACGCGTTCTGGTAGAAAGTGGATAAATTTGCGTTTAGTTCCTTGTAGTTGGTGGAAAAGACGATGTTGAGACAGGCTCGCACGAGAATTGTGTATCAATCGAATGTGATGTGAAAGCGTCTTCTGGAAAGCTTTGGAAAAGACCATGTACGAACTCGCTCCGATTTACAATCCGAATTTTTAGTCACTAGAGATGTAAATGTGACCCGGTCGAAAAGACACAAATGTATAACGTATCTTCTACTTCAAGTGCAGTAACCCTAAGGGTTTAAAAAGTCACACCTCAGCATACTATAAACACTATTTTCACTGGTTAGAGTTTTATCGGAAGAGTCGGATCCGTACAGCGAAATCAACAAAGTACGCTTCTGAAATAATGTTGAGTTTTTTCATTTTACCAATTTGTAACTCAGCAGTTGTGGAAGTTCAATCCAGAAAAGTGGAAACATTTGTATTTATAGTGAACAACGTGCTGTAGAACTGACTAACTCGCCTGGAAATAAAAGAAGGGAGAAAGAGGTTTTGAAAGTTCCTTCTTTTTCTGCTTTTGTAAAATTCAAGAGAAGTCAAAAATGTAAATAGAGTATTACATTTGTCTCGTAGTATTTTTGTTGAATGGCTGGCAAAATGATAGGACGGTTCAATCAGGTGCACCTGAAAGATTAGTCCACCAAGATTAGGAAATATCTACTGTATATTGTAAGGCAACTTCTCATACCCCAAATCAGTGCATTAAAGAAGAGCAGGAATCAGATCCTATGTTATTGTCCCCAGAATATGCATGGCCGATCTAAGATGACTCTGACGAACGAAACCTGGTTGCTTAGTCATTTATATTCTAAGCCACGTCATGGATTTTGCCTCTTGAAGAGCTAAGCTAAATGTTTTTTCATTCTTAACCTCGTATTTCTTTCTTTACTCGTTGGTGTTAGTCTGCTCCAAAAAAATTTTTTTATATCCTACGCAATCAAAGTGACTCAAAGAGTTGTAATTTAGTTCTTAACATTCTGTTGCATTAACTAGCTTGTAGGTTCAAGTTCCTTTACTTTTACTGAGTCACTTCAACAAAATTAACTAATCAAATTGTTGGAAGCGAACCGGAGAGTGACTCCAGCTAAATCTGTCAACTGTGCCAATCAGTGTTTGAGATCAAGGCAAGGAAAGATGGCAGAGAATTTAGTTGAAACTCATTTCAGGTTTCCTGTAATCGAGTTGCTGAGTTTTGAGGGAGTGATTCTGGTAACAGTAACCGCAGTGTAATTTGTTTTGTTACAGAAAGCGCCATGCTTTTTGTAGTGTCGAGGAAGAAATATTCTGTACTAAGTCAAAACGGTAATAAAACTCTCAAATATGATTGATCATCAGTGGCCTCATTTGTGCCCTCATCGTCATCATTTACATTATTCTAGCCTATGAACAGGCCCTTATTATCTGGGCTTCGGCAAGAGTGATTCTTCGCCCGCAGGAAAATATGAATACTAAGCAATTCGAGCTGGCGAAAGGTCCGACAAGGGGTCTGGTACTCATATTAGTGCCAAACCCTTGTAAATCCTCTCCCTTACTCGTCTCAAATCTTCCCGCAGGCGGAGAAATGCGCGTCCCGCAGCGCCAATAATATGCGCCTGCTCGTGGGGAATATCGCCATACTCGCGCGATTATCGAGTCGGACTCCCGCAAAGCGGTGGTTCGATTTTTTTAATCTTTCGTATGATTACAAGCCGAATTGGACTCCACTTGGTGCCATTTCGACCATTTATTTGTCTATTACGACAGCTGAGGAAGACCACCAACAAATAAATTTTTAGAACTAAAAATTATTTCAATTTGTCGTCGTCTGATTGGTGGATGAGTAGAGAAAGATGTTTGCGAAATTACTAATGTTTGAAATTTGTGGCAAAGTTGACAATTTCAATACGTCAACCGATCTCAGGGTTTTGATCAAAATCAATAGCACAAGCATAACAAGGTTGATATATTTTTGAATTTACATTTTGAGAGCGCGATTTGATATCAAGCTATGGCTTGCGAAGATCTGTCGCTGACTTTTGTCAGAGCCCTAGGTGCAATATGCTGGACTTCTGGATTATTAGCTATTGCAGAAAATCTGACCGTTATTTTAGCAGTGCGATACATTCGCTCATTGCGACCTACAGCCCGATTTTTTATGGCATCTCTCGCTGCGGCAGAACTTCTCTCAGGGATCACAGCTAATCTGTACTTCGTTCGAAATTATGGAAGAAGCGAAAATACCTTCCTGAAAATGGAAACTACTGTATGGTTTTTCACCACAACTTCCGTAACTTATAGTTTGAGTAACGTAGCAGTGGATAGATTCGTTGCAATTACGTCGCCTTTACATTATCATGACAGAATGACTTTGAAAAGATGCTTACTAATGCAAGTATTTCCATGGTTTCTTGCTTTCATGGGTGGGTTCACAGCTCACTTTATTCCTTTCAAACACGCAGCAAAAATCTGGATGTGTGGAGGTATCATTTCTGTGTTGATACCATTTTGCATAATAGCTTTCTGTTATTTCAAAATATACAAAGTAACAAGAAGTACATTTCCTGCGCGTGAAAACATCCCAAATGCTCAACAAATGGCAGAAAATAGACGACAAAGAAAGACGGCATGCACATTTGGGATCATCACAGGATTATTCATTGCTCTCTTCATGCCGAGTTTTCTCATCAGCATGTTCCCTCTAGCCACCGATGTTGAAATCGCAAGAGTGAAATGCGACGGTTTTGAAAGAAAAATTTGGCTCAGTGCTTCTGTTATCTCATACTTCAGTGCTGTTATTGATCCGTGGGTTTATGTCATCAGAATGCCAGACTTTAGAAGTGCTTTGAAGGAAATGTGTCAACGAATACGTCGTATTCTGTCTCTTTCTTTAAACGACAGTCAATAAAAGACTCTTCAGAGACCCTTTGGGATGAATAAAAGAAAACGACCTTGGCTACTGGGTTGGTTTGAGGATGAGATTTTTTTCAACGAATGGGTAGTTTTTCGACCCTATCCAAGAATCAATATACGACCACCAGACGAGTTAAGATGAATCAGAAACGGTCTTTACTAAGTAACATGCAACTTCGGGACTATTATACCATACAAACGAAAGGAAATAAGCGTTAACGAAAAAAAAAACAAGGTCATCCACAGGCGAATATGTAGCGATTTAAGCGGCTTTGTAGCGTTATCCGCTTTCCAAACGAGGACCTGGGGCTTGTTTCTCTTATGTTCCGGTTGTTGCCGATCCCGAAAGGCTTCCGATTTCTTGTCTGTCGTCTTTTACAAACAATATCAAGATACGAATAGCTTTGAAATACAATCCTTGAAAATGTCAGGAAACGAAACAAGATGAAGTGATCTTTTTTAGCAAAGGCCCCTACTTCTCTTCCCTACATTTAGGTTTGGAAGCGGGTTTTTAGTGTTAGCAGAAGGTTGTATGCTTCTGGTGTTTGAGAATACCGCTCAAGATGTCAGTAGCTTTGTAAAAATATAGAAGGGATGCCCAGAGCTTGGAGAAAAAATGAAAAAACATAACTCCTTATTGTAAAGTGTGTCTTACAAGATCTATAATTAATTTGAAGCAATGAATATCTTTCAAAGATCGATGTTAAGAAATATTTGGAGCTGGACAAGGCTATTCCTATTTTAGGTTGAGGCATCATCACCCACTCTTAAATCTAGGAAAATAATTCTCATATGAACCCTAAAGAAACAAATCGTTTATGGGTTTTTGTGCTCTTGACAAAGTCAAATGAGAAACGCTGCTTTTTTGATTGCGCAGATAATGATCGACTATGTTTCACTCCCAGCTGTACACTTATTGATTTTGGAGTAGGTAGACTACTACCTAAAGCTGTCATGGTGAGCTACTGAAGTGTTTTCTTATCTGGACCAATGAAGTGGCAGCAAATCCAGATTGCCTAATTACATTGTAGGAAGAAATCATTTTCATCACTTTCGCGATAATTGATTTGGGTTGTGACTTAACCTGTTTTAAAAATTCATGCGTGGCTTTGAGGGACGAAAGTTGATTATTTATTCGGCTAGAGTGAAACACAAATGTGCTGCGTTGCTTTCCAGCGTACGCTAAAGATGCCGTTTTATTTGCGAAGAATCAGGTTGTATTTCAATCTGAATTTTTTCAGGTAACTATTTCAAACACCACTCTGATCAATAAGACAGAATGACAGTAACTTTCCGTCTTATAATGTGTGCAAATAGAGCGCTTTATAATCTGCGTCATGCTAACATAGCAAGATTAAAAGGTTTCATGGCCAGCTTAATGCCAAGGAGGAGATTTGGAAGCGAAATAATGAGCATGCATGAGACACAATGAGACCTGACGCCGGCGTAATAACCCACTCGGGATGTTTGGAGAACACTCGAAAAGTTTGTAAATCAGGAGCCGGAGGCGAGTGATTTATAACATGGTATATCTCTATACACTATCCGTGAATCATTGAAGACTTAATATGATGACGAAAATTCGTTAAAAAAATGTTAGTGTGAGGGTTTTATCTCAATAAATGGTCTCAATGGGTTGATGGCTTTCACTGACGGCTAATGGTTAAAATGTTGGCCATTTCACGGTCAATGGGTGATATCATTCCGTTGTTGTCACCAGAATTTTTTTACGGTGAACTTTTTTTACGACTTTCGGTTAAAATGTCTATTTTTACGCTTAATGGCTAATTTTTTGGTTTTTGACAGTTTCAACGGCTATCGGTTAACCTCATTGAGACTCTGTCAATGCAATTCCAAAATTTTCTTGACGAACACATATGGAGATGTACAGCAGCTAACTGGAAGGAAGATTACAGATCAGATCTTGGGAGACTTTGGAGTGTTGATAAGTATCCAAGAACGCACTTGAACGTTCGTTGCCTCGAACGATTTCTCCAAAAGGATATTTCTCTTTTTTTTCATCACCTTTCTGCTTAACCCTTTGACTCCTAGGAGTGACTGGCATCTAATTTCTCCCTAAAATATTACCTCTGAATCAAACATTCAGGTAACGAGAATAAAGGAAATGATCACCAACTAATAAAGCTCTTGATTGTTAGACAAGTTCTCCTTGTCAGCTACATGGGAAACTTGTAGAGAACAGTATGGAGAATATGCATTTTTATGTAAGGGTGAAAAGGGTTAAAATGTTTTGATACGGTGAGGAAAAAATATCTCTTTGGTCACTCCCGAGAGGCTCAAATGTGACTTAGTCAAATAGTCAAAGGCAATAGAAAAGGGAGGAGGAAAGGGGTGCCGGGAGAGTGACCTTTGAAGGCTCTTAAAGCCAATAAAAAATATGATCATTATAATATTAATATTAAATGTTTGGCAGAGGCGTAACCAGCTTTGCGATTTGTTGTAGGCCTCTTCTCTAAGGAAGAAATGTTTTTGTCAATATTTACAAGTCATATTATAAAATTGAAAAGCAAATAGAAAAATTTGTAGGCCTGGGCCTACCAACCTGTAGTACTGTAAGAAGCTAGAGTACGACTCCCCAGTTGCATCAAAATGAATCACACATCCATACTCATGTTTGATTTATTCTGTAACTATTCTTTTACAGCTGACAACAGGAAATAACTTATCACTCAATTTGCAACACATCAAGCAAAACATTTTTGAACACAATATTTAAAATCCTGACTGCCTCATGATTAAAATTAGACAGCTACCCTAAATTTTACTCAAGCGTACACTGTATGAATAAAACAATTCTCACATTCTCATCACATGACAGCACTCCAAAAGTATACTCCTAACCAGCTTTGCTGACTGGTTTACAAAGGTGGATGTTCCTTAAATATTGATCAATTACAATGTAAATGAGAGAAAATTAATAACTATTTGGAAAGACATACTCATTCACATTCATTTGAATTTGACCCATGTTAACATGGTTAAATAGGACATGTGCATTACATATTCAGTTAAACATAAGATTGTGTGACATCATAGGTAATTAAATACAAAACAGTTTTGTTCACCAACTGCCATAATGCAGAATTAAATATCATCCATTAAAAAGATATGATATCTTTATTGTAAAAGAAAAACACTGAGTACAATGTTTTTCAAATAACAGACTTCCTTGACTGATACCAAGATGTATAAAAAAGTTTGAAAAATATAATTGGTTATTACTTGAGCAGTAGTACAATGATTACTGATGTGCTGTATGACAAAATAGAACACACATGTAATTTATCAAAAATATATCCTCAAGTTGATTGAAAGAAATCAAAGTTAAAAGTCAATATAAAATAACTACTAAATTGTCACAAAGTATCAAGTAAGAGTACATTGAAATGCATTGAATTTTAAAGCAAAAAAATAGTTTTTTGACATAAATAGTTAAGCCGCATGCTTTTCCTGGCTTGAATTTTGCAAACTAGAACAAAATACATTTTCACCAAAAAGTTAATCATTAAGTTCTATCAATTATTGATGACAAGAATTACAATAATTACTATTTTCCTGTGAGGGCAAATTTTGTATTCTTGACCCCAGCAAGAATAACCCAAAGAGGAACACAGAGTTCTGTTTGGCACAAGAGAACACATACACAGTTAACCAGGGCTTGAATCAAAAGTAACATATTAATTAATGTACAAAAATATTACATCAAAGTAAATATTAAATCATTACAATGATTAGTGATAACAAGCCATTCAGATCTTTGACTGGACAGTTTAAAAAATACATATAAAGAAAAAAAAACTGTTACTTGATGGGAAAATGCTGGAAATTATATTGACTGGTGTTTCACTTCTGTAAATTGCACCCAAAATAACATGATCTCACCATATTATATGACTAGCCCTATCTGTTTCTGAGTATGTATACCTGCATTGTTTTCATTCATTTGTTATTAAAACAACCAAGATACTACAATTTTGGACATTTCCATGAAGCAGAGGAGAAATTTAAAACCCTAACTATTGAAACAAAACTGAGACCACTTTAAAAATCAGCATAGTATATATCACTTGTAGGTCAGCTGGATTGTTTAAAACAATAAAGACACTAGCACACTCAAGCCCAAAAGGACAAAAGAAAACAGAGGATGACACCCATCACAAGTCTTTGGAGATTCATCTACACTCCTGTCTGGTGTATGTGTGTTGTCCTTTTTCCTAGGTCCTGGTGTAGTCTCAGTGTGAGTAAAGCTATCTTCACTGTACAAAGTTGAACTCCAGTTGTCTTCCACCTTTTCCACCTGTTTCCTCAGTAGCCAGGTACTTTCAATGATCTCTGTTTTATTTTCACCACAAATGTGGCACTGTCCCACCCATCCAGTGACAGAACTACCATTGTTCCATACCACAAAGAAGGAAAATGTGCTGCTTGAGCTACCAAGCTGTCCAATTCCAAACACCTTAGAATGGCTGTTACCTGCTGCACCTGTTTCTCTCTCAACAGCTGTGCGATATTCCCCTTCAATTACATTATCTGATCTCTGTTTGAGAATCATCTCAGAGCCCAGGGTGTTATACCAGTTTCCATTCAAATTACACAATTGGTTTTTGACATCAGGGCCAAAATTATGGATTATTTTATCAATTTTTGTTGGTACTTTTGTTTTTCCTTCATCAGGTTTCCGAGGACCAGAAAGCTGCTCATATCTGGTGAATGTGTCACGACCAATCATAGTTGATTTCCACTTGTCTATACAGGTATTGACACTGGAACGTAGTAGCCATGATGTGAGGAGAGTCTCCTGGCCATCCTCACGGACTAAACATTGACCAGTCCACACTGTTGTTGAGATGCCAGTTCGCCAGACAACTGAAAAAGCAAAGACTGCACCAGGGAAGTTATATGGTGCAGAACCTATGACAATAAAAGAGAAAATATTAACCTTACTTTCCATACACCTAAAACCAATCATGCTTTATTTCCTATAACAGAAATGGTATTTGATATCATTCACAGTGATCTAATAAACATTGGAAAGTAACAGAGGTATGTAACTTGGTTTTCATGTCTTTGGATTTCCTATAATTTTAAGTTTAAATAATTTCGCAGTAGCTTCCTAGGAAAATGGGCCTGAAAAAAAACAATCATCCCTGCCATAATTTATTGGCCAAACAGACATGAGTAGTGGGCAAGTCATTTTCTGTCATCATTTTTTGGAAAGACAAACATTTACCAAAATACAAAACTGAGTATGATTGGAACCCACCAAACTAATTTGAAGAGTTTGTACCTGCACATCTCAGTCCTATGTCAATTAGAAAAATACTGTCCTTTTTATCTCTTCATTGATCTAAACAATGATGCAGAATTTGGGAGGACAACATTTCAAGAATTCTACCAACATCACAAAGTGGAGGTTACAGTGTTTTTCTTCAGTATATGAATAGAAAGTGGGGTACAGTCAGTTGCAGGTGCAGTAAGTTTAAACCAAGTCCAACTGTAAAGCTTACTGACTAATGAACAAAATGTACAAATATTTATCTGGTAAAACAAAATAAAACAAAGAACACCAAAATTCATTTATAAAATAATATCAACAGAGCAAAACTCTCCAAGATATAATTCCAAACTGAAATAAGATCTAAATTAATCAATCATAAGTGACAGCCTCACGCAAGACGGGCAGGTACTTTTTTTTTTCTGTAGGGTGCCTATGGGTTATGGCATTCATGAGATGTTTCATGACAAATTTGGATATCAAGGCTTCTTTACCTCAATTGGTACATTTTCATTTAAAAACTGAAATAACAAGGCATACATTTATTCCATGTATGTGTGTTGCTCTCATTATTTATACCAATAAGTAATTATTTGACTGCCTTGTCGCAATTTTATTATTATTTCACTTAAAAGCTTGTTTTGTTTTTATTGTTTTTGCTTCTAAAGTAATCTCTTTTATTTATGTCAAATTATGTGTATAGAGACTTTTATACAATACATTAATAGATAAAAATAAAAATTGATAACAGTAATGGCATAAACCTGCAAGTAGTCTACATGTATACACAAACCAAACTCAATTAAATACATTATGACAAAAAAAGAACATTTTACACATGGCTTTAAGGGTTTTTTTTTAATTCAAGGGATGAACATTTTTACGCACTTGTGAAATTCACTCTGAGGTGGACTAGTGTCAAACAACAGATGAATATGCATTTTTAAGTGACACAAAAAGTGTGTGAAGATATTGAGCAAAATAGAATTACTAGGAATAACAGAAAAAAAAATTTGCACATGGGCTTTCATATACATGTATGTTTCACATGCATTTCACATGGTTAGTCTTTTTCTTTTCACTTTTGGCTTCTGACTTAACATGTGACTGGGGAGTGAATTGTTTATAATACATCACAAGGACTTATGAAGATCATATCTATGTTAATGATCACATGTTGTTAATAAATAACTAGATTACTTTCAAGACAAAGCAAAGAACAAGGATATCATGAAACAATGACCTGCAATTTTTCTAAAATATTGAGATTCAAAATTAGAAGCTACTCAATTTTAAATATAACAAAAGTTAGCACTTTCATTTTGTATAAAACAATAGTTAGATGCCCCATAGTGTTATTCACTGAAAATATTTCCTTCTAACCCTTACCCCTAAACTACTCTAAAACAAATATGTGGTCCTAAAGGTAATCTATTGTTTTGCAATTCATTGTCTTCTTTTATACAAGCCCTGTGTGCATAATGAAGTATGGGATTTTACAGAAATCTTGCCAAATCATTTTGACTTCACTTGATTTCCTCACAAATTGCTCTCTGGGAAACATTCAAACGACAACTTATCACATATATTGCATCTAAACATTTGAAACAAATGTGCCTGAAGCATGTTTGTCGTGTATGGACATGACCAGAATTTTGCCTAAACAAGAAGTAAAGAAAGCCTATCCGGATGAAAGTTAAATAAGAAAAAAAAACATAAAAGGTTATAAAATTTTCATAATTCAATCAGTCTGGTGCCCCAAAGAGCCATCGTCTTGACTCATTTTTAGACGAACTTTGCACCTGATCAATCATGTGAAACGGACGTAGAATGTTACGCCATACATGTGAATAACCACATTGTTGAACTTACTAAGAAATAGTGTCTAATATATATGTAAATAATCAACTTAATCTTGTCGAGAAGTACATAAATATATTTTTAGAGCATCTTCTGGGAAAGCAAACGCCATGTCGAAATATTGCACATAAACTCACCCTAGCGTACACATCAATACCTCTCAATCAAAATACGAGTACTTTACCTAACACAATAGAGTGATCCACTCCGGCAGAGCCATTGCGTCTCTCAACCGCAGTTCTGTACTCCCCATAGAGGATACCATTGATATCATGCTCTAGGTAAACTTCTGAGCCCAGTTGATTGTACCACTTGCCTTCGAGAGTTTTACACTTCTCTCCATCTACGAGGCACACAAAAGCAATGGCTGAAAATGCAAAGTAAATTAAACGAGAAGAGGCACTATAGGCCATGATACCACTAGCGCTCGAGTAACGTGTGTGAGTGGTTAAATGCACGTGGAACTATTTATCTTTTATTTTTAGTCACCAGGATTGCTCGTGTCAGCCTGTCTGCGCCTGACGGATATTAAGAAGTTTCAGAATTTAATCATCATTGATAGTGCTGATAAGTTGATGATTTATGGGTTTATGAACAAGAACAGGATTTAAATAAACAAGATATGATGTGATAAGGCTTGAACTTAGAAAGAGGATTCTATGCGATAAAATAGGGATGCCTATTCATGTTAACCAGGTCTGCTCGTAGCCACTTGACCCATTCACCATATTGAATTTTCCGCCCAAAGCCTACTGGGAAGTTCCTCGCTGATTTTCAACATGCCGGCTGCTAGTGGTTCGTATTCTTCTACAAAAGAAGACCCCAGAAGGCCTAATAAGATCTTCCGCTACAAGCCAGTGACTATAAAACCTACAGATGATCCGACAGCAGAGTATATGAACATTCTAGGGATGATATTCAGTATGTGTGGGCTTCTGATGAAGGTATGACTAATCACGATAACATGGATCTCTCGACTCCAGATATCGTTGTGCTTACGTTGAAACTCGCACGCACATCTCTTAGTTGATAGATTTTTAGGTACGCGAACCATACTCATAGAAAAAAAATAAACCGTGGACATATGTGAATTATGCAGTTTTTGTAAAACAGAAGATCGCATTGTTTATGCTGTGGCAGATATCCTTTCATGGCTCTTCTTCGCTTTTTTTTTGTTGGCTCATGGTTGGCTAATATGAATTGTTTCATCTTTAAAACCGGCTGGCTGGCTAAGCAAAATGCAGTATGAAAGCACCACCGAATTTAATTGTCCTTGATAAGCTGTATTCTCAACCCATTAACCCACTTGATAAGTACTGATGAAAAATGCGCCGTGCAGACACATCAGGTGTTTACAGTTGCTAAAATTGCAATTCTCTTGCGAAGATCTTTCTTTGCTTGACATTAGTTATCCTCATGAAATTAGTTTGAAGGTAGTAAATATATGTGATTTAGTTTTTTTTAATTAGACTTGTTAACATACAGTGAAGATAAGCAATAAGTCAAGTCATCCATCAAATAAACCTGATTTTCACTATGAATAAACAGATTGGATGTTTTTGATATTTGCTTCTTGGTCATAAGAGGTACTATTGCCAAGAATCTTAAAAGTGATAAGCACACAAAATCTGTAAGCTTTGTGCTAGATGGCTTCACCGGGGCTCGCAAACCTCTTGCAACGTTGTAGGTTTTGCTGCCTATTGAGGTCAGGAATGTGGCCACAATCTCCTTGTCTTCTTTGATTTCATTCACAATCATGTATTGATCAAAAGGTTTGCAGTATATGTTCCAGTCTTCTGAACTAGGGTTGAAGACTTCAATTGTTCCAAGAGTGGCCATCCTTGTCACCAGTTGTTGTGTATCAGGGTTTAATACACTACTATAGAGTAATGCGTAAATCAGACCATGCACTCCGCACAAACATTTTATTAGAATACCTTGAACTCGATTACATACAATGATATGTGACCATAATCACATGACTATGATCTGGGGTGTACCAACCAATAGAATACAGCTGAGGTATTTAACCAAATAGGAACAAACACTACAAAAGTAAGTTGCCTTGTGTCTAATTTCTGCTCCTTGTATAATTTCAGCTGGTCTGCAAAATAGTTATTTTTAATAATTCTGGGACAAAAAGAAGAAAGTGTCTATAAAGTCTAATTTTTGCCAGCCCTTGCTACTGAATTTTTACATGTAAAGATTATATCTTTGCTTATTTCTCAGCTCAAATGGGCAGCTTGGGCAGCTGTGTACTGTTCATTCATAATGTTTTCCAACTCACGCTCATCAGAAGATACCAAGCAGATGTTTAGCAGTTTCTTGTGAGTAGTCATAACTGTACAACATACATGGCAATTTATAAGAAGCAGTATTAATGTTTGCAATGGATTTGAACAATGGTTATAGGCTTTTACCTCTAAAAACCATTTAATTTCCAAAGTTTCCAACTTATCATCTATATACAGAAAGCACTGTACAATTTATTTCATAAATCATGTCTTTTAAGTTCAGGCATGAGTAACATGTAACTGCAAAATATCTCCAAAATATGAGTTCAAGCCTGTGGATGCCAAGATAATTTTTTCAGCTCTTGCTTTCAGAAAATTCAACTGATTGCAGTTACTGTTGAAGAGCAAGTATTCACTCAATTCTTTAGGAGATATTTCACTCCAAGCATTACATCGATTTATAAATCAGTTAAGACACAATACATGCTCTCATCATAGATGAAAATATGTAAAGAGGGTTGCAGTGTTGATTTGTGCTTATTTTTGAGAAACATTTTGCAAAGGCATCTTATTTAAACACTCATTGGCAGCAGGGGAGGCAGATGGAGGTGGGAAGAGGGTTTGAAGTTGGAAGACCTCTCAAAAGTTTTTAAACCCTCAATTAGATCTTGAGTTCATAACTTTTGTGTCATGAATTCTTCCACCCCTCATGTTTAGCTGAGGCTCTGTAAACATGGAAGTCCTTTGTTGGTCAATTGTTGCTTTTGATATGTACATGTACTGTGAATTATTTAAATACATTTTGGGGAACCATCATTGGAGGAGTAGTAAGAAGACTCAAATTATTAGATAACTGGACATTAAATGCATTCCTATGTTTAATTTTGTTTTCAGATTATCCGTATCAGCTGTTGTGATGTCATATCTTCAAAATCCTCAACCAATGGCTTCAACATGGTAGCAGAGAAATCACTGTTTTCTTTAACCCTTTAACTCCCATGAGTGATCAAGAGGGAATTTCTCCTTACAGTGTCAATTCAATATAAAGCAGACAAGGGATGACAGTAAAGAAGAATAGCGATTAGGAGATTTTTGGTTGATCCAATACCAAATTCTCCAAACTAACATCATAAGAATTGTATGGCAGATTGTAAGGAAAGTAATTGATGAGATCTCAGGAGTGAAAGGGTTAACTCATCCATTGGAGCTGACAGCCAGTGTTTTAGCTGCATTCAGATCAGGAATGACGTAATTGTCATATCTAAACAGTGAGCTATAGATATTTAAATACAAGTGTTACCTCAGAAAACATATAATTAGTAATGTGATAGGACCCATAACATGTACATTAAGTTGGTATGTTCATGACATCTGTTCCTTAAATGGTCAAGAATAAAGTACTGTTAATTTCAGGTCTGTGCACTGCAAAATTCTTGAGGAAATCCCTATCTTTTCCCTTCAGTTCTTCTGTTAACCTTTAATGCCCAGACATGATTAACATGTAACTGCTCCCTCTAATATCCATACCTTATTAAGCAAACAGGTAATGAGAATACACAAACTTATCAAAGACAAGTTACATTGATCTTACTCAAAATTCTTATAACTAATATTGATATCAGTAATCAGCACCCAGTTGTTCAAAGGCTGATTAACACTAACCCAGGGTTAAATTTTAATCCTGGTTTCTTTATCCTTTTGTTCAAAAGCCTTTCTGGCATAATTTTCTTTATTCTTTGAAGGGCATTTAAACATCAAATTGTAGATGAAAAGAATTGGACTAAATTTTCTTATATGGACTTTGAATCTCAAATCAGATTTCACACTAACCCTGGGTTATCTTAATCCAGCTTTGAACATCCCGGTCCAGATCTCAAGAGTTAGAGGGTTAAGGTGACATCCAGATAAGGAAGTGGGGTGTAGGATGTCGTAGATGATATTGAATTCTTAGAAGGTTAGTTCCTTAGTCCAGCAGTTTCTTTGAAGAGAGAGGTATTTCATTCTATTGTCAATAAATTTATTTTCAGAAACGTAACATGATTTTCTCTTTCCACATTGCATGTACTTGAAAAGAATATTGTTGCTCTTAAAGGTCTAGCATACGTTTTAGAATAAATATTTCATTTCTTTTTTGTTTTTGTCTGAATAACTGGTCGCAGTAGTAATGATTTACATCTACAATAATACTCATAACAAAATAATTTTTAAACGATTTTAATATCTTAGCAACGAAAAAGGTAATTTTGTCATTCAAACATTGAATACATTTGTTTTAATTTTGTTTTGTTCCTTTTCGAAATGGCCTTTTTTTGAACCGTGATTTCTTTGTCCAAATCTGTTGCTAAGTTTATAATACATGAAATCACAATTACTGTAGTATCCACATGCTAATAGCTATAAGAAAGAGAAAGAACAAAATACTCAATTACTTTAACTCCGTCTCACCCAAGTAGTATTCATTTCTCCATCTTATCTGGGTTTTTTTCTTTCTTTTTTTCCAGCCATTTACCCCTTCATAACAAACCATTTCAACCGACCACTGACTCTCCCAGAGTTTGGATAAAAAATCTGAAAAGCAAGACTCTTTTTTGTTTGCCTGTATTGACAAAAGATAACAATGGAAGCAGAGATTTACTCACCTTAAAAAAATTAACTTATTATTTTCCTGACTGATATATGACATTATTAAACAAGTAAATTGGCTGATAATTTCTGAATTGCGGTGTTTTAATGAAATTGTAACCCTGTAAATCAGTCCGTCTTGCTACAACCGGTAATAAAGTCGATATAAAGGAGTAGAATTTACTTCTTGGTTGCTTAATATTTGAACACTGACTATGAAACACTTCAATTTGGAAAATAAGAGTATTGTAAACAATTCGCCTCTTCTGTCGACCTTTATCAAATCTTGAATAAAAGAAATAATTTACTATCAGGCGAATTTCACCAGTCGGAAGTATCATTTTGTTTTGGAAAAATTGTTACAAAAGCTCTGCCGTGACCGGGAATGGCAATAACTGGAACATTTGAAAATATCATAATCTCTAATAAATTCGTCTCTTTCAAACTTCGAATTAGTCTCTAAAATTGATTTAATGCGTGGCTTTATTTCAGAGTAACAAGATGACGAAAGCGAATATGTATAATGGATGAATCAAAAGACGTGCTGGTTTCTTTGTTAAATTGAAATTCCGGTTGCAACCAGGGTGGTGTATACAGGTGCGACGCTCTTTTATTTGAACAGAACTATTATTTAGTGCCGCATCAGTTCTGGTCACACATACGAAAGGACAACTGTTGCGCAAAACTAACACGCAAAGATGATTTGCCAGTCCATTTTGACGTTCTATCAATAGAATCGCAAACGTGAATGTTACCAAACAAACTATGCAAACAGCCATTTTAACGAATTTAAATCCCTATGTAATTGCTTTTCTGTTTGTGTGTGGTAAGTTGTCTCACAAATTGACCTCCGTAGATCGGACACACTCTTAGGATAGTAATATAAACCACTTGCTTCAGCGTGGAACCTCCTATTTCACTTTCGTCAACTCTAATGCCACCAGTATGTTCAACATAGCAATAATCCTGCTCTTCGTCGTGCTTAACTTTCGGTAAGTAAAGAAATCCGAGGACCAGTTAATTTCGGTTAATAGTATTTCTTCGTCCTCGAGGCCTTTTTCACCTTCACAAGGCAGGGGGAAAATAATTTTGTTCAGAAGTGGTAAAATTTTAAGTAAAATTGAAACGCAAAACTATTAAGTTAAAATGACTGACACGAAGAAGAACTCGGTCTAAGATAGCCAAGATTTCAATTTCCGTAAGGATAGCAATTTTCACGATGCTCTTAATCTCGCCCTTGGGGCAAAGTTATCCAGGATTTCAAAAGAGATTGAATATCTTTATATCTAAACATTATCTTCTTTTTTTAGGTCATTTTTTAATTTATTTTCTATAATTTTCTGATGAAAGAATTTTTTTTCGCTGATCAATTTATGATTTGCTTAAAGTCACATCGATGATGTCCTGGACCAAATGTTCTGATCTGACTCGGAAAAGGAACCTACGCCGTGTAGATGGCAAAGCGTGTCGAATGAGAGTTGATAGTAGGTCTTGACTCGCTGCTTCAAAAGATAGTTTGAAGAATCTTTTTTCTAGGGTAGAAGGTACACTTGTACGAAATCATTGTCCGAAACTTTTCCCAAGTTTTTTTCTTTTTTAGATTCAACCGAGGATCTTTCGCTATTTCTTTCTTATCAGACTTGTTGATATTCTTATTCTTTTTCTCTTTAAACAACAGTTCAACCGTAGCCGAGGATGGAGGTAAGAACACTTAATTCTCCCCTTAGGAGTTCTCAGCTTCTTTGTATCGGTTGTATTTGTTTTAATACTGAGCTTTGCGTCAATCAATCTCCATGTGGACAATGCAAATAGTAGACAACTAGACACAACTGGACAAAGATTAATTAGTGATTTTGCCTTTTCCTTGTTTGCCACGCATAACTTCTTCTTCAGTCGCATGGGAATCGTAATGACAAAGACGTAAATTGGTAACAATTTGAACTACCCCTTAATGACACAGAATCATCCTAGAAATTTAAAACGTTCAGTACTGAAAGCTCTTTTCGCGCTCTACCTTTACTATACAATATACTTAAGGCTTAGGTTAAAGTAAACTTATAGACTGTGGTGAAACATTTATGAAAGTCAGAAATGTGAACTAGTTGGGCCCGAAGTAAAAGCTATTTCACTTACATTAAGACGGAATAGCTTTTACATCGGCTTCTGTTCCCAGTGAAGAACTGAATGATAATTTCATGTCTCCCCTTTTATGAATTGGCGTTGCACATTAACCTCTCGGAAGTAAGCAGACCTTTTAATACCATTAAAGCAACTCTAGCTTCGTGTGTGTTTTCAAAATTACCCAAGTTAGAAAGATGTCCAACACATGGAGAGAGGAGGCAAAGCATGCACCGGTACTTCTGCGATGATAAGGCTGAGCCTATCTGCAGCTGTAACAAATTCACGTCTTTTAAGACTGTTCATAATGTTTTTTACACATGTATACTGGTAACAATCGTATGATAAAACTGAATAACTGGTTTAAAACAATACACCTGATTCTTAAAGTGAACAGTACAAACAAATAGAGTATATTTCCGTTAGCAACCAAGCTCTGTTTAAAACCATGCTCGCGTATCATTTCTTTACAGCTATGTGCAGAATGAAGACACGGGACAACAAATGTTGTGTTTTTCCTTTCACGTATAGAGGAAAAACTTATGACTCATGTGTCTCAATCAGGGCTAACTCTAGGTGGTGCTCTCTATCCCCCAGCTATGATAAAGATAGAAAGTATGGATACTGTAAAGGTAAGATCTAAAAGCTGTCAAGGAGCCAAGTCTCTGTTGTATCGCGACTAGTAAAAAGATAATGAATTTTAGTAGCTCAAGTTGGGCAGAGTCACCTTAAACCTTAACGATAAAGGCATCCACAAACTGAAAAGTTATGTTGAGTGAGACATGTGTTGGTGGCTTCAAACAGGGCTAGAAGGTAAGATTACTGGAGATGATCAAGCTTGGATTTACGCAAATGGAAGATATCTAGGGACCGATAATGGCCGATGGAACGTTCCACAGAGGTAAAAATGAATTATTACGATCTTTACTTGATTTTTGCTGGTTATTCCTTTAAAGAATCCTTCTGCAATAAAGGATTGTGCATCAAAGTCACAAAAGGAATTATTACCCTTACGTTTACCACTGATTTTTTCCAGTCATTGGGATGTGAATTTGTATGATTTAGAATTGTCTTTCTATGATTGCGGAAATCAAAGCTTTCCTTTTTTTTCATATAATTTTTTAAAAAATGAACCGGTAGCTTTACTTGTAATTTTGGATGTTGTGGTTGCTGTTCTTGAAACTAGGAAAGAACGTTTGAAGTTTTTTGATTCTTCCCTTTTGTCATAGGAGAACATAAGCGTTCCCACACTTGCAATCTCACCCCGATTTACTTGAGTCTCTTGATCTATCTGTGTTCTTTTTTCAGCTTCTTTTTCCCTGCAGAACTTGAGGTGGTTGCTATTTATGTGAAAAACAGAGGGGGCCCGTCAGGGTTCATCGCTTCATTTGCAAATGGCATTGTTACCGACAACGAGTGGAAATGCACAACTCAGGCCATACGAAACTGGCAAACCACAGCATTTGATGACAGCAACTGGCCTGCGGCAACAATTCATACTGGAAACAGTGGCGGTGCAAGGGTGAATGCAATAGCGTCAGGCGCTAAATGGATTGGTCCAAGTAATAAGAATGCTGGCAGCTTTTATTGTAGAAGACATATGACGTACTTTGGAGAAAAACCAATGGTTGGCGGAAGTAAGTTGTAAATGACCCAGTAGCCTGAACCCTTTTTCCCATAGTATAAAGCTTATATTCTTGTAAAGTAACTTCTTGGCGCGATTTTAGCATAAAGAATAAGAGAATTTGGAATCGTCTAACTATTCACATTTTCTACACGTTTTTTTTTTCTTGTTTCTGATACCACACGAATAACCAGACCAATAACGTTTTCGTAATCTAGTGTAATTCCGGGTTTTTAGCCTCCTCAGGATTTTCATAAATTCAATCATGATAATATTATATGCACTCAGTTCTCGGGACAAATGTGCACCATAGATCTGCATCCCTCAGAAATTCGGATTCAGGCCAATTAGCAGGTATATTAATCATTGATTTCTTCTCTTTTATAAACTCAGTATAATCAACATTAATAGTCACAGAAAGAAGCTTCTAGATGGTCCCAATCTAACTGAAGACATTTTTAACAAGACAGAATTATGCTCGTAATTAAACGGTTTGAATATAATGGTCAAGGGAAAGTCGTATATACCTTTTTTAGTGATGAAATTTCGTTTTGTTGTACAATACAGGTTGTGACAAGCCCCTTGGTCTGCAAAGCGGGTGGTTAACGAACAGTCAAATAAGGGCTTCATCGGTACTAGATGGCCTAAGACACGCCGCATGGAGAGCAAGGTTGTATATGCCGAGACAATACAGCTTCGCAGGGGCGTGGAGTGCCAGGACAAACAATTATTATCAGTGGATTGAGGTTATACAGGACAGGAGATGATAAAAGTCAACCTCGTTTTTAGCTAAATTATTGCTTTCAGACATTGGCCATAACGGCTGGAAATTTACGTAAGATAGCGAGAAAGTGTGACAGTCATTCATACCCTGAATGCACCATAATAACGCTGTAATAAGAGAGATAAATTAAGGGGCGAATTTGGCGAAGTGCATTCACAGAATTCGCTATTTTGAGATATTCACACTGACAGGTTATCTTTCTTACCTGATACAGCGGATTTTTTACAGTTAACGAGCTAATTTAAAACTTGATTAGTTTCCTTCACTTTGTTCATCGCTGTATGGATTAGCAGTTGTGTTTCTGAGAGGCGAAAGTTAATTGACAACTGAAGCGAGTCTCTTGATGGCGAGAAAACAAATTCTATTTTGAACCAGAAATCGCATCTTTGACGTAAGTTCGTTCTAATTCAAAGATATGAAATTCAAAGTATTTTTCGTTTCAATTTTTTTCTTTTCATTGGCAACAAAATCTTGAAAAGTGTAACGAAGAAACTTCAAATCTCTCCCATTAATTGTTTTTATAAGTTAACTCACAACAAAACTTGCACCGGTGAACCTCTGCGGTACTGCTAAGAAAATATGAGCTGTGATGACACATGCTTATATTAAAACTCAATGAGGGAAAATTACGCCTAGAAATTGTGCGAATTAATTCGGTTTTTGGTTGACGTGAAGAAAATCTTCTTTCCTTGCTGCTGGTAATGCCGCTTTTGGTTTTAGGTCAGAAGCTTCTGTTTTAGGTAATTCGTAAAACTATTTTTAAAATGCACATCCTAATCTTACCTTTCCACTTTTCTCTTTCTTTATCCTGGGTAAATGTTTTTCAAAACGGAACCAATTTATCTCATCAAAGTCTTCAAAACGTTTATGAAGAGGTGAAGTGTTACCACAAGTGCTTGCTGCGCTAATCGTTTCGCGCTAAAAAAACGCGGCTACGAAGTGACGTCACAACTCGTTCCAGTCTTCTTATTTGTGACTTCGATCTGTCAAGAGAAGTTATGATATGATCGGATCATATGATCGACTGAAATATATAGAGGGCAGAAATAATCAAACTGTAAAAATGAGCGATAACGTTAAAATCGGTAATTTCACCTATGAAAACAAAGAAACTGTAATGAGGTAAGACCTCCGAGGTTCAGAAATCTGATTTTCATAGCTTTAAACGATCGTGTGCAAAAACAACACTTTCCTCGACACTATGGCTACATGGGCATTTCACCTGAGGAATTTTTTTTTTAATTTCTTTGTCTCGATTTCGATTTTCAAGTTTTTTATAGAGTGAACGTTGTTATTGAATCGACTTTCCTCTGAAGCACTCCAGAACAAATTTGACTTTCACGTTAATGATCAGGCTTCGCAACAGACTCATTTACTTGGATCTAATAATTGTCTTATATTATTCTACATTTTTTATAATAATCTGCAAATGAAGATACTTCTCTCGCCTGAGTTTGCAAAAGTTTGGGAACACAAAACAGACGAGGGGCTTGGAAGCTTAGAAACTATGCTGAATTTGATTAAAATCAACTCAGTATCTACTACAGATATTGTATTTATCATGTCAACTTTACACACTGTAGTATATTTGATTGAATGCTTTTGACCAATCACATTTTTCATAGTAAGTCTAATGTATAAGAAAAGACGTCAGAGCAATACAAACCCCTCACCAAGATACGAATAAAGATATGAAACCTTTCAGTGATCTTTCAACTTACTAGAAAAGACTACTATCAGATTATAAGTGCTATTTTAAGATTTGCTCAAGGGTTGTGTTATGATTGTAATGCGGATATTTTTTTACTCCTTAGTAGCAAAATTGTCATCATTATCATCATGGCTATCATGATGATTATTATTTTAACATCGTCATCATCATCATTATCATCATCATCATCTTTGTCATTGTTTTTCAAGGTATCATTCAACAGTCCAGTCCAAATTACAGGGATCGCTACTCAGGGAAGAGCTGACTATAATCAGTGGGTTAAAAGTTACACCCTATCCTACAGTGAAGATGGCAAAAAGTACTCAGTTTATAGTGTTGGAGGGCGCCAAAAGGTCAGAATAAAAATTTGTTATATCCAACTCACTCATGTCAATTTTTCATGTAATTGGTCCCTGTACTAACCCTTTAACTCTTAACCCTTTATTTCCCATGAGTGACCAATACAGAATTTCTCCTTACAACATCAATACAATATCAAGTAGACAAGTGATGAGAATAAAGAAAAATATTGATTAGGGGATCATTAGTTGATCCAGTACCAAATTCTCCAAACTAATATCACAAGAACTATATGACAGACAATAAGGAGAATTACTAATGAGATCTTGGGAGTTAAAGGTTTAAGAGTGGCACTGAATCATGCATCAAGGTCACAACAATAATAGAAATATCAACTAAAAAGTACTTGATTTATAAACAAATTCTCCTCATCTACACCTATGAAATGTATGGAGAACAGTATGGAGAATATGCCTCCTGATGTTAGGATGTTAAGGATTAAAATGAATCACTGGATTACTTCATCAGCTAGAAATTAAATTTTATAAAACTTTTTCAATCACTTTAGTTTTGCTCTAATAACTCTCACCAAGAACCAGGGTTTTATGAAAAAATAAAGCAGCAGGAGAGACTTGTTAAGTAAAACAAGAAAATTCTTCATGTTTGAATGAAAAAATAGGGCAAATTATATAAATTTAGCCTGAGAATTCTTCAAGGTTCATGGATATTTCCAATGGCCCATAAGCAATGTGGAATATGTGGTATATTATTTTTGATAACCTTTGTGTATTGTCTTGGTCTATGGCTTGGGGTTGAGAAGGAAGATGAATGCTTAGTGTCTTTTCTAACATTCACAGGTATTTGGTGGAAATGCAGACAAAAATTCTGTTGTGAAACATACCATTTCACCCAGTATTGAAGGCCGCCTACTTCGGCTTCATCCCAGATCATGGAATGGGCACATATCTTTAAGAATGGAGCTCTATGGATGTCTGAAGGGTAATTAAGTGAATTGCAGACACATTTTCCATCTCAGGAAAACATAAAGCTGCAGCTTAAATAATCGCTATATCTGTCTAGTGTGCTCAGTTCTTCCTTTAAGTTACATTGTTCAAATAGTCTGTGAATGTGTACAGCTTTCTCAGTATGCAATTACAGTTTTTCAAATATATCCAAAAAAATTATGCAGTTCTGAGGAAATCAAGATGAACATAAGTTGCCTAATTTCTTGTCATTTAATGAAATAAAGAAGGTGACTAAGATAAATCTTTTTCAGTTTGCAAGGTTGATATTGGTATTTTGATGGATGAATCTGGAAGCGTCCAAGCTGAAGAATTTGAGCGGGAGAAGAACTTTGTGAAAAGTCTGGCTGGTCACTTTCAACTTGGTCCCAGGGCCACTCAGTTTGGTGTCATCACCTTCAGCACCCAAGCACAACTGGATATCATGCTTAATCAGTACAGTTCTCTGTCATCCTTTCAGAGTGGAGTGAATAAAATAGAATATAAAGGTATTAGGATTTAGCAGACAAGTAACTAATTAAGCCTTAAATGTATAAGTTAACTCTGGACAACCGGGTGTGGAACAACAAAAAATTGTCACCATGCATAGGAAACATTTTGATGCAATTAAATATTCTTTAATTCTTATACACCCTCCAGTGTTCAAAACACACTTTCTCCTTACAATATCAAAACAATATCCAGCAGACAAGTGATGAGAATATTAAAAATATCAATTAGGGGATTATCATTTGATCCGATATTAAATTCTAAGAAGAAATGTTGATTCAGGGATTATCATTTGATCCAATATTCATTTCTCATTGCTAAAATTGTAAGCAATGTATGTCAGACAGTAGGGAGAATTACAAGTACAACAATGGGATGTAGGTTGTTGTCTAGATCAAGTTTAATGTGTATTTTCCTTTAGTTCAAAGTGAATTATCATAATTTTTAACGGAAGATAAAAAGTAACCAACTAGTTCAAGATGATTTCAACCTGAATTCTATTTTGACCCACAACATTTTTCTGTTATTTTCTAGGTGGATGGACCTACACTGGAAGAGCCTTGAACCTTGCTTACTCTCAACTGTTCACTTCTTCCAAAGGTGCTCGGGGAAATGTTGCAAGGGTAAGTAAAAATTACTGTCTCCTTTGTCTAGACATTGATGACAATGATAATTGTAATAATGATCATAAGCCACAAGGTCTTGTTTCAAGTTTCAAAATGACCCCAGATTTGGCGCTGCTTTGCACAACATGCGGCAATCTTTGCAATCCGTCGAAACGTTTTCGGTAATTTGCGGGAGTTATCGGATTTTTCCGCAAACTCGGGTTTTGTGGTTTAGAAAATTACTTGCATTTAACCATAAAAAACTCGGAAGGTATATAGCAGAGGATCACAAGTTATAATAAGGTTAACAAATAGATTGCATTTTGCCGTGTTTCTGCTCAATACTAGTTCACAGTTGACGTCAAAATGTGCGAAGAACCGCCTTGTGTGTCACTGATGTTGTTATCACATTTTGACACCTTCTTTGAGCTGCCACTGAAAAGAACCACGGCAACTTAGAATCTATTTGATTTATATGATTAAAAAAAGAAAAATGTTATTAATGGTGACGTCATCTATAGGTCTGTCCTCCAATAGACCATAAGTAAGAACCAATAAAAATGCGTGTAGTATTCAGCTTATCGTGTCAATAGTAGAGGACCACAAGTTATCATCAAAAGGTCAAATGTTGGGCTCCTCGTCACTGTTACTGACTAAAAATCTTATACTCAAGAAACAACATTCAAAAAGGCACACAATAATGAAATTCCGGATCTAAGGAACTGACGTTGATCCCAAATCCGTCAATTTGTCATCAGTTGACTTTTGTTGAGTTAGGGGAGGGGTAGGTGCCCGGTTGCTTGGATACTGACATTCATTTTCGAAATCCCCTTTATTAAAGGTCTTAGTGATTATCACAGACGGCCAGAGTACTGGAGGAATTAACACTTTAAGAGATCCAATCAAGAAACTCAAAGATGATTCAGTAAATATCATCTCTATCGGTGTGGGAAATAAAGCAAATGTACACGAACTGAAGTTTATGGCGACATCTCCTACTTCCACTCACGTGTACTCAGTTCAGAACATGGATCAGTTGAAGAATCTGATTGGCTCCATTACATCGTCATCGTGTTCCAGTGAGTTTTTTTTTCTCTCGTGTCCAAATTTCTTTAGTCTATTTACGCACATAACAGTTTTGACATTGCTGATCTTAGAGGTATGTAGGTAATCAGTCGTTTCGCTTACGAGTCGTTTTGTTAACGACCATTTCGCTTACGTCTTAGGTCGTTTTGCCAACGTCTAAGGGCAGTTCACTAACTTCTCCTAGGTCGTTTCTCTAACGTATTACAAAACTTTTAGTGACTCCATCGATTTCCAATCGACTGAAAATTCGTAGGGGAATCGAGTCGTTTCAGTAAATACTGAAAACAAAGCTAAAAAGAGACTTCAGTTAAATTACCTAAAACGTAAGAGAAACAACCTGTGAGACGTTAGCGAACTGACCCGAGACATTGTCAAAACAACCTAAGACATTAACGCAATGGTTGTCAGCGAAACGGCTCATAGGCGAAACGTCTGCTATGCAGTATGCAGGGCGCGTTTCCGATATGAACTTAAAAATGGTTTAGCTTACCGTATAATTCCAGTAGGTCTTTGGTAGACCATGGGAGCGCGGAATTGGAAGTCTGTGTATCGATTCCTCTCGAGGACTTTTGTTTGTCTCACGCTTGTGTCAAGACAACAAACATAGCCCCAAAAGTTTTCCTTTTGTGTAAATTAGCAGGGAGGTTTCACTGCTCGGCTTAGACCCGACGCCGTCAGCGAATTAGTATTTCAAGAGTGAAAGTGATAGTGAAAATGCTGAGATTCCATTCATTTGTTTGGTTTGCAGCGTATAATTGTCGTTACGTGACTTGTGATTACAATCAATGGAGTGACTGGTCTGCTAGTTGTGGTATCTCCATGAGACGCACCCGAACATTGAGCAAGGTCAATGAACGTTACATCAAGAGACAAGGAGGTTGCTCAGGGCTGAAAGTCACATGCGATAGACAACTGACTGAACTGAAGACCACAAACTGTAAGTTAAGTACATAATTGTGTTTCATCTATTTATTCCTTTACACCCTAAGAGTGATAAACATCTAATTTCTCCCTGTTGTATCACCCTTGAATCGCACATTAAGGTCACCGGAATAAAGAAATGATCACAAACTGAAGAAGTTCTTGATTGTTAAACAAATTCTCCTTGTCAGCACCTCAGGAAATGTTTAGAGAATAGTATGGAGAATATGCATACTGATGTTAGGGTGTCAAGGGTTAACAAATATATTCCAAGTTGCCTTTCGTCTGTCCAGTAAACTGCCATTATCTTAATATTTCGATTCATTTTGAGAGTTGCTTAGAAACGCATAAAGAGAGAAAAAAAACCAGTTCTAATTTCACTTCATTATAAACTCCTTCTAAAAATAAACAGCTGTGAACAAACACCGTGATACTTTGATATAAGCGCACATTATCATTACTTCTGCTATGTGCTTGTGAGATGATAGGAAAGGTTTTAACACTATGAGTAATGGGCTATCAACGAGGTTAACACTATACTTGGCAGGTCCTTGCGTTACCGTGACATGTTCTTGGAATTCTTGGGGTAGCTGGTCGTCCACCTGTGGAAGAATGACACGACAGCGCACCAGCAAAGTCACGCAATCCATCATTAACCGACCCAGCTGTAAAGGTTTGCAGGCATCGTGCCCCAAACCTGAAGTCCAGTCCCTATACGTTTCCTGTAAGTAAATATAATGCGTGGGTTTTGATGAAAGAACCTTTTTATCTTTGCTTTAATTCCCAAGTCAAAGTGAAATCAGTAATACAGAGACCTACTGAGCACTCGTCGAAGTACTGTTACTGTAATGACATGATAGGTCCTAAGTGACACGCAAGGTTTTCTTAAAATTCTAAATATACACTTCGAATTGTAGGTTGTAAGGGAGAAGTGGGGATCTTAATGGACGAATCAGGAAGCATCAATGACGATGATTTTACCAAAGAACAAGACTTTATTGTAGATCTGGCCAATGGCTTCACCAACTTTGGTCCGAACGGATTACAGATGGGTGTTATCTCTTACAGCACGGACGCTTATCTTGATATTAAACTCAATCAGTTCTCTAACAAGATGCAGTTTATAAAAGCTGTGCGACAAATCAAACAATTCAGTAAGATACACTTTCAACTGATTATTACGGTTCAGAGAGAAGTAACAGCAGTAGCGGTGACTTATGGATGCCTTTTATAGCTCAAAGTTTATCTAAGCTCTCAATTATTTTGTCAACAGAGGGCTGGACATACACGAACAAAGCTTTGATTGTGGCCAAGAATCAGCTTTTCCAACTCTCGAACGGAGCCAGGCCTGGCGTGACTAAGGTGTGAAATAAAAATTAAAGAAACAGTGCCGTTTCAACCATTTTAACCATGACGAGTCACGCAATCTTAGTTACACTGCGTAGAATCCAATCGTCTCCTTTGCAGTCGTTTTTTTATTGTCACACAAGACGTAACCAACCAAAACGTGTCGAGTCCAAAAACGGCTGCTAAAGAGATTGCGCAGAATTACGATGGCCCACAAGTACCACACCAAAAGTAGCCTGCTCGCAGGCCCTCACTGTTAGTGCTCTGTGGTCCCCTTCCCCTTTTTTTTGCCCGCGAAAAGGTTTTAGGCCTTGAGCGCCCCAAGGGGTCTGGCACTAATAGTTAGTGCCACGCAGGTTACAGCGAAAGTTCCAGATTAATGCTGCACAACTGCTAAAATTATGTTAGCAGCTACCATAGTGTAATTCGTTAATTTTGAATTAAGGGAACAAAATATATTTTGAAAGTAACGAAACATTTTTGCATCCTTTGGTAAGAAATGCGAAAAAGCTTTTCTTATGAAATTGTCTAAAGATATGATCTTGACGAACACCTCCCTTTGTTTTCGAAAAGTGTGTTTGAGGACATTTCATGTTCTCAGTAGAGGAAAAACGGTCACGTAAAGGTCTCTGACTGTTAGAATTGGGCTCTTGGAAAGTCCTTGATAGTCCGAGAAAATAACGACTTTTGACTAACATGTATTATAAAACGAAAAATGGTTTTGTCCTCTCTGCAGATATTAATTGTATTGACCGATGGTGCCAGCACTAATGGATATAAATCGCTTAAAGTTCCTCTCCAAAATCTCAAAGAAAGTTACGTGAATATATTCGCCATTGGAATTGGCCAAAACATCAATAAACAAGAACTAGAGCTGATGGCCACTGGCCCGGTCAATGAGCATGTGTTTTATGTGGCAGATATGGAAGAACTACAGACTCTATTAACGGCACTTGGTGAATCAGCCTGCAAAAGTAAGTACCTATACAGAGAATGTTCGCCAAGCGTCCATTCGAGATAAGGAATACGTCAAAGCGTTTGAGAGCTAAGGTAGAGTCTTGACCTTGGGGAGGGAGGGAGGGAGAGAGGGAAGGGATGGTCAGCATGAGCCTAGGGAAGAAGGAGAAAGTGGATGGTGGTAGGGAGGGAGACGGTAAGGGGAGGGGTAGTACTGGCCCGGGGGAGGGGGAAGGGGAAGGGGATGGGGAGCACTCATTTTATGTGTGATCGGTGAATATGATTGTCGGAAATTTTTAACTAAAAACTTGAGAAGACTACTGGAAGGCCACTTTGTGTGCAGCTACCTCCGCTATTAAGATACTTGAGATACCAATTTCTATGGGTTTTTTTGCCAAATACTGCAGAGCTTCCTGTGCCTTTATATCTGAATTAAACATATCACTATTAGGTCTGATATATTTGTGCCCTCATCAAGCACGGTTTTCTTACTTTCAGAATACAAGTGTGAGTACATGAAATGTGACTACAGCGTGTGGAGCACGTGGTCCGCCACGTGTGGCAAAGGAATGACTAGGAAGAGAACGCTGACCAAAATGACCAAGCACACCATTGAACAGCAGGGAGGATGCTCTGGCCTCCCAACAACTTGCAATAAACAGAACGTGGAAACTAAAGATAGTATTTGTAAGTGCTTTGTCAGGGATGCCCCTTCCGAAATAAGGTTCACGAAATATCTGAATTGGTACGTAGCTGAATTTTGTGCTGTGTTATTGTCAGTCGTCCAAGATTTGCAGGTCCTCAGGTTTAGCCTGCCAAGTCGGAAAATAAGTTTGGTCGCCGCTCTCAGAACTCCGCCGTAATTAACGAAAGTATTTACATTTCGTCACATATCAGGTCCATGCAAATACGTGACGTGTTCTTGGAATTCTTGGGGAAGCTGGTCTGGAACGTGCGGTCGTATCACACGACAGCGCACAAGTAAAGCGACGCAACACGTGGTTAACAGACCAAACTGTAACGGTTTACAGACATCGTGCCCAGCCCCTCAGACAGAGTTCACATTTATATCATGTGAGTTTCTCTTTTACCGCTCTATTTGTACAGTATTATACAAGGTAGAGATTCTCTATACTTGCCTGTCTGTTCGTAGATTTTTTTCTCCGTCTGTAGGTACAACGTTTGCTATTTTAACAGGTCAGAGACTACCTTTCTACTTGAAAGGAAGTCAGCTTTCAACTATACCCTTACTATTTATTGTTGCACTGTCTCTGTGAACAACTCTTTTTGTCGTTGTAACAGCCTCGTCCTTAGACGTTTATGCTACTTGTGTATTTACCTTTATGCATCAAAATTTCAGGTTGTAAAGTCGAACTAGGAGTTCTCATGGATGAGTCTGGTAGTATTACACCTGGTGATTTCATACGAGAAAAAAATTTTATCGCTGCTTTGGCAGATGGTTTCTCTAATTTTGGTCCGAACGGGATTCAAATGGGGGTCATAAAATTTTCTACCAGCGCAAACGTTGAGATCAAACTGAATCAGCATGCAACGAAGGCATCTTTCATGGCAGCCGCAAGAAAAATCCGCCAAATAGGTGAGATGTAATCAAGAGGCTTAGATTCTAACATTCCTAAATTCAACAGAAAATCTCTCGGAAACGTTAAATAGGAAAAAAAGGGCTACATCATTCATTCCTTTGATGTACTTTTTTTCCCCAAACGATGTTGGTCTTGATTATGATAAGTACCTTGGTAGTCGCACTTTTTATCTTTATACCACATATACTCTCCGTTATCTGGCTTTTATATACATCCTTAAGACCTTGATGACATAAGATCTTTGTAACAAAGTTTACTTCACCTTAAAGGTGGTTGGACCTACACCGGTAAAGCGCTCACCCTGGCTAAGACAGAGTTGTTTAAGGGCTCAAATGGAGCAAGACCAGGAGTTACAAAGGTGACTGTGCAATAAATGCAACAGCTTCTAATTGCGTTTTGAAAGTAACTCGGTATGTGATCGGACTAGAAGCCTGCGTTGCTCTTTCAAATGAACAGATACAAAAGTAACTTATACCAATCACATCTTAGTGGCTTGTATGTTGTTACTTCGTTTCTCAGTGGTTCTTTTGCGTGCCTACCTTTATTCTGAGTATCGTGATGTTGTGATTATTTCAATCATAGTTTTACGCGTGGGAAACTCCTTTATTCCTTTGAAAAGTTATCCATTCCCAAGATCATTTACAAAGCGATCTCATTACAGTCAAATCTCTATTACTCGGGCCTCGGTTATCCAGATATTTCAATTATCCGGACGTTCTTTTCTGGTCTCATCATTTTTGAACATTTATATTCATCTTTTCGATCATTCGGATTCTTGATTATCCGGAGTATCAAGCCCAGTCTTCACGAGTCCGGATAATCAAGGTTCGACCGTATATGCCATCTGAGACAATATCTTTGATTTTTCCTTAAAAATGATTCTTTACCTCAGATGTTACTAGTGATCACAGATGGAGCTAGCACTGGTGGCATAACATCTCTCAGAACTCCAGTTAAGGATCTCGTAGACCTGAGAGTGAACATATTCTCAGTGGGAGTTGGAAATAACCTGATTAAGAGTGAGCTGGAGTTCATGGCTTCAGAGCCTAAGAATTCGCACGTGTTTTACGTCCGTAATATGGCGGAGTTGCCTAACTTACTTCATACTTTGGCACAGTCGTCTTGTCAAGGTAAGGTTTGATATGGTTTCTATCGCATGGTGAGGCTGACGTTGTGTTGTGAAATTGGTAAATGTGGACGTAAGTAGAGTCAAAGAAGTAATGCGCCATTGTGTGTGTGTGTGTGTGTGTGTGTGTGTGTGTGTGTGTGTGTGTGTGTGTGTGTGTGTGTGTGTGTGTGTGATCCTAGAGGCATATATGGAGATTCCTTGTTTAAATGGAATCCGTTTAAAATCCGTTTCAAGGGAGGAGTAAACAGGCTTGGAAAAGGAACTGCAAGAAAAGCTCGAAAAGCCTTGTACTAACAGTGATGAAATAGATTAGGAAAGAAGAGCTGACCCACTGGCAGCAAAATAAAACTGGAATGAAGGATCTTCCTCTCATGTTCTTAGCAAATGTTAGCAGGAATTTCCGTTACTTGTTTTGGGACACATAGCTTAATTGCACTAACTTTAAACAACGGGTTCTCTCCCGAACCACAGAGACAAGCAAACCGCAAAGGCTACCAAGTCCGCGAAAAACGAGAATCCCCCATGTACAGAAGTTATATCGAATTTTAAAATATTACATACTTTATTGTTCCAACATTAATACCAATTTCCATCCTGTATGAGCTTTGGTACCAGCAATAAATGATAAAACGATTATCAACATTTATAGAGAACAAAATGTTTTTTTTGTCTCATCTCTAGCCTTCAAGTGTAAATATGTGACATGTGACTATAGTGCATGGTCTGAATGGTCTATCTCGTGTGGTAAGGGAATGAAAAGAAGGAAAACGCTGACCAAAGTGAACGAACACATTATAGAGCAGCAGGGAGGATGCTCTGGTCTTACAACAACCTGCGAAGAGGAGAAAGTTGAAACTAAGGACATGGATTGTAAGTAGAACCGTGCCCTTCTGGCTGTCTCCTTTCATTTTTGGTTCGACTGTTTGTCTGATTTTCTCCTCGTTAGTCACAATCAGTCTGTTTATTTTTGGCACTCATCTTGTCCGCAAGGATGTTTTGACTTTTGCTGTATATATAGTCCTTAATTTCCACCCAAATGAGGATTTTTTTCTCTTTCTAAATTAAGTCAAGACAGTTCGTTTACCTAACATTTTTTTTACAACGTCAATAGCTGCATCTGTCTTGCGACCGTTTTGTGTTGTTAGGTCAGTGTAGGTACGTCACGTGTTCATGGAATCCTTGGAGCGAGTGGTCTGCCACGTGCGGTGTCAGCATCAGAACGAGGACACCTATAGTAACACAGCATGTGATAAATAAACCATCCTGTGAGGGACTGCAGAAATCATGTCCGAGAGCTGAACGTGAAAAGAAAATAAGTAATTGTGAGTGTGATCACCGAGTATTTCGAGAACCTACTACTGAAGAAGACTAAATTAGCTCATTCCCGTATCGCCCAAAGCCTTTTCATCAAAGCGAGAATCGGTGCACAATCAGTCATATCAAATAGGAGTGATTTGCGTGCATTTTTTTACACGAAGGAATCAGCATTAAGACTCAATTTCAGAACGAGGCTAGGGGTAAACCTGAAAGGAACTTTTCCTGGGTTTCAAAAACTCTCACTTTGAGAAAGATCCTTTCCTCAAAACATTTGTTGAGAAATTGAGTTTTATTGATATTAGAAAAAAAAGTAAACTTGGTATAGAAGGCTGCGCTTTCCAGCTTTTTAGAAAGGAGAAACTGGTTATCGCTGAAATATCCTTACGTCTCATTACTTTCTTTTATCTCTCGTTTTTTATTTCTCATTTTATCTCTCATTTTTTTAGGTAAATGAGACATTACTGTTCTCCTCAGCCTCTGTCAAAGTCCTCTCACTTCCGCTCTCGAGCTCGCAAATCCTAACGGCTCACACTTTTTTTGTTTAAAAACTTGTTCATCTGCTATGGAACAATGGCTTCCTCGTGTATCTTTATTTTAATCTTCCATGGTTGCATTTCCAACCGCCATAATAATGGTTTTGCATTCTTCGGCCACTGTAGATAGAATTTTAAGCCTTTCACAAGTAGTAGCATATGTTATTTTTCGTCGTTTTTCCCCTAGTGGACAAGAATTTTTTTCATCTTAGAAACATTATCGTTATTCTGTGAATTATTCTTAGGTCCATGTAAGTCGGTCAAATGTACCTGGAAAGCATGGTCTGATTGGTCAGCGACATGTGGATTGGCGGAGAGAACACGGTCCATCCAGACCACTGAAATTGTAGTCCCTCAAAAGAACTGCTCTGGCCTGCCACAGACTTGCGATGAACAGCCTGAGAAAGAAACCAGGAAGACCATGTGTACGTGTCAGACAGTACAGTGTGCCTGGAGCGAGTGGAGTGACTGGTCTGCCACTTGTGGGGCAGCCATGCGCACAAGAAAAATACAGTGAGTATTATTGTATTTGTTATTGGTTATTGCTCTCCTCGGAAACTTTCGGGAAAGTGATATACTTTGTTGTGGCGAAGTTTGGAAAGCTTACATTTCCAGCGTTCAGCCTTCGTCGGGGGTAGGCAAGTGCCCTCGTGGAGGTGAAGTTGTTGGGCATTCACCAACGATAAGTCACTGAAGTACACTTTTACTCAAATGTGTTTGCAAGTGTCAGTCTTTGGCCTTAAACTCATCAACACATGCATCAGGAAATTCCATCTTTGACAAGTTTCACCTAGACTACCCTTCTTTTCTAAAGGTGCCGTGTCAGTTTGCTGACAAGAGGGACTCGTCAGAGAGAATTTTCTTATTTTTTCGTCTTTACTGCAAAAACATTTGTGGAGGAAACTTTGTTATTTTGAATGCAGCTTACTTACGATCCTCTTTTATCTATGTGGTGATTAAGCCTGTATTTTACAGCAATCAGTTGTCTATTGACTAAGCATTTCATCTTTTAAATATATCAGAACATCGCAGATAACGGTGCAAAAAGAGAGTTGCGATGGATTGCCACAATCTTGTCCCCAGCCCCCAGAAAGTGAACACAAGACAACGGATTGCGCATGTCGCACTGTCACTTGTGATTGGGAGGAGTGGTCCTCTTGGTCTACAAGCTGTGGCATTGGAACGCGCACACGTGATATTAAAGGTACTGAAAGCTTTGAATTTAAAGAAAGAATACGAATGCTGATTTGTTGGCACCTGTTTTTGTTTTTTAACCCTAGGAAGGAACTAAGTTTACCTGTACTATGGTGAAAAACTTTGAAGCCTCCAAACACCTAATAGTCAACTTGAGAACAGCAACTCGAAGTCTTTTATCATTTTGTTTTGTATTTGTTTTTGCACGTTCTGTGAAAGGGCCATTGGCTTGATTGGTTATAACCAGACGCGTATAACAAGGGTTAGATCCTTCTGTTACAACTCAGTTTAGTTGCAAGGCCCCGAACTGACATACCTGAATTAGTGTCGTTCTCCTCACAGATCACTCGCATATGAAACCCTTTAACGTTAAGCTTCTTAAATTACGGTTTACGGTATATTTTCAGAAACTGTAATCATAGTCAACAAGCCTAACTGTGATGGCCTCCCACAGAAGTGCACTGAGAAACCTCAGACCGTCTCACGTGAAGTGAAATGCACCTGCCCTACAGTGAACTGCGAGTGGAATCTGTGGAGTCAGTGGTCTGCTACATGTGGAGCAGCCACGCGGAGAAGATCGATTAAAACTATCAAGGTTTAAATAAAAATATTTCTGTTCTCTACGTAGCAGGTATTGAATTGGCGCATATTACTATTACTATTTTCATGATCGCGCGCTTTTCAAGTTTCAGTCGATAATTTGTCTTTCATGTCTCCTGTGTCTTTGCCTTTTCAATTTAAGCAACTTATGACAATCTCGGGCAACTCATACCAAGTTGACCGGAAAAGACGACTGAAGAGATCTACAAAGTAAGAGCGTTTTTCCAAGGAGGAGCCAAATTGTACGGGGATAAGGTTACAGTAACAGTCCATATACTTCGCAAGTGTATTTATAGGGCTCGTTCTGATATGCATCCATAGCATTCTCCGTATGGGACTAGACTACTTGACGAAGCACGTTTTTGTAAATGTAATTGACGAATTAAGAAATTCATTTAGGTCTCGGAAAGGAAATAATGAGTGCATGTCGTCTTTCCTAGACCACAGTGCAAAAGTTGAAGTGTGAAGGCCTTCCCCAGTCTTGTCCACAGCCTCCCCAAACAGAACAAAAAACAACAAACTGTAAATGTAAAACTGTCAACTGTGAGTGGGCTTTGTGGTCCTCTTGGTCTACAACCTGTGGTGTAGGAACAAGAACAAGAAATATTGAAGGTGATTTATAGAGGATTTAATTTTTTTCTTCATAAAAATTTATGAGACCATTGCTGGATGAGGCAGTCATCTAATGGTTAGTAAGATGTTAGTTCATCATCTTTTTAATCATTGCACAGTTTTATTGATGCAAGCATCACAAGCTTGAGTTACTTTTTCTCCAAGCAGATGGGGTTTATCGCGAGAGATTACCCACTCCCTCAGTATTTTACAGGTTGTCATGATAGCTCTTGCAGGTTTTCTACCAATTTACCCATCTTTCGTCTTTGCCGTTCCATTAAATAGAAACCGCGGTGGAAGTTTTCAAGCCGGACTGTAGCGGCCTTCCACAGACTTGTCCTCAACCACCAGAGTCTGAAGCTCGTGAACTAAAATGTACCTGCCCGACAGTGAAATGTGAATGGAAACAGTGGAGTGCTTGGTCAGCAACATGCGGCTTAGCTTCAAGGACAAGGACTATAGAGACTATCAAGGTTTCAAGTTTCACCTTTACTGACTTGTTTTGCTTCCTCTACCCTTATTTTTGTTAGAGTTACTTACTGTCTTCTACCCCGATCGCGAAACAAAGTCCTCTCTGTCGAAGTTTTACCTGTTGCTGTCCGCACACGATTCAGATAGTCTAGCCATCAGGTCTAAGTACTAAAATCCAATCCTGCTTTGGGTTTATGTAAAGTCGCATAGAGTTTTAGTGGGGACATGCCTGAGGGAGCTTAGAGAGATGGTCATAAAACCCAGTAACGGAATGGGCTTTTAGTTTTGGGGTCCTATGATTAATTGTTATGGGTACCTAAGAAAAGGAAAATCCTTTTTTACTGATAATTTCATAATAAATTTGTATAAGGGCATTGCAAATCTTGTATTGTGGGAGATATGAAAAGGTAAAAAGGTAACCATCTTCTTTTTAATACAGCCCTCCCGTGAAGAACTTGTGCTACTTGAGGTGTTTGTAAGCTTTAGCTTTTTCGTACGCTATAACAAAATAGCTTAAAGTTTTCAAAAACAGTCCCTAAGCAACCACCGAAAGAATAGATGAAGAAAGTAGGCAAGGTTTCCTGAAAAAAATTGTGACCTTGCATTTTGCCTTTTAGACCACAGTACAAAAGTTGAAGTGTGAAGGCCTTCCTCAGTCTTGTCCTCAACCTCCACAAACAGAACAAAAAACATCAAATTGTAAATGTAAAACCGTCAACTGTGAGTGGTCTTTGTGGTCCTCTTGGTCCACGACATGTGGTGTGGGAACAAGGAAAAGAAATATTGAAGGTAATCTATAGAAGATATTTTAACTTCGCTATAAAAATGTTCGAGGCCTTTCCCTTTAGAAGCAGTAAACAAATGGTTTTTGAGTAGATTGTTCACTTGTCTCTTTGAGGTTACTGAGGTGATGTAACTAGTTGCAAACTCGAGGTATTTCTTCTCCCTTCCAATGCAGTCAATTCCTTTTTAATACCCGCTACTTTTTCATTACAAAGATTACCCTGATACTTCTCGCGTTTCTCGTATGGTTTGACCTTTACTTTTCCTTTGTTGTTTCACAAACTAGAAACAGCAGTGGAAGTTTTCAAGCCGGATTGTAGCGGCCTTCCTCAAACATGTCCTCAGCCACCAGAGTCTGAAGCTCGTGAACTAAAATGTACCTGCCCGACAGTGAAATGTGAATGGAAACAGTGGAGTGCTTGGTCAGCAACATGCGGCTTAGCTTCAAGGACAAGGACTATAGAGACTATTAAGGTTTTAAGATTAACTTTCACTGATTTAGTTTCATCCATCTTCAGTGTAAATGTCGTAAGCTGTTTTATGTCTACTACCATGAGCGTGGGACAAAGTCTTTACTGCCGAAGTTTTTCCTATGACCGTCTGCACACGAGTCAGATAGTCTAGCTATCGGGTCTAAGTACTTAATTCCAATTCTTCTTTTACGCCATATAGTTTGTGTAAAGTGGCGTGGAGTTTTGGTAGGGTTATATGCGAGGGAGCTCAAAGAGATGGCTCTATAACCCGGTAATTGAAGGGGGGGAGGGCTTCTAGTTTTGGGGTCTTATGATGGTGATTTTTATTGTTTTGAGGCACCTGGAGAGCAAAATCGTTAGGCAATGAATTATAAGGCAATGCAAGTCTTTTATTGTAGGAGATATGAAAGGGCAGAAAGCTAACCGTTTATTCGATACTGCCTTCCTGTGAAGAACTTTTCCTACTTGTAATAGTAGTATTCTGCTTTTTTTACTTAAATGTACAATAGTTTAGCTATTTCATAAACACTCCCCAGACAACCACCAAAGGTATAAGTAGCCAAAGCTTTTTAGGCTCACTCGAAAAATATTTGACCTTGTTTTGGTTTTCTAGACCACAGTACAAAAGTTGAAGTGTGTAGGCCTTCCCCAGTCTTGTTCACAGCCTCCACAAACAGAACAGCAAACAACAAACTGTAAATGTAAAACTGTCAACTGTGAATGGGCTTTGTGGTCCTCTTGGTCTACAACTTGTGGTGTGGGAACAAGAACAAGAAACATTGAAGGTAATCTATAAAAATACTTTGTTGCAACCATTCTTCAGCGCTTACACTGAAAGAGGCATTTGTATAATGGTTTTAAAGTTTAAGACAGTTCACCATGTTTTGGGTCTTTTTGATGATATGGAAAACTGCCTTAGAGTAGAAAAATATGTGAAAATTATAGTTCTCTGAGATATTCCAGTTCTCAGAAATACGAGGATCTCAAGAAATGGCGAGGATTGTTGAGGAGAAAGAAGATTGTAAATGATAGCAACAGAAACTCTGTACTCAGTAGCTCATGACATGGCGCCCTTTGTCAAACTCTGTAGAGACGGCGGTGGAGGTGTTTAAGCCTGATTGCAGTGGTCTTCCACAAACCTGTCCGCAACCGCCAGAGAACGAAGCACGTGAGATTAAATGTGATTGTAAAACTGTCAACTGTAAACGTGGCGAGTGGGAGGCTTGGTCTGCAACGTGTGGATTGGCGACACGAAAGAGATCCATTACTACTGAACAGGTTTGGAAGAAAACCTCACTTCTTGTATTCTTTTGGTGTAAAACGATATAACCAGTTCAAAGATACTGAAAATGTGGTCCTTTCTCTTCTGATCTGGCCAAATAGTTTGATTTTTTACTTCTCCAAGAAAATAATTAAAAAACGAAGTAAAAAACAAAGCAAAACAGAATGGTTCTGGCTGGTAACCCCGTCACTATTATAAACGGGTGGCTCCGTGAGCGAGTAAGATGTTACTACTCCTGTGTTCCAGTCACCGGCTAACAGAGGGGCGAGTTAGTCTTGTCGTTTAACAGAACGGGCAAGTTCCTCTTGCCATTTCAAACTGCTGGCTTTTTTCTCACACATGAGAAATTCACTGGAGTAATCTTTTGCCAAACGATGAACCTTTTCGTGTTCTTCATTGGTTCTAAATGAAGTCGTGGTCCATAAGAGGCACAAAGGAATTGGCCAATTTTTAGCTATAGTAACTTCAGGTTTGCCAATTATGCATGCATGTAAAAAGCGTTTTTCTCCCCTCCACTCGTAGATTGTAGTGCAAGAGACAAACTGCGATGGTCTGCCTCAATCGTGTCCGAGCGGACCTGAGACTGAAACCAGAAAGACTATGTGCACGTGCCAGTCAGTAACATGCTCGTGGGGAAACTGGAGCCAGTGGTCTGGAGAATGCGGCTTAGTAAACAGAACACGACATATTGTGGAGACACAAACAACTGTTCAAGCAGAGTCTTGCGATGGCGTCCCTACCAAATGCACTCAGCAACCAGAAACTGAGAACAACAAACTCCCAGATTGTAAGTAATAAGAACGTCATGTAGTTTTGGATCGCCTTTAGCCACGCAAAAAGTTGCCACAAATTTGAAGGAAATTACAGATCCATCACTCGTGTTATAAAGTCCAAAAAACACAATCGAGATAACTAGGGACAACAACAACAAACAAGAAGTAATGGAGAAGATTGAAACGGATTGCAAATGGCAGTGAAAAAGCGGTTGTTTTAATGAGCCCTTGGATATAGTTTTGTGATATTGCGTGACACGACTTTGACACTGAAATAATAACTGACATTGTGTGACACATCAATCACTGATATTACGTGACTTATCACTTATTGTACTAATGTCCTTATCATGGTGGATTGTTTTTGTTAAGGTGAATTGTGCTACACAGTGGAATGCAATTACAACCCTTGGAGTTCTTGGTCAGCAACTTGTGGCAATGCGTACAGGCGGCGCCTCCAGGTGATCGAAGAAATCGAGGTTTTTAAGCCGAGCTGCGACGGACTACCTTTGGAGTGCTTTGGTGATGAGATACAGGAGGAGACAAGAAAAACTCCGTTATGTAAGAATAGGGGAGGAGAGGCAATAACCAATATCAGCCAATATCATGATGGTTATCTTTCCTACAAACAACTTTAAAAGAATGTTTGGGCCATTCTTCTTCCGGTTTAAAAAAAATAGATTAAGTGGAAGGGAACACCATGCAAGTGAAAACGGGGAATTATTCTACCTATAATTTACTTCACAAGGGTAACTTTAGAGAAATTTTTTGACCTTAAAGTTCCATTCGATCTGCCCCTTCTCGTCTCCATTTTGCTTTTCCCGCTGAGGAGATGAGATTTTGATTTTGGTTTTAGATTGTTACGCGTTTGTGAGATTGGCCACCACAAATGAACAATAACCAAACCAAGAATGGTTATAGTTTTTTTTTTAGTCCAATCCTAGATGTTATTGCATCAACTTCAACCAAAACTTAGGAATACTTTGGACAGTTATCAGAATAAGAGAGAAAGTAAAGATGTAGCTCGTTCGTCGACAGAAGAAACATGTTTAATACTTCCACATCTCATTTGAAATGGCTCTTAGTCTTATTCAATAGTCAATACGTGTCTGTTCCTTTTTGTAGGTCCAACTACCAAACCTCCTCCAACGCCAACAACCTGATTCAAAGAGGTAAGCTGTCAATATTTTCGACATGTTATTCAAAATTGAAGGTAAAATTGTGGATTTTGAGATATCAAATTGTAACCTCGTGCACTCTTTCCCTCTCAAAGTTGATTCTCCCATGGAACATAGTACATTTCTTCTTTGACCCTTTTTCTGATTATTGCTGAAAATTTGGTTTTGTCTTAAGACAGTACCCACTTATTGATGATTTATTTTATTAACATTGCCTGTCTAAAATTCTAAAGCGAATTGATCTTCTGATTACTCCTTAAAGTCGATGGCATAATCGCAGTGATAGACTGTAGTGATTCGGCGAGTCGCATCTTTAGATTCGCGATATTTGCAATTTAGAAAACTTAAATGAACTTAACCATCAGTTCAATTTTTTTTTTCAATTTTAATGGCATCTTTAATTTGATATGTTTCTGTTTTGGACAATTCGTTGACCATTTACCATTTTCTTCACACAGATGACCAGCTTACGTGGCAGAACTAAGAAGGGCCAATTCTGGGGAATATTATACAGTTGGTAGTAAAAACATTTCTTAAGACGGTTCGACATTTGGCAACAATGTGTTTTTGGATTACATCTGATAGACAACTTGCGGTGGTAAAACGGCAAAAATAAAGATTAACTAAAGAAAATAATGGTTCTTCGTTTCTTGTCCATGTTTTAAATGCTTCTCTTTCTTGATTGTGGTCGGGGGGGAGGTTTGTTTCAGACTACAGCTACAGTTATGTTTTCTAGGGATAACTTAGAGTCATTGTTATGTACGTGGTTTCCTGTGCATATTGTTAATCCTCATTGCGTTTGGTGACAATTTAGTTTATTAGGAACAGGCGAAATCGTGGCATTTGCGCATTCGCTTTCCTCAGCGAAAGGAATTGACGTGAGTGGATGTCTATATTTGAATCTCTGACAAAACAACTTTAAAATATGTCAAACCTATGCATATGTGTTCTGGATTAATACTACGTGTAGCTTCGTTGCTACCGAGATGTCGCCCTCCCAAGAACTCTGGGAAGGTTTGAAGTCTATTTCCTCAAGCGGAACGTAGAATTGTCCTAGTCCCAACCGACGTGACAGATGTGTGGTGTCTCCCCTTATAGTTGACATTTTCACTCTACAACTGACATGGTTGATTTTTTAGTTGCTGGAGACAAAGAAAACGATTACAATAAGTGACGTATTTTTGTATACCGCTATGGCTCAATGGGGCACAGTGCCGCCGGCATCACTTTTCCGAGGGTCTCAATGGGTTAACCTTTAGCCGTAAAACAGTCAAAAAATTTAGCCGTTAGGCGTAAAAATTAATAAATTTTAGCCGTCAATCGCAAAACAATTTTACCGTAAAAAATATGTCAGGTGGAAACAATGGAAAGGTGTTAAATGTTAGCCGTAAATTGGCCAAAATTTTAACCGTTAGCCGTAGAAGCCATCACCCCATTGAGACCCTCTTTTCCTAACAAGGCAATCGATGTTTGATGGTGAATTATTCATATTGTTACGAGAGCTTGTGCGATCATTCTCATATTGCTTCCTCTAATTGCTAATACATTTTCGATTTATGTACAGATCAAACACTACCGACAGTTGTCAAAATAAAGCTTGAAGAGACAAAAAAAAGAAAAGTATATTAGAAGGGCAAATATTTTTTTTCACGCCCGAACATGAGTCGCCCCCATGACCTAGCGACACTGGTACAATGCACCAGCATTGAGAACTAACAAGGTTAGCTAGAGGCTGAACTGAGTAGAGCGATTTTATCAAATATATGATAATTATCATGGTTACTACAAGTGTTTTAATTTGAAATTACCAATAACCAATTCAGGAAAATATTCTGAATAGCGTGTCCAAGATTCATAAAATTGCTCAGTTCATTTAATACGGCTTATCTTCATATTTCTGATGGCCGGTCAAAATATACTTATCAAGAAACAAAGCAGGGATTAAATTTGCTTGAGGACTCTGCCTTTCTGGGTATTAAGCCCTTTGATTTAACACCGTTACAACTTGGACCCTAAATTTTTTTTTCAGGCCCGAACAGGAGTCGCCCCCATAACCTGGCGACACTGGTACAATGCACCAGCATTGAGAACCAACAAGGTTGGCTAGAGGCTGATCTAAGTAAAGCGATTTTATCAAACATATGATAATTATCATGGTTACTACATGTGTTTTAATTTGAAATTCATATTATCAGCACTTAATACCAGGTCAGGAAAATATTCTGAATAGCGTGTCCAAGATTCATGAAATTGCCCAGGTCACTTAATACGGCTTATCTTCATATTGCTTATTGCTCGTCAAAATATACATATCAAGAAACTAAACAGGGATCAAATTTGTTTACGGACTCTGTTTCAGGCCCGAACAGGAGTCGCCCCCATAACCTGGCGACACTGGTACAATGCACCAGCATTGAGAACCAACAAGGTTGGCTAGAGGCTGATCTAAGTAAAGCGATTTTATCAAACATATGATAATTATCATGGTTACTACATGTGTTTTAATTTGAAATTCATATTATCAGCACTTAATACCAGGTCAGGAATATATTCTGAATAGCGTGTCCAAGATTCATGAAATTGCCCAGGTCACTTAATACGGCTTATCTTCATATTGCTTATTGCTCGTCAAAATATACATATCAAGAAACTAAACAGGGATCAAATTTGTTTACGGACTCTACTTTTCTGGGCATTAAGCCTCTAGATTTAACACCGTTAAGATCTGGAAGCCAATTATTTTAGCGGAGATACATGTCCATGGTCTTTCTACAAATCAGTGAAGAGAGACAGACAAGACAGACAACTCCGACTTGCTCTTACATCGTGTTCACTATACGTTGAGCTTTTGAGAGGTACTAAACAAGGAAATTTTGATGTCGCCTTATAACATATACACAAGTATTAAACCTTTTTTAAAACCACACACAATCTGCAACATTTTTAGCCACTTATATTGGTTTTTAAGAGTTCTGATCGTTGTTCGTAATCAGTTTTTGAAAACCTAGTACATTTGTGTAAATTTAAGAGATATAACTTCAATGACCAGTAAAATATATTCCAAATCCTGTATATAAATCATACTCTGAACGAATTCTGTAGATTTTCGGGGAAGCTTATGGCCGCTCTCGCAAAGATACACGCTAAATGATCCAGCCATTTTATAAAAAGGCTTACTTTTTTCATATATAAATAAAGCTTGAAGAGAAAAAAAAAAACAACTATATTAGAAGGGCAAATATTTTTGTTCACGCCCGAACAGGTGTCGCCCCCATGACTTGGCGACACTAGTACAATGCACCAGCATTGAGAACCAACAAGGTTGGCTAGAGGCTGATCTGAGTAGAGCGATTTTATCAAATATATGATAATTATCATGGTTACTACATGTGTTTTAATTTGAAATTCGTATTATCAGCACTTGATACAAGTTCAGGAAAATATTCTGAATAGCGTGTCCAAGACTCATAAAATTGCTCAGTTCATTTAGTACGGCTTATCTTCATATTTCTGAAAGCCGATCAAAATATGCATATCAAGAAACAAAACAGGGATTAAAATTGTTTATGGACTCTGCTTTTCTGGACGTTAAGCCCCTTGATTTGACACCGTTACAACTTGTACCCCAATTATTTTAGTAGAGATATCACATGTCCGGCCTTGATTGGTCTTTCTATAAATTAGTGAGACAGGCAACTCAGATTTGCTCTTACATCGTGTTCATGCGTTGAGCTTTTGGGAGGTACTAAACGGGTAAGTTTTGATTAAAACCCTATACAATCTGCAACATTTTTAACCACTCATAATGGTTTTTAAGAGTTTTGATCATTGTTCGTAATCAGTTTTTGAAAATTTAGTACATTTGTGTAAATTTAAAGCTTCATTTTTTTCATATATGATAATCCTAATTGATCCAGGTGACTTTGCCATATGACAGAACAATGGCTTAAGATCCAGTCAAGAGCGAAACTTCTGCTGCGATGTCAATTGACTAAGCTTTATTTTTCGCTTTAAAACTACCTTAATCCCGGCCTCCATACTCTTGCTCTTCTTATGTTTGTAAGAAGAGTCCCAACGCAAAGATGGCGATCAAAATTGCAAAAGTCTGCGGTGTTTTGAAATCGTTACAATATCTACTTTTGTTTGTTTGTTGTTCTCAATTGATATCGATCCGTACGGATCGAACTTATGAATGACACAGGCACAACTGAGGGCGCAAGGGTCTGTCGCTAAAAGGCTAGTTTATAATTAACGATGAAAGCGTAATCAAATACGTGGACTTAAGTTTGGGAACGGTGAAACACAAATTATTATTTTGATATAAGTATTTGTTGCGTACACCCTAAGTTTCGGACCAGCCCAATTTCTGTCTCCTTCTTTAACCAAACATTCTCCGCGTTCTTAACGAGGCGTGAAACAAGATGTCTAAACGGGAATTACTTTCTTAAAATTGTGGACAAAATACGGGAAGCAAACCTTTTGGCCAGTATCTTTTCTTTTTTCTCTTCTTTTTCCTTGTTTGGTTAGACTTACAGAGTATTAACTTTGGATTTTGAAATGCAAGCAAACAGCTTCTTAAGATTCGGGTGAAGATCTTGTCTAGACAAAGCTAATTATCAGTGGTAAACAATGTGAATAAGCCTTATTAACAGATAGAGCAAAGGTGAAATATACTAAAACTTATAGAGACAGCTTTATAACGTGCAAAGTATAAAGATCTCTTCGATACCTTTATGAGTCGGACCACCCCAATTTCTGTCTCATTCTTTGAGCAAACATTCTCCTCATTCTTAACGAGGTGTGAGACAAGATGTCTAAATGAAAATTGCTTTCAGGTAGCAAACCTTTTGGCCAGTCTCTTATCTTTTTTCTTGTTTTTGTTTTTGTTTTTTTTTGTTAGACTTACAAGGTATTAGCTTTGGATTTTGAAATGCAAGCAAACAGCTTCTAAAGATTCGAGTGAAGATGTTGTCTAAACAAATCTAATCTTCACCGGTAAAAAATGTGAATAAGCCTTATTAACAGATGGTACAAGGGTGAATTATACTAAAATTGACAGAGACAGCTTTAAAACGTGCAAAGTATAAAGATCCCTTCGATATCTTTATTTCTATTTCCTTAGTAGCCATCAATCTGGTTTTCACATCGTCTGCTGGGAGTAGGAAGAAGATTTCCTGACATTGAACCGCCTGAGGCTGTGCCATCATAAAAGAAACGAGAGAAGTGCACTCAGTTTGCTAGCTCCATCCACCGAAAAAAAGGCATCCTCTTGCCTCAAACAAGCCTTGGTTGAGATGCATCCGTATTTCCACCTAGCCTTCCTTTCCTTGCTGTTGCGAATTCCTCTGGCCTTAGGTAAGGACTGAATTTCATGCAATTTACCCACATGCCTTTTATAAATTGTTCTTTTGCTAAATTCCACTGTATTTTCTTTGCTCTCCTTGTTAAGTTCTGCTTCATTTCTAAAGAACAGTTTTATCATCTTCATCAGTTGATGGTGTTAACTAAACTTTCCGCACCAACCCACCACGGAAAGAGACTAAAGATTCTTCTGCAAGACCCTCACTCAATAAGCTTCCTCACTAACCTAACTATAGAATGTGAAAATTTTCTTCTTGCAGTGCCATCAGTATGATAAATAAATTTTGCCACTAGTTCCGCGAAAACTGAATGACTATTGTCTAATAAAGCTATTTCCTCTCATGATGGGAGATCTTATCAAACTCCACCAGGTCATCTCTCAGAAATATTTCGTTTTACATCGCCCGACCGACCCAGTTTTTAAGAATGCGAAAATAAATTATCTAAAAAATGGTGGGAGATGACTGAGACATAACTACTTCAAGCTCCCTCGGTAAGGCAACACAACAACTGATGGTTTCAATAAAGCGCTCGGTGTTCCCAATTCCGAGGAAAATAAGAAACTATTTTCGCGGTCACGTCTTACGACGTGACCGCGTATGTTGAACATTACGAGAGAGAAATGATTGAAACGAGGGGATAAAAAAAAGCATGACAACGAATGAGAGCCTGGAATGAGAGGTGACACCTGAACCTTGGGAACGAGGTCCTGTCAAATATTTTGAATGTCACGCGCTTTGATGTTGCATTACGAAAACTTGAGACAAGAACTTACCGGAAGTTGCAATGTTAAAAATTAACCTTCTGTTTTGTCTCGATACCCTAACTCGATGGAGAAAAATGGCGGTGAATTTCGATTGTACCATTTTTAAAGTTTTGAACATGAGTTTGAAAATGTGAAAAGAATCATTCACAACTTCGAATTAAAATGGAGTATAAAATTCTCTTAGTTCAAAGCTATGAAGGAATTTGAGTGAAAAGATAAGCTGCAATCATAGTATCGTATTTATCAAATGTAAAATCCGGTTGTAAAAGATGGAATCTGATCAGCGAAGCCAGCAACGTTAAAATGTTATTAATGACCCTCTTAATTGGGCACTAAAAAAAATAGAGGTGAGGGCTGTTCTTTCAAAGAAGAAGATACCACTTAACATCCAACTAAACAAGGTTCGTTTTAAAGGCACTAATTTTTAAGGTCAGAAATACCGGATAAGAATACTAAGACTTGACCTAAGCTGAAATTCTACGAGCTCTCTCAACTTTTCCAAAATTTATACCTATTATATTGTAAAAAAAATTTTAACATTCTCATGTTCATTTTGTTCGAGAATACGTGGTCGTGTTCCCCTAGTTAAGTTCTACTGTTGTGACTCGGCGAGGAACCAGTACCTGCTATTTAAGACCCTCTTCTCGAATCAAAGTGGACATGTATTTGTGTGCTCGTCGTGTTTGTTCATTCTTTATTGTAAATAATTTCCATAGGAGATTGTGTAGATTTGGGCCTTGGAATGGAAGATGGAGAAATTCCAAATGGTAAAGTTACTGCTTCTTCTGAACAAAGCGCCAACACACCAGCCACGAATGGTCGACTGAACTACACATCAGGATCATCATGGTGTGCAGGAACAGGTGATACTAACCCATATCTACAGATTGATCTACAGACACTTCATATCATCTGTGCTGTGTCCACTCAAGGGAATTCCAAAGCAGATCAGTGGGTGAAGGACTACAAACTACAATTATCCACAGATGGGACAACTTGGACAGACTACAAGGAAGCTGGACAAGTTAAGGTATAGACATAAACTGTAAGACTTGGCAGTTCAAAGAAATTGTTTTAAATATGATATCTTATTTTAAATAATTTCTTTGAACTGCCAAGTCTATACTGTAGTCTATACTATAGACTATCCAGGAAGATGAACAATATTGTATAGGTTTGATGATATCAAAACTCCCAGCCTTAAAAAAGGTGGTAATTAAAATGATTATTTAGCAATTGCTGCTCTACGTATTGTGTATATGAAGTTCATATTCCTAGGGAATAACTTAATTAGCCCCTTGCCTTCTTGCTGGACCTGGCTAACTTTTGACTGACATTTATTTGTCACATGACCACTTCCTTCAAGCTGTTTCTTGACCCTCTCTCCCACCCTAGGGGCTTTCCTTGAGTACTCAGAGGCTCCCTAAGCTTGTTTTCTTATTAAAGATGCCCAAACATATTAATTATCCCCTTTGGTCACTGGTCTGGTTGTGCCAGAGGGGTGTGGTGGGGGTTATTTGGTTTTAGTACCTGTGCCCTTTTTTCATCTTTGGAAAAAGCATGTTACAATGTTGAGGTATGACTGTATATTTCTCTCATAGGTGTTGAGGGGAAATAATGACAGAGACACAACTGTTAAACATGTTATTTATGGAGTGTCAACAAGATATCTTCGATTCCTACCACAAACTCAGCAGGGTGGGGTGTGCATGAGAACAGAGGTGTTCGGAGTACAACAAGAACGAGGTGAATATGATATTTACATGGCTAAGTATTACTATGTGTTGTAATGCATATTTTGTATATGCATTATAATATTTATTACAGTATGTTAAATATTATTCACTTAAATGTAAAATAAATTTACTGTTTAACCCCTTCGAGATTAGGATGCACTTTCTTGGTACTGCCCTCTATACATTTTCCAATGTGCTGACAAGTAGAGTTTGGTTAATGTTTCTTTAGTTGGTGATCATTTCCTTTACTCTCATGACCTTAACATTTGCTTTAGAGGCGATACTGTAAGGAGAAATGCAATGCTAGTCTCTCTTGGAGGGACAAAGATTTAAAAATGCTCATGGTTCCATTTAGTATGTAAATCTTTTTTTTATTTTACAAATTATTTATAAATTATAAGTACGTGAGTAGAGGCATGAGTGATTGTTTTCATGTTATAACTTAGAGAAATAATTAATTTAGGGTGAGATCCTACAGGTCCTTAAGAAGTTATTTTATTGTTTCAAGATACCTATTAGATAAGATGATTTCATGATGAATACTAATAATAATGTCATGTTATGCCATTTTACAATAATTGGTTAAATAGAATATGCAAAATGTGCAATGATGTTACAGTGAAGTACATGTCAAAATTCTAGCGGGGAGTGAAGTGACAAGTTGTGAATGCTAATTGATCTAAACTTTGGTTTGTTTACATCATTAAAGCTTAAATATTTGAACAACAATGTTCAATCACACATTGGGTTAATCAGGCCTACCAGTTAATTTTAATGAAGTTGTGTCATGTGCTGGCAGTTTATACACATTTGCTGCTGGTGCCTTGTCTTCAAGAATCTTAACCTCTACTAAGCAATGAGACTAATGGACTGGAAAAAAAACTTTTGTGTGAAACAGACAATTTTTTCTGTTATAAAGAACACCTTAATGGATTCAGTTAAGTTGCTTTCATCTTTAACAAATACCTAGTTAATGGGCAATTAGTGAAATTGTCAAATAATGCCATAAGATTTATAGTTTAAAATAAGAACAAACTACTTTAAAGAATGGAATATAATCATTTGTTTCACAAAGTAGTCACTTAGGATGTGCATCACAATGTTTCAACTGCATACTGGAAGTTTTCTTCAGATGATAAGGTAGACTGAGTATCTGTCTCATTAGAAACTGTTCTGCTCAGCTGTAATTGGATGGAATCTTACGCCTTGATTGGTGCATTTCGATGAAATGTTCTCTCAGTGGTCCCCTGTCATGGCTCCCCTGCTGTTGTGTGTCTTGATTGTTGGCATCCCAGCTTCTGCGATCTCTATTCCACTGTCCTTGTTGATGTTGTTATGGCTTAGTGGACTTATAGGACATTTTTAAAACTTAAGAAGCAAAATAATAGTTCCATAATAAATCCCTTGATACTGTATTGCCCCGTGCACACCAACAAACATTTTGTGTATGTACATGTTGGTCAGTTAATAAATGCAAGGTACTTAGAGGTCAACCACAGCCTCTCTTTAGAGGCAACCATGAAATACAGTAATAACCTTTCATTAAGTTGAGGCGAATTGATTCACAGAGATTACATATGATTGATTGCTTGAATTATCTTGTATGGTTTGTGTCAAAATGTGAAGGCTACATGTCTTTACTTTATTACCTTGCAGTTTGTGAAATGAAGGGCATTGGTCTGGTTACTGGTGGTGCAATTCCTGACAGCAGCTTCACAGCCTCATCATATTATGATAATAGATATAAACCTTCTTATGCCCGACTGAATGGAAATAATCGAGGTTGGGCACCCAAGACTACAACCAATCCTGCTGACTTCTTACAAATTGACCTGCTGCATAACTATGTCATCTGTTCTGTAGCTACACAAGGAGCTAAAGGTATCAATGAGTGGACAACAAACTACAAGATCCAGTTATCATTGGATGGTACTACATTTTTTACCTATAAAGAAAAGAATACTGACAAGGTAGAGGGCTAAATTATTCCCCTCCTTCCCCCCCCCCCCCAATATGAAACAGCATGAAGTAGTTGCAATTAAGTACAAGTCATCCTGAATAAGTCATATTGACCATTACATTCAGTTCATCAATGTAACTCACCTCTTTCTTCTTTCAAAAATGCAAGAGACATTTGAGAAAATTATACAGCTAGAAATATTACAGACAGTTTACTACAAAGGAATAGGCATTTTTTCTTAAAGTATATGTACCTCTCACCTAAGTTGTTTCACCAAAAATATTATTTCAACTTCTAATACTTGGACATATGCACATTTTATGGTAGATTTTTAATGAAAGAAACAATAAGTATTTTAATTGTGGTAGACATTAAAGACATGTATCTATAAAGAAGTCTACCCATATCCGGCGAAGGAGAAGGTTGTAGCACAGCTGATACATTGATACATATGGTAACTAATGATACAATTATTTTGCATTTTATGCAACAAACTACAGATATTTAATGGAAATTCAAACCGAAATGGCATCATAAAAAACAGTCTACAGGAATTTGCAAGTGCAAAGTTTATCCGCTTCTGGCCAACAGCGTATCTTGGTTGGAAGGCTCTAAGGGTGGAAGTTTATGGAATAGTTCCAACTAAAGGTAATTTTTGCCTTCATTTTTTTCTCAACCTGAGGCAAAATTGAAGTCATGATAACTTATAATTTGTGAAAGCCAAAGGAGCTAAAGGGCTAAAGGCAAGAGCTAGATGTAAAGAGAAAGTTCAATATTCTCCAAAAGCGATTAAGCCTTGGTTGAGCAAGAATGGTTTCAAAATAGTTTTTGAGCTGACCATTTGAGAATTTGTGAATCAAATTAAAATTTCTGCAGAACCCTAATATTTTCTTTTGAACCTTGAATACCACATTAACCACAAGGAGATCCCTCAAGTTTTGCTTTTGCCAAACGAAGTTGTGCATAGATTAAGAGCGCTTGTCTGAAAAATCAGACAAATTCTAAATTTCGCGGCAAGGGTGAAAAATTCGATTTCGAAGCAAACATTTCTCTTCAGTAAAAGTACTTTGTGAGTAAAGGTAATTTTCAGCATGTGCTAAACCTTCAAATGGATTAAGCTTTTGGCGGTAGAATTGCGAAAAGATGTTCTCAATATTACTGTAAAAATTTCTTTGGGCAAATGATCGAGAGTGATACAAAAGCTTTTCAAAGTCCGTTAAAATGCAGTTATTTGACCTTTCGCGGTCAACATTCCAGTCGCGAGTCACACACATATTTTAATATGTTTCAACCCATATGAGACCGGAAAATATACATGGGTACACATTTCCAAATTCTCTAACCTCATTTGCCGTAGAAGAAACATCCAAAGACCATTTTACTGTGGTTATCTAGTCGCTCGTCGTATTTATAACGTCCGATGAAACTGCCTGTCAATCTGCGAACTGTCACCAACCTTCGTTGTGAAACGTTTGACATCTTTCTGCACTGTGGCATCTTATCCAGCGGTTCATTTGACTGTGAGTGTTGTTCGGTTTGTGGTGCAGTAGATCTGATCGATGCTTTTAAAAGTAGCACTACACATGCGAAAGTGCTAAAACAAGGAACGACCTAAAACCACCTAAAATCACCTACAACCACCTACAACCATCTACAACCACCTCAAAAATTTCAACAACCACCTACAACCACCTCAAAAACATCTACAACCACTCGCAAACTATCTAAAACCATCTAAAACAAGACATAAATGTCTAAAATAAGGCGAAACGACAACATGTCACGTACACGAAATACGAGAATCGAACGAAACCTCTACCTCCCCCTGAAATCTTACTCTCCCTGGTCCCATGTATAATCAACCATCTCACTAACTGAAATGCGATAGAATGCTAATTATTTTATATTCCCTCAGCAAAAGACTTAAAGAACTTTACAAAGTGAACTAACAAGTTACAAAAAATAATAAATAGGGAATAATACATGGGCGCGCGTAGATATGGAATTAATCTTCGAGTGTTTAACTCGATAGCTCACGAGTGAGCGCAGTGAACGAGTGAGATGTCGAGTTGAACACGAGAAGAGAAATTCCATATCTACAAGCAACCATGTATTATTTTGTTTATCATATAAACACAATAGCCCTTTTCTGGGAAGAAAATCCGACCTCATTAATGAATGCAAATAAATGAATCGACAACCCTCGAATAACAATCGTAGAGTGCGTTGGCGCTGACTCTTAAGATGGAAAATGCTTTGAATCATGATTACAAAAACTTCCATATATACGCGCGCCTATGTATGACGCCATGATGTATATGGTTGTTGAAATTTTTGAGGTGGTTGTAGATGGTTGTAGGTGGTTGTAGGTGGTTTTAGGTGGTTTTAGGTCGTTCCTTGTTTTAGTACTTACCACTACACATGTTGCAGTCAACGTAGTGTTGTATACGGAGAGTCGTCACGCAATGCAAATCATACAATGGAAAGTTATTTTTTAGGGGGTAGGGGAAGGGGAGAGCAAAAAGACGTCACTCTGCTGCTCAGATTTTTTGTTCTTGTGAACATCGAAATCTCTTACATGTAATTCACGGAGATAGGGCCTTTGGCTAATACTCATTTAAAAGCTAAATTTAGTACCTGCTAAAAGTAGTAAGCCTAAGTAAACAAAACCTGGTTTATGGTAATTACACGATGCCTATTGTTTGCTTACAGGCGGGGCTTCGGACTTTGTTTTTCACGAATACACCAATTTACACGGTCAACTTGGTTACACAAAAAATGGAAGGTTGTTGTTCGTTCAAGTCGCTTATCGGCGGAGTTTGTTGTTACAACACTAGAGATCGAAAGCGTGAAACGGAAATTGTTCCTTTACTTTCATGCGCCTAGAAACCTTGGTGGTTTCATCGGACGTTATCATTTATACAGACCTAAATACGACGAACGACAAGAGAATCACACTAAAATGGTCTCTGGATCGGTCTTCTGCAGTAAATGAGGTTAGAGCATTTGGAAATATGTTTCTATGTATATTTTTCGGCCTCATATTGGTTGAAACATATTAAAATATGTGTGACTCGCGACTGGAACTAGGTCAAATAACTGCATTTTAACGGACTTTGAAAAGCTTTTGTATCGCTCTCAATCATTTGCCCAAACAAATTTTTACAGTTATATTGAGAACATCTTTTCGAAATTCAACCACCAAAAGCTTAATCCATTTGAAGGTTTAGCACATGGTGAAAATTCATTTTGGTAAAATTTCCGCACAGCCCCATACTATTGTAAAACAAATCTGATTTCCCAATGGCAATGTATTGTTTTTGTCATTGTTTTCTCTATTCAAGAACTGAATGCATAATGTAGTATGGGGCTGTGCGGAAATTTTACCGAAAAGCGCAATGTTTACGAAAATCATTTTGTGAGGTCTTATGAGATCGAAAAAGTTGATTTGAGTGTTTAAAAGACGAGATAGTGATTCGTTTTTGCACGCGAATCCCTCAAACTTGTGCAATAATTTGCTGCTAAAAATGACGATTTCAACGGAATTTCGTTATTTATATTTTTTTCTGAAATAAAAAGATATTTCGCCAAAAAAAGTATCCAGTGATTTCAGTTATAGCCTAGCCTATCTAACATTAAAATAAGAAAGAAATCGAATTTTCCACCCTTGCCGCGATATGTTTAATTTTTACAGACAAGCGCTCTTAAGTGTTGTCCATGCTCCTTATAATATGTTGGGATTTGTGATATAGCTTGTGTATTCTGGAACCAAGTTGGTTTCCATTCTAATAAAATTGTTTTTCTTGTGCCATGTAAAGCATCTTTACATTCGGGATCTATAGAATTTATATCTGATGCATATTTGTTTTGGCAATACTGTTTATATATTCTCACTTCAAAGAATTTCTCATCAAAAGTCAGTTAAACTTTAAAACTGACTGCGGACAGCCCTTTTGTTTTGCATGACAAGAAGGACATAGCAAGGACTGGATTCGCTGCCAATGACGGTAGAAATATCAACATAATTAGGAATCTCTTAATCAAGCATTTGGAATATTTGATAATATCCGTCCAGCTTTTAAAATGTGTTTTTACAAACCTTAACATAACATAGCATAATGTTTAATTCAAGATACAATAATGAAAACAAATAAAATTCATCTTGAAAACAAAGAAACAGAGGTTGGCCCTATGACATTTCACCTTGAAAAGAAATCGATTCTAATTTTAAATATCTATTTATCTTATTATACACTGTAAAATGTTCATAACTAAGATACCAAGTTAAAGAGACTTGAGTCCTTTCGTAAACTTTTAAAAACTACCTTAGCCCTGTGGCAGTCGCTCTGACAAAGGGCTAACGCTGGAAACGGCAGCTTTGAAACTATTTACGGTGGCTAATTTACGTTATCAACTCAGTTGATTATATTAAATTACCCTGTTACAATTTCCCACCAACACAGCACCACAGTTCCTTTAGAAACTTATCCGTCTTGTTTTATTCTTGTACCGTATGGACGGCAAAAGAATATTTGAAAGTGCTACACTTTGCTAGCTGAAGAGATAATTCAAAAGAATGGTTTGCATTTAGCAGATTTGTACTAAGTCAGTTGGAACAGTGTTATATTTAAGATAATTTTAGCCAAACATCAATCTTCTATAAGCTTTATCAACTATTTACCATCTTCTTTAATGAAGAAGTGATAAGCTTGTATACACTTGAGCACAAGTAAACTTGTCCTAAGGAGAGGAAATTTCAGTTTTTGTGTGTTCATGAACATCATTCAATTAATAGTGTTGGGTAATGAGAGGCTCAGCAGTCAGCCTCTCCTCATGAATTAGGCACCTGAACATACAGCAATACCCTTTAATAAAGTTGAGGTGCTATAGATGTTATAGTCTGAAGTTACGTATGGTACCCGATCAATCACTGAAATTGTTTAATGATGCATTTAAAAGTGTGAAGGCTGATTTAAAATTATCTTTCAGATTGTACAACAGAGGCCATTGGTCTGGCCACTGATGGTACAATCCCTGACATCAGCTTCACAGCCACATCATATTACGATAATAGATATAAACCTTCTTATGCTCGACTCAATGGAAATAATCGAGGTTGGGCACCCAAGACTACGACCAATCCTGCAGACTTCTTAAAAATTGACCTGCTGCACAAGTATGCTATTTGTGCTGTTGCTACTCAAGGAGCTAATGGTATCAATGAGTGGACAACAGACTATAAGATTCAGTTATCATTGGATGGTACCACGTTTTTCACCTATAAAGAAAACAATAATGAAAAGGTAGGTTTATGTGAAGATCCTGGATATGTTTGAACATATTTTAAAAAAGGTAAAATAATCATCTGAAACACTCAATCAATTTTTGGAGTCAAGATGTGGGACAAAAAAGAGGTGTTTAGTTTGTCAACATTCCGGTTCACTTCTTTTTCAAGTGAACTACAAACGGTTACTCAAAGCGTGCATCGTTCTTTCCTTTTTTTAAAAAAAATGTAATGAATGATACATATAGGTAAATACGATACACTGTCAGCATTGAGTTGTTAATAAGTCTAATAATGATAAGACTTCTGGACTTATGAACCGGTCCTTTAATCGCATTAGATTTTAGAGACGTACTTGTACAGAACACTATGGTTTGTGGTTCATTCATTTGGCTATTTGCCAATTCAAAGTCGTTGGTTATGGAGTACCTTATACTTTATGTAGTTTATGATGCAGTATATCAATTAAGAAAATTTTGATACAATAATGTTGCATTTTTACAACAAACTACAGGTTTTTCCCGGAAACTCAGATCAAAATAGCATCACAAAGAACAGTCTAAAGGAATTTTCAAGTGCAAAGTTTATCCGTTTTCTGCCAACAGCATATTATAGTTGGAAGGCCCTGAGAGTGGAAGTTTATGGAATAGTTCCAACCAAAGGTATTTATTTGCTTTCATTTTTGTCTCCCTCTGAGAAAACATTGAGGTCACAATAACTTATTATTTCTGGAAGCAAAGATTGGGTAATTGTACAGTGCTATGATGGCACGTTCAATATTCCCAAATGTTGCTTTAGCCTTGGCTGAGTGAGAATGGTATTGAAATAATTTTAAAGTTGACCATTGGAGAATTTGATAATCAACACTCTTTACTCTCTGTTGAACTGTAGATATCACATATCCACTTTAATTTTAGTACTGAAAATCAGAGACTTCGGTGATCAATACTTTCATTTTGCGTAATGCTCTTATGCTGTGATCCTGTACACGTTCTGTTCCCTTAAGGTTAAGCAATTGACCAAAATGCATAATATATTCAAATTCATCGACATTGCATTTCATCATTTTCATCAACATTGCATTTCTTGATGGGCAACATCACCCAATGCTGTGCTTCTCAATCACAGTGTGAAAACGTGGGATTTAGGACATGGGCTGCAGTCTGGCATCATACCTGTACACATACAAGCTCACTTAGTCCAAGAAATTTGAAATCAGCAGACTATTGTGTGAGCTTGCCATTTGTTTTCCTATTGCTAGTAAAAGTATGGTCATGTTTGGCATCTTTGAAATTGCCTCAGGATTTAAGTTCCATGCTTAACTTCCGAGTGCGTGCTGTATCCTGTACAAATATTTTTTGAATTTTCATTTGTTTCTGCAATGCTGTTAACTCTCACTTCAGAGGAATATTCCACTAAAAATAAAGGGGTCAAACCTTGAAGTTAACTGCTAGCAGCCATTTTATTTTGCATGGGAAAGAAGGGGAAAGTAAAGGTTATATTAACTGCAAAGTGCAGTAGATGTAACGTTATAATTATGAATCACTTAACCAATCAAATCGTAGAAATCTCTGTCCATCTTTTGAATTGTGTTTATACGTATGGATCTTTTCTAAGGTTTGTCAACTATTTACTATCTTCCTTAACTTAAAAAGAGGAAAAAGAGGCTTGATAAGCTTGAGCATAAGTGATTTTTTCTCAAGGAGAGAGAAAATGCTTTGTGTGTGTGCAGCCTCTATTCATGAAACAGGCAACCATTGACATAAAACTGTTACTTTAAATTAAGTTGAGGTGAATTTATCCGTAGATGCGACAAAAAGTGCTTAATTCTTAATTCACTTTAATTATTTACATAATTTGTGTAAAAATGTGAAGGCTGCTTGTTTTAAATTATTATCTTGCAGTTTGCAAAATGGAGGCCATTGGTCTGGCCACTGGTGGTGCAATTCCTGACAGCAGCTTCACAGCCTCATCATATTACGATAGTAGATATCAACCTTCTTATGGTCGACTGCATGGAAATAATCGAGGTTGGGCACCCAAGACTACGACCAATCCTGCTGACTTCTTACAAGTTGACCTGCTGTATGAGTACATTATCTGTGCTGTAGCTACCCAAGGAGCTAATGGTATCAATGAGTGGACAACAAATTACAAGATTCTCTTATCGTTGGATGGCATCACGTTTTTCACCTATAAAGAAAACAATATTGACAAGGTAGGTTTACATAAAGGTCATGTGTGTGTTTGTACATATTGAAAATGCCAACCAGGCACACTCAATCGATTGTTTTGAGTCGTAGGAAATAGAGGCGTTCAGCTTATCAACATTCAGATTCGATTCTCTTTCTATGAACAGTTTTCAGGACTCTTTTTTATTGATATACAAGTGCACACAGCACTATCAGTGTGACAAATTTAATTGTGCCATCGCATGACAAATAATGCTTTCAAACTAATACTGGAACATGCATTGTTCTTTTGTGTAAAAACAAAACTGTGTGTGGATGGTACATAGATGTAAAGACAATTCACTTCCAAGATTGTATAGATGTTAAGAGGTCCAAGTCATCCAGAGTTATCAATCATTACATCTTAATTTAACAATGCAACTTACCTGTTTTCTCAAAAATCCAGGAGAAATTTAAAAACATTTGATGTGGATATGAACACCAACTTTTCCTTTGAGTGTGTGTTACATAAACCTCCTCCCTGAATAGTTTCAGCAGAAATACTATTTCAACTTCTGATACACAGTCACATAAACTTTTTTTAGTAGTTTTCCAACAAAAGAGCATTAGGCATTAGAGACATGTACTTATACGGAAAGTCTTTGTTCATTCATTTCACTACTTCCCACCTGAAAGTCAAAGTTCATGGAAGAGCTGATACTTTTGGTAATAAATGATGCAGTAGATTAATTAAGAAAATTTTCATACAATGATGTTGCATTTTGTACAATTACAGGTCTTTCCAGGAAACTCAAATCAAAGAGACATCATAAAAAACAATCTACGGGAATTTGCGAGTGCAAAGTTTATTCGTTTTCAGCCGACGGCCTATTATAGTTTCAAGGCTCTGATGGTGGAAGTTTATGGAATTCTTCTAACTAAAGGTATTTATTTGCTTTGCTGCGACAAAATTTAAGTCACAATAACTAATTATTTATGAAAGCATAAGGAGCTAAGGAGCTAAAGGCAATGCGTGAAGAGTGTTCTCCAATACAGATTAATTGATCCTTGATCGAGTGAGAATGGTTGTAACAGATTAAAAGCTGACCAATGAAGATTTAATGTCTGTTGATCTTTAAATATCTCATTTACTACGCTGAGATCCTTTGCCAAATAAAGTTGTGTTTAGAGTTATTGTTGATCGTGCTCCCAATGATATGCTGGGATTATAGCATTGAAGATTCTGGAACCCAGAAGGTGTCCATGGGAACGTAATCTTCTCGTGCTGTGCAGAGCATCTTCTCACTCAGGTTATAAAGAATGTATATCTGATGTATATACACAGTCCCTACTCCTAATGACCCCCAGACTGGGACATCCAATGCTTTTTCTATGATGGAATATTTACATACAAATAAATCAGTAATCAGCTAAAAATTAAAACACACAACTGATGTTGTTTATTTCAGTTCCATCGCAACCACCGACAGACTTCAATTTGACTGCAAGCTCTTCTACTAGCATTGCAGCTTCCTGGCAGTTACCACCAGTACTAGCGAGACATGGAAGAAGCATTACAGGGTTTAAACTGTTCTATAAAGAAAAAAGTTCAGCAGGGCTGGAAACCACCTTGCCTATCAACAGCGGATCAATGCTAAGTCAAAATGTTCTGGGACTTGATAAGTACACAGAATATGAATTTCAAATCTTGGCTTTTACATCTGATGGGGATGGCCCAAAGACCCCTGTTAAGGTGAAGAGAACCAAAGAAGATGGTATGTGATAAATCAAAGTCAAAAGATACAAAATTTGGCCAATCAAAGAACATGATCGTTCATACAATTAATCCTGGTGACTGTTATTTCCTACATTGCAGTTCCTTCGGGATCACCTGGTAACTTCACTGTGACTGCAAGCTCTTCGACTAGTGTAACAGCATTCTGGCAGTTACCATTAGCAGACTTCAGAAATGGAATCATCATAGGATTTAAATTGTTCTACAAAAGAAAAAGCTCTGGAGAACCAGCAACCATAATAACTATCAACAATGGAACAACCAGTGCTAAAGATATCACTGGGCTTGTTAAGTACACGGAATATGAACTTCAAGTATTGGCCTTTACTTCTGTTGGTGATGGACCAAAGAGTTCTTCAAGGATTGAAAGAACAAAAGAAGATGGTAAGAAATTAACTAGTATTTAACCTCTTATATACACTTGGAATTTCCTCTTTGCAGACAGCTTTTTTTTTATGGATATAGATATAAAAAAAAATACTGATGCTGTGGAAGAAAGCCCTCGCTGGCCCGTATTGTTTTTTTTTTGTCATTGAAGATATTTAGATCTCATGACCTTTTGCTTGGATCGAGTATGTTTAGCTATCGTAGGCTTTCTTAAATGTAACTAATTATGCCTAGCACAAATTAATTTTAATATTTTATTGCAGTTCCATCGAAACCTCCAAACAATTTTACTGTGGATGTAATCTCTTCTACCAGTATTAAAGCATCCTGGCAGTTACCACCAGAGGACTCCAGAAATGGAGTTGTCCGAGGATTTAAATTGTATTACAAAAAGAGAGGCTCCACCGGGTTACTAAATACTTTAACTATTGGAAATGAGACGATTCGGACCAAGGATGTCATTGGACTAGACAAGTACACACAGTATGAATTTCAAGTGTTGGCCTTCACTTCTGTTGGTGATGGAGCAATAAGTTTGGCAAAAGTCGCAAGAACGAAGGAAGATGGTAAGAAATAGGAGCTAATAAGGACGGACTATGGTTACCAGGGTGTCTGATGATACTTAAATTTATTTGCCCACTTAGCTACAAAAATTATTTTTGGTTACATTGCCTTACCATTTCCTTATCAACTTCAGCATAACAGTGGAGTGTAATCTTTATCATAAAGGCTTTACTTTCCAAAAAAAAAATTTAGTTATCGAGGTAGCTTTTTAATTTCAGTTCCATCCCAACCTCCAAGAAACTTCAGTGTGACCGTAAGCTCGTCCACGAGTGTTACAGCATCCTGGAAGCTACCTTCTGTTGAATCCAGGCATGGAATTGTCCTAGGATTCAAATTGTACTACAAAAAAACAGGCTCCAGCGGGTTACCAAACACTTTAACCATTAGGAATGAGTCGGTGGGTGCAGTAGAGTTCACTGGATTAGACAAGTACACAGAATATGAATTCCAAGTGTTGGCCTTTACTTCAGCTGGTGATGGACCAAAGAGTTCGGCTGAAGTCGCGAGAACGAAGGAAGACGGTAAGAAATGTAAACCAATAAGAATTTAGCTATAAAAGTAATCCTATCTAAAATGTTTACCTAGCTAACGTTATCCACAACACTTATGTTACTAGAATAACCAACTTTAACAAAACATTGGAGCTAAATTTTTCTTTTTGATGAATTACCAGTAATTATAATATTGCACGAAGGATCATAATTTGTGGTGTGAATCTAATTAGGTTACATAAGGACTTCTTCGTTTAATTGCAGTTCCTTCGAAAGCTCCAAGTAACTTCTCAGTGACGGCGAGTAACTCTACCAGTATTACAGCATCTTGGCAGTTACCACCAGTAGACTCTAGAAATGGAGTCATCACAGGATTTAAATTGTTCTTCAAAAAGAGAGGCTCAGCAGGATTACCAGCCGCTTTAACTATGAGCAACGGACAAATTCGTTTTAAACATGTGACTGGGCTTGACAAATACTCCGAATATGAATTTCAAGTGTTAGCGTTCACTTCTACGGGTGATGGACCAAGGAGTGCTGTTGCTGTCGAGAGGACAATGGAAGATGGTAGCGTTATTCCTCCTGCCTATTGGTTTTAACAAATTTACATATTAAGTTCAACCTAAACAATCCTCAAAATGTTAACAGAATTATATGACCAACCCTCTTTCATTTCTTGAACCGTAGCACTGTCAGCTAGTTGTAACTAACTTTTCATCCATAATCACTAATTAACTTACCGAGTGTTGCTTAATTACAGTTCTTTATCGACTGACACTTACCTAGAAAACACCAAAGATGTAATCTTTATTTTAAAGGCTTAACTTTCCAAAAAAATTTATACTTTGTTAGGATGATATGAAGTTATCCAAATAGCTTTTTAATTTCAGTTCCATCCCAGCCTCCAAGAAACTTCAGTGTGACTGTTAGCTCGTCGACGAGTGTTACAGCATCCTGGAAGCTACCTTCAGTTCAATCCAGGCATGGAATTGTCCTAGGATTCAAATTGTACTACAAAAAGACAGGCTCCAGCGGGTTACCAAACACTTTAACCATTAAGAATGAGTCGATTGGTACAGTAGATGTCATTGGATTAGACAAGTACACAGAATATGAATTCCAAGTGTTGGCCTTTACTTCAGCTGGTGATGGACCAAAGAGTTCGGCTGAAGTCGCGAGAACGAAGGAGGACGGTAAGAAATGTAAACTAATAAGGATTTAGCTATAAAAGTAATCCTATCTACAATGGTAACCTAGCTAACGTTACCTACAACACTTATGTTGCTAGAATAACCAACTTTAACATAACATTGGGGCTAAATCTTTTTCTGATGAATAATCAGTAATGATAATATTGCACGAAGAATCATAATTTGTGGTGTGAATCTAATTAGGTTACATAAGGACTTCTTCGTTTAACTGCAGTTCCTTCGAAAGCCCCAAGTAACTTCTCAGTGACGGCGAGCAACTCTACCAGTATCACAGCATCTTGGCAGTTACCACCAGCAGACTCCAGAAATGGTGTCATCACAGGATTCAAATTATTCTTCAAAAAGAGAGGCTCAGCAGGATTACCGGCCGCTTTAACTATGAGCAACGGACAAATTCGTTTTAAACATGTGACTGGGCTTGATAAATACTCCGAATATGAATTTCGAGTGTTAGCGTTCACTTCTACGGGTGATGGACCAAGGAGTGCTGTTGCTGTCGAGAGGACAATGGAAGATGGTAGGATTATTCCTCTTGTTTATTGGTCTTAACAAATTTCATGTTGTCTTTTAATAACATTTCAAAATTGTAGAATAGGTTTCAGTGAGGCCCTAAACTACTGTAAAAATTATAAGCAAATGAATAGCAAGTCTCCGAGTCTTTGCGGCTCGATGGCATCACATCAGCTAAGGAATAACGGGGCCATGGCTGTCAGCACGTTGTAATTAGTTTTAATCCATAAACATCAAGTCAGCTAACGAGTGTTGCTTGATTACAGTTCTTTAGTTATAGACTGACACTTACCCATAAAACACCATAAAGGTATTCTTTATTAAAAGGCTTTTCTATTTTAATAAACCTCATACTTTGTTATGTGGAAATAAAGTTAACAATGAGCAACTATTCTACTTTCAGTTCCATCCCAACCTCCAAGTGACTTCAGCGTGACTGTAAGCTCGTCCACGAGTGTTGCGGCATCGTGGAAGCTGCCTGTTGTTGAATCCAGACATGGAGTCATCATAGGATTTAAATTATCTTACAAAAAGAAAGGACCTGCAACAATACCAGTCATTCTGAATTTCACGAATGGGACAGTCAAGAGCAAAGACATCACTGGACTCGATAAATACACAGAATATGAATTTCAAGTCCTGGCATATACATATGTTGGGGATGGACCCAAGAGCCATGTCATTGTTTTGAGAACAAAGGAAGATGGTAGGAACTCAGAGAAGAGAATGAGCAATGTTACGTTCATATTTGGGTCTTTTATCGATAGACCGCATATATGCTGAAACTTTCCCTTTTCCTTATCGCAGTTCCTTCGGGATCTCCAGGTAACTTCACCATGAACGCAAGCTCTTCGACTAGTGTAACAGCATTCTGGCAGTTACCACCATCAGACTCCAGAAATGGAATCATCATAGGATTTAAATTGTTCTACAAAAGAAAAAGCTCTGACGAACCACCAACTATAATAACTGTCAACAATGGAACAAGCAGTGTTAAGGATATCACTGGGCTTGCTAAGTACACGGAATACGAATGTCAAGTGTTGGCCTTCACTTCTGTTGGTGATGGACCAAAGAGTTCCTCAGAGATTACGAGAACAAAAGAAGATGGTAAGAAGTGATTCTATGAAGACCTACTAATGTTCATAAAATGGCCACGGAGTTATTTTCAAACTTATTTTCTAAACTGATATCTAATTGCTATGCATTTCTTGTTACCGTGCTGTAAGGCACAAATTACCTTCGCGTTGTGTCTATGTCACTGAACTTTGGAGATAAGAAAGCATTCGTGCATAGGGTTCCATGGATCGATGTTTGTTAAATCGTGGGTTTACTGATTCTACTTTAAGACCCAGTGTTGCATGTGGCGCCTTTTTGTATGATGTTGTTTAAAGATTAAAGCTCAGTTATTCTTCCTCTGTTAATGAGTCGCTCAGCAATATACGTCGCCAATGAAAGTCATTATTTGTCGTGATAAAATTGTCTCTGTTTTATTTAATTCGTACGCTTGTTCGTCCACCCTTCTTTTGTTACTTCGTTCATTCGTTCCCCACTGCAGGTGTTCAGTGCTTAAACTTATTAAGCCTTTTTCGGCGCCTTCTTGTTTCATTTTTCAGTGCCCTCAAAGCCTCCAAGAAATTTCTCAGTGACTGTGAGCTCCTCTACCAGTATTACAGCTTCCTGGCAGTTACCACCAGTAGACTCTAGACATGGAATCGTCACGGGATTTAAACTGTTGTACAAGAAGAAAGGTTCTACGGGGTCGTCAAACATAATTACTATTTCTAATGGGACGATCCATGCAGAGGATATCACTGGCCTTGATAAGTACACAGAGTACGAGTTTCAAGTGTTGGCCTTCACTTCTGTTGGTGATGGACCGAAGAGTTCCCCTCATGTAGAGAGAACAAAGGAAGACGGTTAGAAATTAAAAGCCAGTTATAGACAGAATGTAGAAATATTTTTCCATAATGAATCATTCGGTTAAGTAACAAAAATTGAGATTAATAAGATTTTCAGTTTCTTTAATTATTATATTTATAGATTATGGCGGGACAAACTATTTCATCTTTATAAATGGGGTAGGATTTTTAAAAAACTGTGGTGCTGCGTCGGTGGAAGAGTATGACATGAAAATCATCAGGTTTTATCAACTGAATGATGATGTAAATTGGTCACCGTTAAGAGTTTTAAAGCTGACCTTTGGAGCGTTAGCCCTTCGTCAGATTTACATTCGTATATATTTCGCCCTGACGAAGGGCTGACGCTTGAAACGTCAGCTTTGAAACTTTTTACGGTGACCAATTTACATTTTCAACTCAGTCGATAAAACCAAAATTATCTCATTTCTAACTCCTCCATGAACCTTGGTTTTCTAGACCAGGAAAAGGGGGTCTGCTCTCTTTTACAATTCTCTTTAAAGTCGAAAAGCTTCCTTTGAACAGGTAACAGATTCTAGTTTACACTCAGGAAAAACATCAAGTTCGTATTTTATATGTCTTTGGTTGCTAAATCCTTTTTTTTTCCATTATTGAATTGAAGCTCCATCTAAAGCTCCGGTTGACGTGTCTGTGACGGCAAGTTCTTCTACCAGTATTACCGTGTTATGGAAGCCCCCACCAGAAAACGCAATACATGGAATAATCAAAGGTTTTAAATTGTTTTACAAAAGAAGAAGCTTTTTAGGATCTGCAACCGCCATAACTATTAACAGTGGAGCATCATTAAGAAAAGATTTCACTGGGCTTGACAAGTACACAGAATATGAATTTCAAGTGTTGGCCTTCACTTCTGTTGGTGATGGACCAAAAAGTCCCGTTGAGGTCGAGAGAACAAACGAAGATGGTAAGTGGCCACATACAGATTGAATTTGAGTAATGTTTCAAGTGTACGATCTTTGAAAACGGATTTCTTTGGATGCCTTTTTTTTGAGACAGATCACCTTTAAATGCTTCTTGTAGTTTCAGTAGTTTTAGATTCAGGTTTTTGTCGACTTCATGGCACATAGCTAAGAATAAGAAGAAACGCCATATATCCTCTAATCTTACGAAGGTGGTATTTCATGATATAGGTGTACATAGCGAGGCTAAAATCCATGTAAGGCTTTTTTTTCTTAACTTTTTGAGTGTTTCCTATTTGAAGGATTCACAGGAGAAACTAAGTCTATCACCAAAATATAACAGACGAAATATTGCTCTGTTTGGTCTCATTGGTGTCAGATCTTCGAGGTTCAAAAATTGAAATACCCTTTTTGCGTCATAGTTGAAGGAAATGCAAGGTGATGAGGAAAATGAGCGTTATGGTGTATGCAAATAAATTCTTTTTACTTCCCATACTTATTTTGGATCAATATCAGTATCTGGGCAACTGCCCACCTACCCCTACCCCTACCCCTACCCCTACCCCTCCCCTAACCCAACATTAAGCTTAACTTTTTGTCAATTGACTGTTGTCGAGTTAGGGGAGGGGTAGGTGGGCAGTTGCCCAGATACTAATATTGATCCCTTATTTTTTTTCTTAATAGCGCCGAGTGCTCCTCTTTCGTTTGCCTATAAGGAAGTTGCCCCGAATAAGATGCATGGTCCAAGATTAAACTTGACTTGGAGCAAGCCAGCAGAAGCTAATGGAATCATTAGAAATTACACTCTGTCCTATGCAAACAAAGATGGTGAAACAAAGCAAAGTGTTGGAGGAGACGCGTTCAGTTACTTGGTAGATGTCCTGGGCGGAGTTACGTATCATTTCTATATCACAGCTGTAACTATCAAACCGGGACAAAATGGCTCTTTTTCTGTGAAAACCAAAGAGTACGGTATGTTCAGCATCAGGGAAAAAGTAATGATTTTGTTAATGCTCAATACATGAATTTTGTTAGTGATCAAGCATCATGGTGGAATCTTGTATAGAAAGAAGTTAAACATAATATTTGGACTGTCCAAAATTGAAAGATTTGTGAAATGAAATGAAGCTACTGAGAACGTTCAAATTGTTCTGGCTTTAGCAATGTGAAGAGATTGCTGTGTGAAATAGTGGCAGAAAGATAAACATTTAAAGCTTGTACATTGGTTGAAGAACGATTTCAAACGTTTTCATGCGCGCCAAAGTAAACAATGATCCGTTTGTGCACCGATACTGGAATACTAGCTCATTTTCAATTCTGGTTTCAATCTGTACTTGCTTGCTAAGTGTTTTTTTTTCGCTCTCTTTACTAGAGCCCAGCCGTGGACCAGAAAATGTATTGTCTATCGAAATTGGGCGCACAGAATATCAGATAACCTGGGATGTTTTGCCCAGAGAGGTTGCAAATGGGTTCATTAAAATATATCAAGTGAGACTTCTGTTGAAAGAAAGTTGCTCCTCGGTTGACGCTTCGTTTAATTCGACATTCAACACAACTAAAACAGAGATTTTGTTGTCCAGTCTCTCAATCTGCTCAAGGTATGAAGTGTCGGTTAGAGCCTTCACTGTAGCGGGACCTGGGCCTTACAGCGAGCCTTTAGTGATCCAGACTTTAGGTGAGTGAAAGAAGAAAAATGTTTTGATGTTAAATACGATTGTTTTCTAGAAAGTCTCATTTTTGCCTTATTTCTCCCTTGCAGAGTGTGCTTCGCAGCACATGTTACAACATTAACTAAGTTTTGTCCTTTGGCAGAAAATAATGGATTCTACATTAAAGGGGAAAAGAGTGAAGAAATGCTTGAAATTCACATTAAATGTTGAAACGAGGAGCTACTTAAATTTCGTACTTTTGTGTCTACAGAGTGCTATTTCAATTGCTTGATTCTATCTGCTTCTCGCAGAAATATTTTTGTTCGCTCTGGTTAATTGGACTTATTGAGCGCATTTTAAATCCCACGTGATAGATTTCATGTATAGTAATGGTCACTCGATAGAAACTGATTACTTTGTCCAAGAAATTCTTCATGCATGAATTTCCTCTCCAATGGACGTTTCGTTTCCTTTCACAGATGAAGTTTGGTCTCATAAAAAGCCTTCCCCAGCAGAATTCTCTAGTGACGGAGGAATCACAGCAAAAGTAACACTCCCAAATTTTATGGGAAATGTAAGGTATGTTGAGCAAGTTTTAGTTCTCTCTTTCAACAAATGCTCGAAATCTTGGATACTTACAGGAAAGCGTTTTAAGGCTGGTTCTCAACTGTGGAAAGCGTTTTAAGGCTGGTTCTCAACTGTGTTTAATCTCCAATAGCGTTAGTCGATGAACCTCAACCATAAAGAAAAAATTCATCAACACTAACTATAAGCTCTATGTAAATTATCGTAGCTTTTGGATGCCGCAGTTATAGTAGCTCACATAATTTTAAAGACTTGTATGAGTGTTCTCCTTATAATCTTCTTAATAACTTCCAATTGATTTGTAATATTTTCTGCAGTTAATAGCCTCATAGTTCGTGTTTGTCTCTTTCTGTGTTTTTAAAATTTAGAAGATTATTGGCATCAATTATAAATGTAATTTCGGGTTTTCAGTGAAACCAATTTTGAGATCTTCTTAATATGACAGCTTAAAAAAAGAATTTTGGTATTACAGTTTTTTTCAAGTCATCGTGATTACATATCGCTCTGGCTACAACGGTGTCGTAAAGCCACCAGCGGATTTTACAACACAAGAACTGATGACTTATGAAGAAGCTCACAAATCTCCAGTGCCTGCAGCCTATGTCACTTTCCAGTTTGGAGGAAATGATCTTAACAATCACCAAGAATTTACTGTAGGAGATGGAGTCCAATCAAACAGTAAAATAAGGAAAAAGAGAAGTAATGGCGAGGAGTATTATTACAACAAACCATTGCACCCAAATACGAATTACAGAGTGTTTCTCAGAGCTTTTGTCACAGAGGTATTTTGATCAACTGATTTGTCTCCTTCCAAGATGAACGACGCATTTGTTACCTCAAAGCACAATCTATTTTGAATGTAGTAATTTACTTCTTGCTGCTTCTACTCCAGATTACGTCTTTGTCACGCCCCCCCTCTCGCTCAAGTTCCCAAGTTTCCAAGTCCCAAAGTTGTAAATCACCATGCGAACTACTATTTATAATTAGGGAAGAACGTCTTTGAAAATAGAGCGCTTTTCGATTGAATGTCGTAAAACTAAATCCAAAGCAATCACAGCGACCAATCAGAAGTGAGAAAAATAGCTTGAGAGTCAAGAGAGTTCAAATTCAATACGACCTGCCTAATGCTCGGGAAAACACTAGCGGCCACGTCGATTGCTTTTAGTTTTAGATGTGATTGGTCAAGAAAGTGGCGTGAGTTTTCCGGACCGCTCACAGAGTGATGTAAAAGAAAAACAAGGCAATCCCAGACTATTTTCTACTCTCCAAAGTGCTTATCTCAGGTCATTGATGTAGACTGTTTAGAGACGAAATGCTAAAGGAAAGTACGACATGATGTCTTATTGTGCATGGGCTGCTTTCATTAATACATCATATTATTTTACCGGTCACAAAGAACATACAATGGGTTTATCTTCAGAAGGGGAGGAGTTCCTAATTTTTTGTGCATAATGTTTGAATCCATTTTGCTCAAGGAATTTCGCTTACGACATTTTTATGGGCTGTCTTTGCAGACGCTGTATACCTCAAGCAGTTTCATAGCGCTGAAAACTAAAGGTACCGTTCCATTTTGTGTTTATTTATTTTAGTGGTTCTGTGGCTTTCACTATCAATGATATTTAACAGTTTCGTAAGTAAAGGAAATCAGGTATGATGTTAGATTGATAGAATAAGAGAGATGATATCTTTTTAGCTCGGTAAAGAATAGAGAAGGATGTTTTTCGTCTTGTCATGAGCGTGGGACAAAGAAAATATTCTGAGTCACCATGAGCAATCGATTCCTCAGACTCAGAATTTTCAATGATAGGCTAAGTATGTAAAATCAACCTTTTCCTTCGTGGCAGTGAGGATGTACGAAACGTCTGTAGCTTGCTCGTGTAACCTTAAAGAACCTTCCTTGGTGTCAGAGTATTGCTGTTTTAGGTGTTTTGAATTGAAAACGGGATGCTTTATAATATAATCATGGCAGATAAGCCAGTGATCAAGGAACTACCAGAAAAGACAACCATAATTGTTGGTGAAAAGGCAGAGTTGACGTGTGAGGCCAGCGGAGATCCACAACCTTCTGTTACGTGGAGTAAAGATGGAGACACCAGTATACCACGGGCCAACTTTAACAACGATGGCAAGGTACTTGTTATCCGAGACGTGATGCATCGTGATAGCGGTGTCTATGAATGTACAGCATCGAACAGTTTTGGAGCGAGCCATTCAGCTACAACTTTGATAGTGGCTGGTAAGTTAGAAAATTAATAACTGTTTTTGAGCCTAGTGTAGCGAAGTCTTCAACTATCTATCACTTGGGTACACCAAACAGTCAACGTGGCGCTATATGAACTTGCTGTTCAAACATTGGTTCTTTTTCTTGTTGGATTGGTGGTCAATTGCAAATCACCCTACTTTTACCCGTTGCTCAAACAGTAATGCGGGACCCATTTGACGCGTGAAGTAAAACGACAAGATGATAGTGTTATGAGTAATAATTGTAAATGTAAAACTTCCAGTAATTTCCAGACTGCTGATTCATCCTGAATTGCATACCATAGAACTTTCCAGAAGATTTCATTAAGTCACGCATTTATTATGTAATACTTCTAAAACAGTTCTTATGTAAGCTTCTGGAATGTTCCAGAACACTTTGTAAATATGTATAAAGACTCACTTATGTAGTAGTAATAGTTGTTGTCGGAGCGACGAATGTTTTGAAAGTTATAGAGAGAGAGAGAGAGAGTCACTATTTTTCAAGTATTTTACTGCTTTTAGGAGTCGCTCCTTGTTAAGAACATTACTCGCTGTTTAAAAAAGTAGTTGAGTTTGTGAGATTTGAAGTGTTTTTCTGTCGGTTAGATTATACCGTAACACTAGCGCGCCCCCCCCCCCTTCTCTCTTCTTTTTCCTTTATTTAAATTTTTGGAACATTCTATGTCTTGTTTGTTATTTACTTGTGTATACCTTTCCAGATAAACAAAGGGACTTGTTCTATTACGTGCTGTTCATATCATACGGTCTACTTTAAGTGTAGTTTGTTTGAACTTGTAAATTGATAATAGTTTCCCTCTTTATCCTTTGAATTAGATAAACAAAGTAACTTTCCTGTTGCTGTCATCATTGTGCTCTGTGTTGTTTTTGTGTTATTGGCTGTCATTGGCCTACTGGTATGCAAGTGGAAGAACAGACGAGCTAGAATCGAACTAAATGACAAAACAAAGGAACTGAACAGAATCATCTGTGACGACATGGCTCCACCCAACTCTTCGTATGAACAACTTGCGTCTTCTCCAGGACCGTGTCTTCAACTCCACTCGATGTTTTCCGAAGGCCAGTCGCCTGCATTTCCTGATCTTCAAGGTTTGAAGTTTGAAAACAGAGCATATGATGGCCAAAGTGTGAGCTCTGAGAAAGAAATTGAGGAGAGTGACAAAGAAGAAGGGGAAGAAGTTGTTAATGACACAGGAAATAGTGTGTGTTGATTTGGTTCTATTCTTCTCACTGCTCTCGACCACCTTTACATTTACATTTAGCTTGAAGGACGCTGCCCCGGTTTGCACCTCTGCCCTGTTAGAAGTGAAACCCTAACACTCGTTGTTCTGTTGTCTCTTTCTTTATTCTCCTGTACCACGCACGTTAATAGAACTGCAACTAGCTCAAATCTCTCAAGGAAAGTGTGGTTCACCGCTTATATACAATTTACACTTGACTAGCGAATCACGCTAAGCTATGCAGAGCGGAGTTCGCATACTAAATAGATACCTTCGCGATGTTTACGCTTTACAAAACGATTTTCCACTCTAAATTTCTTAGTCTTACGGTTAAGTTCGGGCAAAACAAAAAGAAGATTGACAATGTAAAAATTATAATAAACTTACTAACAGAATAAAAATCATAGTTGAGGAGATATCCTGATAGAAAATAGTCCTCGAGGACTGTTACATAACATCAGAATAAACAGAAAAAAGGGCGTACCCAATGTACCGCCCCTAAAAGAGCTACGTGCTATTCGTATAAAATTCAGTGCGGAAGATGAAAAGTACTAGTTGCTTACACCCTAAGATATCTCTAAGAAAAAGGGGTGTCGAACGTGCTACATTAAAATTTAAGGACTATCATCCTGACTGGGAATTCGACATGGATTTAGCCTAAAAACGAGAATATTAAAGAGGTCAAAGTATAAGGAAGGTTATTTCCAGGAAAATCCAGTTCGGGATCAATTTTTATAAGGTAAAGTCATTTTCTTAGTAATTAAACATCTTTTAGCAACATAACGGAAATATACCGATATCTAGTCGCAAATCGCAGTTTACACAAAAACATCTGTCTCCATGTCCCATAAGAAGGAAAAGGTGACCAAAATTCTACCAGTAAGATAGGACCGACCGCCAAAAGGAATAAGAAATGATCAACCGGCTTATTATAATGTTTACTGAATGGCTATGCTAATATATTATTTCCATTCATTTTCTAACGTCCATGTAAGAAACCCTTCAAGTGTTTTTAGACAAGATATATTTCTATTTTTATCGTTTAATAGCCCTCAACAGTAAACCAGAAATCGTAGTTGTAATAAACATTCAAAGAAGACTTTGATTACGTAATCACCTTGTTTTGATTTAAAGTCGAAAAAAATTTCTGTCTTGTTTCGTCGTCGAGTTTACGCCCCAATTTTCCTGTTGTACTATTGTTCACAATTTGAATTACCTACTTGGCTAACATTTCTGATAAACCTGTTTACAATTGTACACATGAACTATACCCTTATAGTGGTACGCCCCTAAAGTATCGAGTCAGTTGTAGTTAGGAGATCGACGGAGATAAATCAGAGTTTCTTAAGATTGTTCCAGTTACGTAACTTTGCAGTTTCTCTAAGCCCGTATAGACAAGATCAGACGTAAGTTCAGCCTATTGTATTTAGTTTCCTTTTTCTTTTCGATTTCGCTTGTTTTGTAATTAGCCTCAGCCTACTTTTAATCTTGTACATTGCAATCTCCCCTTTTTAGGGCCTGTTTACATGGAGGTGGGGGTCCCCAGGTAGGTGAGGTAACCCGCCTAGCCGTGGTCGAGAAATAAACGCTTTTACATGCAATCTTACAACCCCGGGGTGCTGGGGTGAGGTTCCTTGAGGTTGTTGTTGCGCTTGCAATTAAGGAGTTTGAGCAGAGGCGTCTCAAGTTCACATCTCGGAAAAGACGAAAGATTAATTCTCTGACACATATGTATTTATTCATGAAAGCATCACGCGTTGTGTTACGCGCTGTTGGCTTTGCGAGGAACCGTTGACTTAATACGTTATACGGAATAGTTTGGGAAACGAAATATGGTCGATTTACAACGGTAAATATTCTGAAATGTGAACAGTTTACACTCCTTGTGTGTCCGTTGCGGTTTCTGGTGATTTCTGCCATGAGACGGTCAGGAAATGTACGAAGATTTAAAACATATATGTTTCACTTTTGAGCTTTTTGCCATGAATGCAACCCCAGCTAGGCGGGTTACCCCACCTTGACACGTTTACGTGGCAAACTGTCACCCCGGCTGACAGGGTTACCCTACCTGGCAGACCGGACAACCCGCCTAGGCGGGTCACCCCACCTCTCATGTAAACGTGATCAAAATAAAATATGAAATTATATGGACTGGCGGGTTACCCCATCTAGGCGGGTTACCTCACCTACCTGGAGTCCCCCACCTCCATGTAAACAGGCCCTTAGTTTTCACCGCACTTGTATGATAGTCAGACGATAACATTAAACGTTGTTGAATCAACTTGTGTTGTCGATTCCTACCTGTGGTTGACACTCCCCGAACTCCAATGCACAACACCCCGTGTCCGCTGCACTGGGTATGCGACAGTAGTATTCCTTTCCCTCGTCCGTTTTTACTTTCATAAAAGGGCGCACATTGGCTACGTATACATGAATTCCCTCTTGTTTCAAATGAGAAATTAGTAAAGATTCCACGTAACCATCCTCGAAAAGTCGATAATCTTCAAATGACTTATTGGCGGCGAGTCCCTACTTATCGTAATCGGTGGAGTGCGAAATCAAATAATTAAAAATATCGTACAATCCAAACGGCGGCGAAGCGTTCAAATTGCTAACAGTTTTCAGGAATCAAAGGGCTCTTAGAGCCAGCTCATTCATGTTATGGCTTAAGTTTGTATTGATTTCTTGGACTTGTTAAATGTAGGTAAAGTTGAATTCGGTTTATGTGAACTTTCAAGACTTATGGAAAACATTTCTTTTATTTTTGGGCAGCTATGTGTTAAGAAAACTTGTGCATTCGTCGTGATGGGGATTGGAAAAAAGGTTATGTGGGCTGGAGGTGGGATGGGCAGAGGTCATTAGGCAGACAGTGTCCTTTTTGTTGGTGTGCGTGTGTTTGTGGGGCGGAGAGTGGGCTTCGTGGGCATATTCAGGCATCAAATGTTGCTCTAGCAGCCAAATATTAGTAACCCTCATCTTTCACGATCACTTGCATTATTGTAAAATATTCCTTTCCCGTTTCTCGGTATCTTTTGTTTTTAACAAAGCGGCCATTGCATTTGGTTTTTTACAAAGCGGCCGCAGTCGTTCTTAATAGAATTTCAGTCCTTCATCTAATCTGATTTTCACATATTATTATTTGCGTAGTCACTAAACAGATGAGAGATGAAACCACCAGAAAAGTAAACAAATGGCCAGTCACGAAAGCAACGCTACGCTTTCCCCTATTAAAATTCGCCGGTTCCTCGTGTAAGTCAATAATAATATAAGGCACATATGTGAAAATGAGTGTGTGTACACCCCTGAACGTTGAAAACATATCAAGTCGAAGGAACAGTTTTGGTCTCGGTTCGCATTTTTTTTCAACAAAATAAACACACAGCGCTTAAAAAGTGTTAAATATTCAATAGTAACATCTCATTTACATCTATATCTACTTTTATTAAGTTGGTAAAATCTGTACAGACATCACACCAAACAAATCGCGCGCAAAGTGAGAGGACTCTATATGAAGGCTTGAAATTATATTAAGAACGATTTTGTTCAAGAAACAGGCCAGGAATATTCCACAATAGTGCAAATAATCGTGGAAGCTGATCGCAGAAAAGCGATTGCGTGACGCTCAGTAAGTTGTAAGATGACATTATCACATACCAGACGAAAAAACACTTTAAATTCTCAGTCAGCATTTTGTACCCACTCTGCAGTCTGCAGTCTACATTTTGTATCCGGTCTGCACTCTGCATTCTGCAGTCTGCAGTCTGCATTTTGTACTAACAGGTATCCGTGGCACCAATACAGTTTATTTTTCGTTACAGTTATTCGCACAACACACACAATCGACCACAAAATACCTATGCGTGAGTTAATTCGACATTTTCGTTCTTTTCCGCATTAATACTCTTTCCTTTTGTAATAATGTAGACATCACTAACAATGTTTCGATTAATCCACCCATCTGAAAAAGTAACTCTTGCATGCATAGCGTGCCTATGTTTTAAATAAGTGAGAACAGTTTTTAACTTAATAGGAAAGTCAACTGCTATTCCTTCTCTAAGTTCATTTAAATAATACCACCAATATTGAGGTAGTTCTAGGCGAGAAAAATCGTCCTTTTCATACAAAATGCTAACTCCATCGTGTGCTTTTTTATCTTTCCTTCTAATAACATATCTAACAATATCATGATCCACTCTCAACTCAGAGGAATAATTAACTTTGATTGCGTTCGACCTAAGGATAGATAGGATGCCTTGCAGAAACGAAGTTGACACACTCTGTACCCTTTCCACGGAGACAGGAGCTAAAGTATAAGGTCCTATGAAATTATTTATTAAAAGAAAGCATAAGCTTTGTGTGGAACCCAGGCCTAGTATGGACCCAAGCTGCGTGCAGGGATGATTATCTCTTACACTTCCCGAAAACAAACTTAATCTCGTACCTGATAAGTTGCCCACTCAAATGAGCTGAAGGTTCTCGTGTACTGGTCCGTGGAGGCCAATTCTTCCATTTCACGAGGTAGTCAAAGTCCTGAAATTGTTAAAAATACATTCAGATTGTTTATAAAAAAAACTTCAACTATAATATTTTGGTATCTTCTGTGTACGAACAATTCATACCTCATTCTTCGATCTTCTCTGGCCAATCAATCTCTCGACCAAGTAAAATTTAGATCTATTTTTATATTTTTTTGCTTTAAAATGTGCTTCGAAATCTACGGTGGAAAGAGTATTTAAAGCCTTGTCATCGACCAGATGCCCCCTTCGCAGACTCCGAGCCATGTTGACCGGAAACATGAAATCTGACCCCCAAGGTGCATGCGTAGTAATAATATTTGACGAAACCACTGACCGAATTCACGGCGGGAGTAAAATGTCCCTGAGTTATAAGACAACGGTCGAAATCTGAGTGTGCAGCCTTGACTTCGTCTCATGACAGGAATAACATTGATGGCAAAGCAAGCTTAAAACAGCAGAGAACGTCGGAAACTACAACGGTCACACAAGATGTAAGTAATTCTTGGGACGCCTTTGTTCACACGAATCTGCACTCGAACTATTGTAAGAATCGTCGCATCTAATGTCAGACAATTCGCCCTAGACAATTAGCCTCGAGTAAGTAATTCTTGGGACGCCTTTGTTCACATGAATCTGCACTCGAACTATCGCAAGAATCGTCGCATCGAATGTCAGACAATTCGCCCCCAGACAATTCGCCCTAGACAATTAGCCTCCAATTTCTGGACAATTCGCCGCTATTGTGAAAACACTGAAATTATTTTAGAATATATAGTTTTTGTCGCAAAGCAATTATTTCTCGAAGGAAAAAGAAAGCTCGACTACTCGAGTCAACCGAAACCAACCGAAACCAAAATAATTTGTCAAATGTCCCTGAGTTCTACGACAACGGTCGAAATCTGAGTGTGCAGCCTTGACTTCGCCTTATGACAGGAATAACAGTGATGGCAAAGCAAGCTTTAAACGGAAAAGAACGTCGGAAACTACAACGGTCACACAAGATGTAAGTAATTATTGAGACGCCTTTGTTCACACGAATCTGCACTCGAACTATTGTAAGAATCGTCGCATCGAATGTCAGACAATTCGCCCTAGACAATTAGCCTCCAGTTTCTGGACAATTCGCCGCCATTGTGAAAACGCTGAAATTATTTTATAATATGTAGTTTTTGTCGCAAAGCAATTATTTCTTGAAGGAAAAAGAAAGCTCGACTACTCGAGTCAACCGAAACCAAAATAATTTGTCAAATGTCCCTGAGTTATACGACAACGGTCGAAATCTGAGTGTACAGCCTTGACTTCGTCTCATGACAGGAATAACTTCGCCGTCATTTTGAAAACGCCGAAATTATTGTAGAAAATATAGTTTTTGTCACAAAGCAATTATTTCTTGAAGGAAAAAGAAAGCTCGACTACTCGAATTAACCGAAACCAAAATAATTTATCGATCGTCAATCGCGTACAGTAAGCAAAAAACTACAGTCGAGCGGTAATAATTTTCAAACCTTCTGGTCGTGTCATGAAATGGGTCGTTTCAGGATAATTCTGCTATATCGGGAAATGTGCCTTTCGATGGTGAAACGCGATCGCCATTATTAAGCCGGTGACACACATAGCGATTATATACGGCGATCGGCGAAGATCGCCAGGTGTGCCTGGTGCGGCGATTGCGATTTTCACCAATAGCCGCGATCAGCGTATAAAATCGCCGATATCTGGCATGTCAGATATCCGCGATTAAATTCGCCGGCATTCGCCAAGTCTGCCCGTTCCCGCGATTTTCTCCCCTTTCCACTGCGATTCGCCAGTAAAATTAACCAATCTAGTTGGGCGATATTATCACATGACTATTCAAAATGGCGGAAGACATCGAAAATTGTTTCTGAACCGAAGAAGAAAAAGTCAATTTGATTACACTGTGGTTAGAAAAGCCATGCTTATTTGATGTAACGTCGAGCGACTACAGTAATCATCTCAAGAAGGACTTTGCGTTTCAATAAAGCCAGGTCTTCGACCATATTTTTCTATTGTCCCACTTTTCAAATCGCTTCCTGGAGCGCTTTAATTGCAAAATTATGGCAGCAGCCAACAACTATTTTTGCTTGCTGTCACCATTTTGTTTGTTTACATTGGTTCGCGCAAATTTTAAACCTCACCCAATGGAACCTGGTATCAAGACTGAAGTGATCGGCGAAAAAAAAAAACGCTAAGTGTGTCCGCAGCGATCTGAGGCGATCAAATTTGCCGCGATCGGCGTAGAAAATCGCTTGGTGTGTCGCCGGCTTTAGACGAGATCTAGGGTGAATCACTCTGCCCAGATCTTCCTCGATATTGCGATTACTTGCCACGCGAGAAAAAACACCCTCAGCAAGAAAGCAAAAAAAAATTAAGTTCAGCAAAGTTAGGAACAAGGAAGTTTAACAAAGTCGCGAATTTGTAAACAAGTAACCATATTTATTGATTTCAGCTAATGGACTATATAAATTAACTTGACTTTTTTATTTTATTATTTATTGAAATTGATCGTCCCATCATGAGGACAAAAACAAGTGGCACTTTTTTCACGAGGTCATCCTTTCTCACGAAGGCGTTCAGATTCAGTAATTGTGAAAACGGGTGACGGCACAATTTGAAGGTAGCATCCACGTACCACAATTTTGACCGGCTGAGGTCTTCTAACTAACTGACTGTCTGACGCAAAAATTAAGTAACGACGTCCACGTATCTGAAACGTAAAATGCATTTAACAGTATAAATATGCCATCACGGGCCTCACCTAAATCTTAATTTCAAGTCCTATTACGATTTTTTGTGATGGTAATTAATTTCCCATTGTTCAACTACCATAGTATTTTTTCAACCAACACGCCTAAGTCTTAGTCTCAAGTACAATTGCTATTTTTAATGGTAATTAATTTGTCATTTCTCAAAATGCTTACCTTTACATCTTCCCGAAATAAGTTATCCGGGATATGCTCCGTTTCTAACTCAAACTCCAAGTCTTTGGGGTCTTGTGGCCGTAACTGCTAGCGAAAGCGGTCAGCAGTTCGTTGTAGATTGTCTAGACGCGGCATGCTGGGGCAACTATCTTTCCAACTGGCGCAGGGTGGTTATGGCCATTCCTCCCCCGTCTCAAAACTATCTTCAGGTCGCTGTATTACGATGGCCTTACAACGGTTACCTTAGAAAAAAAAAGAGCAATAGTAAATTGGTCACCAGAATCTAATTGAATGGCTTAGGTCTCACGTAATACATAATTATTTATCACATGATTATCATAATTAAAAATTCATACTTTCCCATCTAAAAAATCTCACAAGGTCTTACAGTATAACTTCGAAAACGAGATAACTAGAAAGTATGAATATGATATAAATTCTAAAACGAGATAAAAGTATTTATTTCTTACCACTGGTTGCAAAGTGCATTGACAGTCTGTTGCTTTAACTCGCTGCCTCTTCTCGGTACTATTGTTCAAGATGCTGAACATCAGCAATACCTACTCCAACCCGCACAACAGTGCACAACAGTGCGGTATTCTTGTTGATAAATACCAATGAGGGAATCATTTGAGACTGTCAGCTAGCGCTAAAATTTGAGAATCGAGTAGAATCAGGACCGATATGAAGAGGGAAAAAAGCATTTTCTTTTATCATGCTGACTACCATGTTTAAGGGAAACAGCATCATAAGGCAAATTGTGTTGTGTCCACAATTTTAAGAAATTGCTTTCTTAAAATTGTCGACACAACACGGGTAACAACCTTTTGGCCAGTCTCTTATCTTTTTTCTCTTTTTTTTTTTTTTTTTTTCCTTTTTTGGTCAGACTTACAGAGTATTAACTTTGGATTTTGAAATGCAAGCAAACGGCTTCTTAAGATTCGGGTTAAGATCTTGTCCAAACAAAGCTAACATTAGTGGTAAAAAATGTGCATAAGCCTTATTAATAGATGGTGCAAAGGTGAAATATACTAGAATTCATAGAGACAGCTTTATAACGTGCAAAGTATAAAGATCTCTTCGATATCTTTATTTCTATTTCCTTAGTAGCTATCAATCTGGTTTTCACATCGTCTGCTGGGAGTAGGAAAAAGATTTCCTGACATTGAACCACCTGGGGCAGTGCTATCATAAAAGAAACGAGAGAAGTGCACTCAGTTTGCCAGCTGCATCTCACGAAAAGAAGGCATCCTCTTGCCTCAAACAAGCCTTGGTTGAGATGCATCCGTATTTCCAATTAGTTTTCTTTTCCTTGCTGTTGCGAATTCCTCTGGCTTTAGGTAAGGACTGAATTTCATGCAATTTACCCACATGCTTTTTATAAATTGTTGCCTTTTGCTAAATTCTTCTGTATTTTTTTTGGTCTCCTTGTTAAGTTCCACTTCATTTCTAAAGAACAGTTTTATCATCTCAGGGCCGTAGCCAGACTTCAGAACGAGGCGAGGCAAGTTTCGAGCACCAAAGGCGCGAGTCGCTAAGGGGGTATGGAGGCATGCCCCCCAGAATATTTTGAAATATAAAGGCTCAGAAATGTTCTTTTAAGCATTTCTGTGGCATTTTTCTTCAGAAAAGTCAATCTTTGGCCAAAATCAAGACGAGGCAATTGTTGTTTTTTTATCCTTTACGGTGGCCAATTTACGTTTTCTACTCAGTTGTTAACACTAAATTACCTACTAATTTTTAAGGTTAGATATACTGGATAAGAATACAAAGACTTGACCTAGGCTGAAATTCTTCGAGCTCTCTTACCTTTTCCCACTTATTTTCCAGCATTCATACCACTTATTTTTGTAAAAGATAATTTTTAACTTTCGCATATTCATTTTGTTCGAGAATATGTGGTCGAGTTCTTCTAGTTAAGATCCGCTGTTGTGACTCGGCGAGGAACCAGTACCTCCTTTTTAAGACCCTCTTCTCAAATCTAAGTGGACATGTGTTTGTGTGCTCGTCGTGTTTGTTTATTCTTCTTCTTGTAAATAATTTCCATAGGAGATTGTGTAGATTTGGGCCTTGGAATGGAAGATGGAGAAATTCCAAATGATAAAGTTACTGCTTCTTCTGAACAAAGCGTCAACACACCAGCCAAGAATGGTCGACTGAAATACACATCAGGATCATCATGGTGTGCAGGAACAGGTGACACTAACCCATATCTACAGATTGATCTACAGACAATTCATATTATCTGTGCTGTGTCCACTCAAGGGAATTCCAAAGCAGATCAGTGGGTGAAGGACTACAAACTACAGTTATCTCCAAATGGGA